GAAACAGATTATATGACGATATAATATCAAGTCAAGGAAATTGTCCCAACTAGATGTATGTTAGGACGTTTGCATCGACCAAAATGGCCCCAAGTGGTTGCTTTGGCTATGTATAAACATTTTGCATGGATGGCAGACGTATATCGTCCTAGCCCCTGTCAGCCAAAAGATCTCGGTTCCTTTCGATATAATCATGGATTATTGCCCCCGATTATACGAAAAAATCTTGTTTTTTGCGTATGGTCCGTCTAGAGGTCACAATTTTTAACCGATTTCAAAATCCGTTTAAATGTATCACTTTTACACCACAATGACGGTTGAGTTCGAATTTTGTGAAAATCGGATCGAAACTACCGGACAAAATAGCCACTCCCCGTACACAAATAGTATAAAAGTATGTAACACCAAGGTTGTTGACCCTCCAGAGGTCACAAGTTTTATCCTATTTTGATGAAACTTGAAATTTATAACCCAACAACCTCGTAGACTTTCGATGTTCGCGCTTATCGGACAGTAACCTCCTGGATTATTACTCCTGATTGTACGTAAAATCGCTTTTTTTTAGCTTGTTCTCTGTCCATCACTTGCAAAATGTGGGCGTATCTTGCATGACAACCGCGTGTTCCCCATACGAACACAATACGAAGTAAAAAAGAATCTGCCCGATTGGCTTAGCAAGACAACACGACAATGTGAAGCCCTCTCAATACCCTTGTGAAGGGCAAAATGAACACACGAATTCAACACGAAAATGAACCTTCGTAAGGTTCTTCGGCAAATGTTTGGCATGCCAAAGATTTTGCCAACGCTCATGAAGTTGCTGCAGGAGCTTGAAAAACTTCGCAGCAGGTCATAAGAAGGCTTAAGATACCCTCACGAATGGCACGATGTTTTTACGATCAGTGTCACAATCATTTTATCGTGTGACTATCTAGTGTCAATTTTGAGAGATTGTGACGCCCGATAAAGCATCTTCCTGAGTCAGTCTTAAACAAATATACAGAGCCACTGTGTGTTCTTCGTGACTGTGTCCTGTGGGTATAAACTACATCTTCGTATTACCTTCGTGTGTGGTTCGAGTGCCATCGTGTGACTTTATATAGGCATCGTATTTGCTTCGGCTGTTGATTGTTTTTGACCATGTTCGGGGCCATCATCGCGCGAAATTCAACATTCCATATTCGTATGGCCATCTGGTGTCAACTTCGGGACAGTGTGACACCAGCATTACTACAGATGGTACCCGAAACCTTTATATTCGTAGAGTACTCGTGTACTGATTTTTAAGTGTCCACTGTGTCTTAAATAACAACATGAATAATGGTTGAAATGGATAAAAATTGAATTCTAATTCGTGATTTTGATTTCGAATAATGGATAATACTGAGTTAGAGGTTTGGCTCCTTTAACAAATAAACTACATGTACTGACCGAAAATGGTGATTCAGCATGTTGTTCAACTGATTACTGACTGACATCTGAATACATTTTCTATCTTGTCCGTTATATTTTAGAAAATGTTGAAGGTAAAATCTCTTTTAATCCTTAGAAAAAGAACATGTTATTTTCTAATGCTCAAGGATCAGTATTAGAGCTGCAAAGATATTCAGACGTTACAAGACGTCGATAATAGAAAATAATTCCAAGAATAACAGAAAGCGCCAGCATTTCAAAAGCTGCCTTGTTATAAAAATAAAGACTCTGTTGTGTGGGAATTCTCGGTTTGGTTCAACTACACCCAGCCATCTTTTTTATTTATGTAACACGAATCTTAGAGGTTATTCGCAAAATATTAAAACCACATGATGGTTAGATGTACATGAATGCCAAAGACAGTTATGCAAGTGTGTTGGTGTTTGCATGTAAGGCCGTGGCAAGGTCAAAGGGTATAACAATTGTGTGAAAATTGTCAGCAAATCCGCGAAATGTAGAACCATAAGTTGGTCAGGTTTTTTTTAGATTAAATTCAAATCAACAGACACCATTTGCTAACCATGTTAAATATGCAGACATTGAAACCCTTTACAATGTATATGAACGGATCAAGGGGATTCACTCTGTTTACATTTAAAATCAATACGTGGAGGCTTTTTTTTCTGTCGACCATTGTTGACATATTTGCATCTGCTGAGAGCTGGGTTTCCCTTCCAAGTTTTGTCCCTGCCAGATTGTTTCCGCCAATGCGACACATTGTCTCTTGCGTCTTGATGAGCCTTGACCAAACATCATTATTGCGGAACTTGGAACTTGCTATTTTTGTTATTTATTTTCAAATTGTACTGGATGCTAGATATTTTTTTTATAAATGACATTAAGATATTACAAGAAAAGTATTGTTTTCCAAAAATACGACAATTTCTGTAAAACCCCGGGTGATTTGTTCCTGCACAGATGTTTTGAGGCATTAAAGTGTTCCGATTCTCAAAACAAAAGCAAAAATTGGATTGGAACAAATACAACGATGTTCTTTTATAATAAGTAAACAGCTAAACATAACCTATTTTATTTTTTAAAATATTCTATCCAGTCGTTGGGCTTCCGTATGGGTTTTGAATTTCTATGCAGTGTGAACAAATATATTGTTTCTTGTCGCTTACAACAAGAAATAATGTTTTTAATGGAGAGAAATTGCGCTTCGTTCAACAAAAAAACCCCCAACAACACAGGGCCAAATACTGAACCCCGTGGGACATTGTATCATTTAACATCTGTGTATGAATAAGTAAGCGAATAGCTTGTTCACAGTATTGAGTCTTATATTTCGTTTTATATAAGCGACAATAAACAATGCATTTGTTCACACTCCTTAGAAATTCAAAACCCATACTAATTAATTGAAAAAATGTTGGAATGGAGTTCAAAAGCTGTAGATATTAAATGGTAAAACAATTATGCATTGTCCACGATCCGGTGGAAACAAGAGTAGTTGTGCTTTTGGAGAGGTGAGAATGATATTACGTTTATGGTACGACCAGACCAATCTATTAACGAAGGTCCAATATAATACCCTGGGAATATGTTATGATACTATTATATTCACTAATTTTCTGATATTATATTATCCAGGATACTAAGTTATCTTCTGATACAAAATTATATTCCAGTTATCTTCTCACTAATACTGTAATAGGTTCTAATACATTATCCTCTGTTATTGTTACTATGCTATCTTCTGATACTATGTTATTTTCTGATACTATGTTATCTTCCGATACTATTTTTACTGTGTTATTTTATGTTACTCTGTTATCTTCTGATATTATGTTGTTTTCTGATACTCTATTATTTTCTGTTACATGTTATCTTCTGATACAATATTATCTTCTGTTACTATGTTATTTTCTGTCACTATGTTATCTTCTAATACTTTATCGTTTGGCACTATTTCATCTTCGGATACTCTATTACTGGATATTTTGTGATACTGGTCCAATATCTTCTGATGCCAAATGATCTTGTGATGCTAAGTCTTCTAGGTTACTTTACAACATTAAGTTATCTTCTGATACTCAATATATATTGATACTAATTGGACATTGTATTAGTGATAAACCAACAAGGAGACTGATTTATTTTTCTTTTTTTCATTACATTCTTCTCACCTAGCAAATTAAACAAATTAAACCAACACAGCAACAATAATGTACTCAATTTTTTTAACACTTTTGTGTTAGCACAAGATCATCGTTTAGGAAAACTACCGATATCTATTTGTTACATGTAAGCACATCGCATCTACTTGTTAACCCTGTCTAATCTATTCTTAGCTGCCATTAACAGGGTTTTTTGTGTTGCTATTTGCCAAAATCAGTATATCGGAAGAGATTATGCAAAGCCATGTTTAGAGATAAGATACACAGTGTCATAATCCACTTGTAAACTTCGTGATTAACCGGTTGCTCATCAAGACACGAGACAGCTTGACCCTAAACTCCTGCAAAATTTAAACTTGTTTTTAGAGAATTTCGATATGTGGTGACGAAAAACGACCAACTTAGTATCGTTCTAATATTGTCTCCACATTGCGTATATGTGTAGTTTGTGGTTTCACTAATACTTATGAAATCGGGTTGTTTTTGTAAATTTCAACAATAGCACTTTAAAGTAAAAGCTGGGCACCTTGATGTTTAATGCCTCATTCCTATGCCAAGGGATTTTAGAAACGATTAATCCAAACGATTATCAATGCAGTGACAGATATAATAGCTTGTTGTACTCTTGTAAATAGGGTATGAGTGAGTTTTCTTGCTTCGCTTTGTAAGCTAACTCTTGAAACACCCTGGTTCACAATATAAACTATCTCGAATTATTCTTAAATCTGTTCTAGCTCCCGTTGGAATCCTCGTCTTGAAATATAAGTTAAGAATATACAAATATTATTAAGATTAAGACACGCGATATGTTTCCATTTTCAAGAATGCTTTCTCGCATATTATAGTTGACTACCAACTTTTGATAAAGTCACGCAAACTCATTGGTAAATTGCTCATTTCGTCTAAGATAATTATGTTCTAATAATTTAATTCGACATTTTTAATATTCTGATATAATATTTGATCTAAATTCATTTTATAAAAAAAAACGACCATGTGTAACTAATAATGTAAATAGATCTGCACCGTGCCAGTCGTGTACATGTAGATATGACCTTCCATCCTGTTGCACAGGACCCGCAACTTGGGGTTCGAAAATTAAATATCATATTACCTATTAAATCACCCAAGGCCTCGATAATAATAAAGTAAAACTTATCAGTAACAGTGCCGTTGACGTTATGGTATTCTGTTATAGGTGTATTTGTTATATAATTAAAACCAATTCGAATTGCGTCATGTCGCGGAGGTTGAATATCCCAAGGCCGGTGTCGAACTGCGGGTCTTATAGTAAACAGTTGGTATAACAGTGGTAAGCAAGATGAATGAATAGAGCGAACATTGGCATGTAAACCCGAACGACAATCGCTTAATTTGAAGCTAACTTTGAGAATTATTATTTTTCAGAATGTGGTGTTGCTGTATCGAAAATGATTGTTGGAGGTACACCATCCCATGGCGGACGATGGCCATGGGTAGCTTCCCTCAGATTAACTTGGGCTAACAGACACGTTTGTGGAGGAACACTGGTCCATCCACAATGGGTTGTCACAGCCGCTCATTGTGTATTTGGGTAATATATCTATGTTCAGTTCTTGTCAGATTGGCAAAATATTGTCAGTTAATTAAACTAATTATTCAAATGTTGTTTTATGATATTGCGTGATAGATTGTTACTGTGTTTTTAAAAACATTTACAAGTAGACGTGTTCTGAAAATTATATACACGTAGTGTCATTTTGATTACATAACCCTATAAACAAAAGAGAATTAAGCCAGAACCGAATCAAATATTGGAGGGTGGTAGGACCGTGCGAGCTATGACATTCGGCGTCTATGATTTGTATAATTAAGGTCCATAGTGTTGGATACTGTATCGTTATTACGTTAAGTGAGACAAAATTATTCATACCTGTGTTGACCATCTTGACAAACTGGTTTTTACCAGATGCACTTTACTTGGCGAATACTTAGCGAAGATAGCTTAGCTCTTTCCGAAAAAAAGGAATATTAAGTTAATAGCTAACAAAGTGCCCACTTTAACCCACCACCCATTAGGCCATAATGTACAAACGATTCGCAAATAAAGCAGTCCTTATTAAACTCGACTCAAAATTCCAGGTTAGCACAATGTATTGCACCGTTTACTATAGCCAAACGTTTACAAAGAAGGTTATATATAAATGAAATGAAATGAAAAATTCTAATTTTACTATTAACGAGTTTAATGCTGATCCATGATTATTATATATTTTTAGATCTCAGTTTGAAAAAGCTTCTGATTGGAGGGCTATATTAGGAGAGACACACGCTGGTAATGCCGGAGCTCAGATGCAGAGGGAAGTTGATTTAATTGTCCGGGTAGGTCGCCGTTCAGTTGCATATCTTCGGTGGATTTTTCTCTGGGCTGATCGAGAAGTTTAGTTGCATATTCTTTGGTTGAAATAACTATCTAATATCTGTACCAGTATTTTGTGAAGGATGGTGATTTGTTTAGGGTGACAAGAGTCTAAGTGTGTCTAATCCCCAACTGATGGTTCTGGTCTATCAATATATTAATAATCTATCCATCGTATATCTAAATCTTTCGATTAGGAGACAGCGCCTAGATTAGCCTTTTCCATGTGACCCTTCCATCTAAACAACCATCACTCGAGAAATACATCTACAAGGTTTCATTAAGGCGTTTAAATTCAATCCTGTATGATACCCCGGTCTATCCCATCCAAGGGCGCCTGAACGGCGGGACAATGGGTGGAAATGCCCCAATTGCCCCGCTGCCCTTACTTTTTTGCTGACTCTTTCAAAATGTTTTGGAACACCAGTAATGATATTGTGTGATCATCTTTCTCGTTTCAACTCTTCACCGATTTTAACAATTGATATGTGTGTGTCGTATTTTGAAAAAGATTCCCGTTTATGCAGTCTCGCAACTTCACTTGAATCAATTTGATTTAGCATCAGTCACCACAGCAACATAATATACTAAATTTGGAGAAGAAGTCCAAATTGCACGAAAATGTTGAATTTGCCACATCATTCGGCTCAAGGTTCAACAGAAGCAATCAAATATACCGAAAGAGTATGACATTAAATGCTTTGAGCTGTAAAGACTCAAAATTCGGTTAGTCACACTAGATCCTCATCTTGGATTATAATGTCTTGTTGGACATATAAAATACTATTCGGTAGTGTTTGGAACTTTTTAGATTACATTTAAATGTAATGACTAATTTCAGCACCCCGAGTTTGTAAACGGAGGTAATTACCCCAATGATATTGCTATGATGAGATTAGATAAAGCTGTTGATGTAGCAGGTCTGTATATCAGACATGCCTGTTTACCGGAAAGAGATGCCAATTTCCAACCAGAAGACTCGTGTTGGATTATGGGATGGGGTGAAACTAAAGGTACGTCAGTCTATTCGAGAGGTGAGGATTTTTCGTTATCTTTTGTACATGTAATTCGCCGAAGGCGACTTAGGAACAAAACCCCTGTACACAAGGCTCTGAAAGGAGTCGAGCCATTGATGTAGTTGTGATCTTTCCTTGTTAAAAGGACCAGTGTGTGGTATTGCAATAAAGACCGGTTAATATGATTTAGGGATAGGATCATGAATGCCCACAGACCCTTCGCAAATATGTGAATTTATGCCACGACATACACAGTTCTATATATAGTACAATGTTGTCTAATGGCTACTAGTGGTAGTCAAAAACTAAATTCGATGGACGATTTGTCCAAAAGTATGCAATAGTATGTACACTTGAAAAGGTGCAACCATGTATTACAAATCATTATATTTTAAAGATCAATAAGTATTTTTATACTCAAACATTTCAGCTGTTCGTCGGTCCTTCAACAATTGGGCTTGTGAATGCCATAGAGACTACAGTTGTTAACGGATTCTTTTTAAATTTGATGTGAAGCATCGTGGCCGTGAGAGGAAAAACCCTATCGATTGTGAACGTTTTGCATCCATTTGTACCAGATCGAGTTATGCCCCCTTTTCCTAAAACCTTGTGAACGAGAGAGGGGCTACAGTTTTCGAAGGGTTCATTTCAATTTTGGTCATGAGAGGACGAATCCTAGTGATTTTCAACGTTCTGCGACTTTCCGTTCCGGAGTTATCTCACCATTACCTAAAATATCGTGAACGCGATAGAGACTATAGCTTTTGACGGAATCTTTTCAAAATTGGTGGGAAGCATTTGGGTCATGAGTGGATGAACTCTATTGATTTTCGTTCTAGAGTTATCCCCCGCGCATTGCCGAAAATCTTGTGGACTCGATAGAGGCTGTGAGTTTTAATGGATTTTTGTAAAATTTGATGGGACGCGTTAGGGTCACGTGAGGATGAACCCTATCGATATTCAATGTTCTCGATTGTCCATTCCCGGAGTCATCAAATTTGCTATCAGCGTCCAAGGTTTCCTTTCGGATATAATAATATATTTCATTCAGCAATTAGGTCATAGACTCATAGATACAAAGATGACACATTTACACATATTCAAAAACAAACATATTTACATTAATATCAGGCCCGACTGGGGGGGGGGGCACAAGTACTCTTTTCTCTGGGTTATTGCTTGCAAGTAATTATGCCGTTAGATACAACGAGGTCGGTTTTTAACATAGAAGTGAGACTTCTAGGACGTAGACTTTCAGAAGAAAACCCTGCTATGCTCTATACTGATCCCTATGTAAAAAGATTCCCAGTTGCGAGAACCCCATCTCACTTTCGTTGTATCTAAGACAACTTGGGTAATTAAAAAAAACATTATGGGATAGAGTTTTTCTCACGCTCTTTCCCTGTGTCCCTTATCTATCAAATAATTCACTGCTATCAGTTATGACCAGTTAAAACACGCCCACATTTTCCGAGAAATGTATGGGGGAGAGGTAAAATCGATATGGCTCATCGTCTCATTCAAGATCTTTTGATCCTTAACATATTTGTTAAGTTTCATCAGAATGTGACAACAATTGTATCCTCTCTGGAGGGCCTAAAAATTCATATATATTCCACATTTTGCGTAAAAAAACAGGGTCTATAGCTCTAGATTGTAAGGTCTGATGCGTACCAAAGTCGAACTCATCCAAGAACTTGTAATGCTTAACTCATAGTTTAAGTTTCATCTCATGAATCTGACAAAAATTGTTGCGTCAGGAAGGTCCACAAACTTCATTCATATTTCACATTTTGCGTAAAAGGCTGGGGGCCAATCTACACCAACTTGTCTGCGATATCACTTCGGTGGCCTTAAATAAAGCTATTTCACACACGCACCAAAATTGAACTCATCTAAGAGCTAGTGATACTCGTTTTAAGTTCATCTAAATCGGATAAAAAGTCTGACCTCCAGATGGTCCACAACCTTGGCATTACATGCTTTTATACTATTTGCGTAAAGAGGAGTGGCCATTTGACGGAAAGTTTCGGTCCGAATTTTAGGAAATTAGGATTCAACCATACTGAAGTTGTAACGGTGATATATTTGAACGGTTTTGAAAATAAGATAAAAAATGGTGACCTCTAGAGGGTCCATAAGCTAAAATCGTGATATTTCGTACAATCAGGGGTCATAATTCAGAAAGTTACGGTCCAATACGCGCAATTATCGAAAGAAACCCAGACCTTTGGGATATATCAAAATTGGATGAAAATTTGTACCTCTGGGTCTCCCACAACCCGGATATTCCATGTTTTTACGCGTAGCGGTCATTTTGTCGGGCGGTTTCGGTCCGAATTTCACGAAATTTGAACTCAGCAGTAATTTTAGTGTAACGGTGAAATGTTTGAACGGTTTTGACAATCAAATAACAACTGTGAGGTCTGTCGGTTATAGACATACATTGTCAGTTTCATCAAAATCGTATAAAAGATTGTCGACAACCTTGGACCCTTGCCTAAAGTCCTACGGTAGCAGTTTGATTTTTGTTGCCCATGTTATTCTATTCACAGAATCAAGTTTTCTTAGCATATTATAAACTTAGCATATTTTGAATATCTGGAAATTGCCAGTTGAATAAACTTGATCCAGTATTTAACACATGACGTCATGTAAAATACGGCAAGGTCATGTCGATTACACTCGCCCAATGCACCAGCTGTCGAGCTGGGTTTTTTTGTGAATTTGTAGAACATATTTACAATAATACAATTGCACAGATTCTATGTCTTTTCTATATTTCTTTCGGATAAGCTGCAGTTGAGACAAAGCTGCTTTGTGGGCGTATCTTTTATTGATGTTTATGTTAAATACCAGTTTCTTCAGAAATTTTACAGAGTAAACTTGCCTGTGTGATGATAATGACGGTGGGAAGGTGGAATTTGCTATGATTGTTAATGTGACGGACAAACACTAAATTCTAACGGGTGGATACTAAAATAACTAATACAATATTTCCTTGCTCTCTTGTATTTTCTCTATTAGTAAGTAATTATGCCTATTTATATATTGTAAGAAACACCCCCGAACTAGTAATGCTATATTTCTAAGATTTCGAATAGTTCGGTAGTGTTTCTTCGATGCCCGCGGTGCTGCCATTGGTATTAAAGGTAACCTATGTTTTAACCCAATCTCTATATAATCACTATTTAACCAATGGATGTATGTATATGTAGCTATAATAACGGGTAAGTAACTGCTGGGAGTTACGGAATATTTGGTTTGCAGGAAAATAACACGTTTAGCGGCGCTGTTGCTACTGGTGGTGGCGCTGTTCCTAAAACTTAAAGGCTACACTTTGAATTAAACAACAACCCTTGATCAACGCGAACCATGGCGCGGTTCGTAGAAAGCTCTATTTAGATTGAATAATGATACTTGACCCGCAAAAAACACGTTAACCTGTAACGAAGGCAGCTTATTAAAATACTGCTGAACAGAACAATGTCGGCCTCGACTTGACTAGCATTGAACTACTCTTCGCATACTAGCTTTATGGAAAGCAAATACATTAGAAAGCTACAGAAACTTTTTCCAAAGAAAGTAGTCGCGTACCATCGTTGCCAGGTTATATAATTAATATGGCAAGTGTGTATAAATGGCATCTAATGTGCCTTTGTATGCTCATGCATGACGAATTTCCCATGGAAGAAAGGTGAATGGTGGCGTGAATTAAAAATAACAGAATAGCTAAATCTACTAACCGCATGGATATGGTTGATGGATATTGTCGAAACTAAATATGGCTGATATGGACACTGGAGCGGCCGCTTTATATAGGATATCTCTATAGCATGCTGGATAATCGTCAACACACAAGGTAAAGCATCTCAACATTCGGACAGAAAACTGATATATCGATGGAACTATGATAAAGCGATCGTTGCCATCAGGTAAGACATTGTACGGTGTTGTTGGATTTCAGAGTTCCATGCTCAGGGCGTTCTTCAGGAACTCAAAGTAACAGTAAGGAAAAATAATGCCTGTGCTGCAAGATGGGGCTGGAAAAGAATTCTTAATTCACACATATGCGTAGGAAATGGCGACATAGGAGCATGTAATGTAAGCATAATTGTTTTTACTACTTTCGCTTTTTAATCAGATTTTTCTTTTCAGAAAATAAACCATACTATTTTTTATATACTTAAGTAACAAGGAACAGGAAAGATAAGCATCTTTATGGAATATCTTTCTATATTACATTTCCAACCTAATAAAATTATTCAGCGCATTTGACTTCCAATATCAAGGTATTTCACAAATGTGAATATGAGATACCCTACAAACCAGCTGCGATGTTATCGATTCTGTCCTTGTTGATGAACAATTCTTATATCATCTAAAGATGGTTATTCCTTCTTATTTCAGCATTTTTATATTCATGTTTTACTGAAACGTTTTATCGCAATCCTGCGCATGTAAACCCTAACTAAACCTCGCCAAGTTTCACTAATACATCTATGTTAAATATATTACTAGTGGTGTGCGGGGGGGGGGGGGGGGCAGAGGGCATCTATTTCAGGGGCAGGAGAAGGGGGGGGGGGGGTCAATCAAAGAGCGAAATTTATGTATTTTAAAATTTGAAATTATTGCTGTTAACCTGCCCTACTTTATTTATTTTATGTGTCTAGACATATTGGAGGGGAAGGGGCAGAGGGCATACACGTCAGTGGCGGGGGTGGGCGGGGGTGGGGTAGGGTGGGGGGGGGGGTAGTACAATCAAAGAGTGAAATTTATGGGGGGTTTTAATGTTTGAAATTATTGCTGTTAACTTGGTTGTACAACCCAACCCACCCTATGTCTTGACATATTAGCGGGGGAGGGGGATAGAAGGGCCAAATCAACGAGTGAAATTAAATTATGTTTTATTAAAATTTGAAATTATCGCCGCTAACTTATACATGCTGGCCTAATTTATTTTATCTGTTTTGACACATCTTACTTTCTCACATTTCTGAGTAGCCTACTACACCTTATACTGGAGTCTTGAGGCATCAATAAACCTCTGCACGCCACTGTATATTACATGGATCTTGCATGCTTGTTCAGATTAAAATGTTCATTTATACTTTTATGTTATATGATTGTTATGTTGTAATTTTGTTATTTAATTTAAAAAAAAGTAAGTATAAAACTTAACTCCTCTTTGTTGGGAGAACTGAAAGGTGTTCAAAATTTCATGTTGTAAATGGTGCTTTTTAAGTTATTTTTTATTTTATAAGAAAGGGCATGACACCTCACCACTGTCCCTTTTGTATTCAGGATTGTGAAATTTTAATTTGAAAAAAAAAACAATGTGCGAAAATATATTTTTTAAAAGAAGTACGAGCGAACTATATGGACCAGGAACCGAGCATGACGTCGTCTCGTCATATTAGAAATAGAAGTCCGCCAATCGATGCGCAATTGTCTAAGAAACAAGCATGTCCAACATACTTGAATTGTTGGAACCTTAGTTTTTTTTTTCTGGAAGAGCGTTGCCCCGAAGAAGAATAAACAACACGTAGATGAGTTCTTTGTATCAAAAACAGTTTTATCTTGGGAATTGGTGGTGTCATCACCTTCCTTATCTTGAAATAAGATCGGTTATGATATGAAAATGTGCTTTAGGTGTTTTTCGTCATCATTTTGTGTTAAAGATTGTGTTGTGCTTACACCTAGTCAACATCACAAGCGACGTCAAATAGTGGCTTGTTTTACCGTGGTTAATGTCATTTTGTGTAACGGCCGCACAATCCCTTGGGCACACCCTGAACCTAAGCTTAAATGAGCCTCTGCATGTAACAATAGCACACATTGGAGGAGTGTGGAATAATAAAGATGTTAATATTATGTATCATTAAGTTCCTGTTAAATCTTAAAATTTTACATATGGACCGACTTGGACTAGTCTTTAGAAATCTTGCTTATCACCTACAACATCAGAGGGAATTTATTTCTACTAAAGCTTATTATCGGCTTTGTTTATTATGACTTTATTTGAATTATCGTTATTAATACCATTATCGTATATCAAATTAGCCATACTAATAGAATATCAGAATACAAAATTCTGATTTGGAGATGGGGCTTTTAATAAATATGAATACATATCATAAAATTCTTATAATTGTCCAAGTCTATAGCATGAATTTTCATCGTTTTTTAGGGAGATTCTGGTGGACCGTTGGTTTGTTCTAGAAGAGGTTACTACTATTTAGTAGGTGTGACGTCATGGGGTGTCAGCGGTTGTCAGACCTCGGGATATCCCAGTGTGTTTACACGGACATCATTTTATCATGATTGGATGGAGGATATCATTCAAACCTATTCCAAAAGATGATGGAAATAGAAAGGACCCATAAACAAAGTGGTTTGGAGAAAGTGGAATATGTAATATGCGCATGCGTTGAGATCGCGATAAGAGTGGACGTATGTGAGAACAGTGTAAAAGGAACGTACATGATTCGAGTGAACATGTTTAATAATTTGATATAATATGAAGAGAATTCCAAGATAGCTGTGATTTTACTCTTTTTATAGGAGTAGTTGTAAATATTATTAGTAAGGGAAATAGCCAATAGTGATATTATCACCTCTTTTAGTGATATAGTGCTATTACATAATATGTAATCAGTATAAGTATTATTATTTTTTTTTAAAAAGTTAATTGACTGAAGGTGTTGCTATTATTATGAAAGCAGAATGATGTGCAAAATGTGTGCTGAAAGGGGTATACTCATTTGTTTTTTGGGTATTATTTTTGCAGACAATATTTAGGTGTTGGTCGTTTTCATAGGATTAGCAAATGGATGTATTTTTGACGTTGTAACTAGGCACACTGATCAGCAGTGAATATTCGCTAGGCCGCAACAATCACTGATAAGGATGACATCCGTGCGACTTAATGAGTCTCAAATATTAACTTATTTCCACTGACAAATTAAATTCTAAAACATTTTTTTGATGTATTAGAAAAATAAATACAGACGTTTGACGTATTTGTAGGTAAAAAATATTTCCAATTTAGTGTAAATGGGTATTAAAATGACTAAAAGACAGTATTCTGCCCGAAGCAGTAACGTCTTATGTAAATGATTGACGCCGCGTGCTGCGACGGCACTTGTTAAAGGCAGTCATCATTTACAGAGATATTAGAAGACTCGTAATTATCTGTGAAACAGATTGGTAACTAGGTTGTAGTTAATATCGAATGGTATCTGTGTTTGATCCTTGGGCGACAATTTAGAGTAAGAATTTGTGTCAATTCCCTGAAAGTTGAAAATTAAGGCGTTTATGTCTCGTGGATTGGCAGAGTTGTCTAATTTTTTTTAATAAAATCAAATTAATTTAAACCTCATCCCACCGCCAATATAAGTATAATTTAACGGAAAATTACGTCAAATTGAAAACAAACACCCAATGAATGCGTATTAAACTGTATTTTATTACAATACTATAAAGGATAATATTCCACCTAAAGGTGAAATGATACTATAGGTCTGGTATAGAAACTGTCTCGTTGCTAATTACAAGAATAAAAACTCCGTGATGTACCCTCGTTTCTTTGTGTGTGACTACGTGTTAATTGCGATTGTTTTTTGAACCTGTTAAAAAAATTGTCGTTGTTTGGTCAAGTGTTTAAATGAACGTTAGGTTAATAGATTTTCAAAGATCAAAGTGGTTGATTTAGCACCTTAGTTAGCCCATCCCTTGTACGTAAATAACAGTTTTGTATGGTAAGGTCAGGTATACTGCATAAGTATGTTTATTCAGATTACATCAAGTACATGATCTATGTACCTTCGTTTTATTTATGATTTTTTTAATACTATTTTAAGATTTTCTGGAAAAATGATGTATTTGAAACGTGTAGCAATACTGTTTAGAGCCTTACTTGCAAATAAAAAAAATGAAAATAGAATATTAATGTTCCAACATTTATATAAAAAAAAAAAAGAAAAATGTGTAATGTGCATTGCTACTGCGTTCATTTGCGACCAATAGATGATATATTAAACATACATTATGCAAAAGTTAAATCTGCCTATTATAGGTCCTTCTTTAGGCCTGGAATGTTATAAACTATTAATTAGACATTTATTAATATGACAAGACCATAATCAACTCTCGACATATTTTGATTTAATTTAAAAATGGGGAAGCGAGGCCAGGATAGTGGTTACAATTAATGCACACATCTTGTCAAACCTTCAAAGGCTAATATCTTCGATCGCAATAGAGTAATTTGAATGAAATTTTTAATATATTTATTTTGCATTATCCATTTTCGAACTATTATATAGCAAGAATGGCTAGCTCTTTATCTAAATCTTACATAATGTATCTTTAATTAATAATTATTTATTGTAACTGTACAAAAACAGTGCTGTATTAACGGAGACATGTAAAATATCCTTTATATATATAATTGTTTATGGATAGATGTAATATAATTGTTGAATAATGAATGTATATATTATCATAGTTGTTCCTGGTGAAATGTAGTATAATTTATATCGTATAAATTGTTGTTTTGTACAAAGTTCGTTTTTCTCAATTATCTATAGCATATATTCTTTCTACTAGAACTTTAATATTAGTTCGGTAAATATAATAAATGACCTAGAACAATTGCAACAGAGAGGTCCCTGAAGGTCTCCCAAACCAAAATCGCCCAAAATGAAATGATAGGTTTTCGAGTAATTAGCATAAATCCAATATGGTCGCCATTGGCACCTTAAAACTCCAATATCTCGGGAATGGCTGAGTTTGGGGTGTAAATGTATTACGGGTAGATAGGAAAAACAATGTCAGGTGACGTCCTTGTGACGTCACAAGTCTTACGACCAACAATTAGCATAAATCCAAATTAAAAAGATAGGTTTTCGAGTAATTAGCGTAAATCCAATATGGTCGCATTGGCACCTTAAAACTCCAATATTTCGTGAATGTGAGTTTATAGGGTGTAAATGCATTAGGGGTAGATATAAAAGTTGTACCAAAGAATCAAAAAGAGCATAACCCATGACGTCTCTGTGGCGTCATAACGTCATACGTCCAACAATTGGCATAAATCCAATATGGCTGCCATGGAACCCTAAAACTGCAATATATCGGGAATGATTTGAGTTCAGAGGATGTAAATGTATCGCGGGTAGATAGTAAAGTGTTATCAAAGAATCAGAAAAACATTGCCAAATTACGTCCATGTGACGTCCAATCATTAGTATAAATCCAATATGGCCGCCTTTGGAAACTAAAACTCTAATATCTTGGGAATGGTTGAGTTTAGAGCATGCAAATGTAATATGGGCAGACAATGTGAAAGAACGTAATTATTAAACGAAGAACCGGGACAATTCTTCGAGAATGTTATGATAATTCACGAAAGGGGGATTTGGAAACCGATTAGAAGAGATTATCAAAACAGCAGCCACACTAATCTGCAGCAAGATTATTAAACAAAATCCGTCACCCATCCAGAAAGGTATTATCTGGACCAGAAACAATAAAGTTTTTCAAATTGTTTACACTTTTTTTTACAAGAGTTGATCGTGGGTAAAAGCGGCGAGATCCCAAGCAATTTTAGACCTATTTCATTTAGCGTTCCCGATACAGAAACATCATATTTATGGGCCAGGACTTCTGATCGGTGCTTTGAATGCATACGGCTTCTGTATCTCTTATTTGAAATTAAAGCAGCAAAGCAAACCCAACTAACAACCGACAGACCTTCTGGAGACACATGGACATGATATAGAAGCTCCAGAACTAGACCCACCAAATTTGTTAACCAATTCACCCGACGCCAACTTACAGATTGAATATCATAGTCAACGATTCCCATGAACCTGAACCAATTGCATACTTGATACTACAGTCCCTGAAATCGTCAATGAAGAAGAATTGCTAGCAGAAGAATTGTACAGTCAATTATCTATAGCATATATTCTTTCTACTTGAACTTTAATATATATTATTATCACCAATACGACCGTCAAGAATATGTTAGCTAAAAATGCCATTAGCTAAAGGTATAAACAAGGGGTACAGTTGAGTATGAAACTCAGATGAGGGGTGCGAGCATGCATTTGTTTCATATAACTGTATATAATTTTTCATGCAGAAGAAGATCCCATGGGGGGGGGGGGGGCACAAAACCCCAATATTTATATCGTTGTGTGGCGGGTGGAGACATGTTGGGTTGTGTGGAAAATGCCCAACATATCTGAACCAAGGTATTTGTTTGACATTGGTCGAGCAATACGATTATGATTATAGGGTTTAAAACCGTATTAAAGCGCGCCATTGTGCACGCCTCATTTAGCTCCTGATAATCAATGATGTATGCGAAATGTTGTAGCAAAGGGTACTTACAGGTGTGGTGGTCCTAGGACAGTAAAATATCCCAAGATGAGAATTCTGCGACAACTAAGAGTTATCTTCCCATTTACATTCGAACAAGGCTTAAGGTTGTTAAGTCCTAATCGGATATTAGTGAAACATTGAATATGGAAGAATGTTGTCATCACCCTAATCCGTCGTCCGGCAACGATTTCTTGTGGTCACACACATTGTCATGTATATCCTTTTACATAATGTTCAGTCCTCAAATTGCTTTGACCTAGAAAGTTTGTAAAATAATTACAGGTAATTAAAGAAGCAAGTCTTCCACAGTCTTCGACATTGAAAACACGAATTATTTGTCAATGTAAATCAACATTGATGTTGTGATATTACCAGGAAAAGATGGGCTTCTGATATCCAATATTTAAAACAAAATAAACATTTTACCATTGGTACACGAATCGTGTACCAGAATGTGTTTCAGTGCCATTCAAGGGACTTGAAGAACGACGCTAGACATATTCCACAGGTTAGATCTAATTGATCACGGGATGTAAACAGGGCTAGCGCCAATCCCAACCCTAAACCTAACCCTAACCCTGGACCTAGCCATAATGCTTACCCTAACCTTAACCTACAATCTTGCCAACAATCAGGTTCCCTAGCCTTATTTACATCAGGGCCAGACAAGGACAGCTGCCTGGTCGTTCGGATGGGACGAAAAACCGAGGACCCGTGTACACTTTGGCGTGCACGTAAAAGATCCCTTGGCAGTTGGAATTCGATATAAGAGTAGACCGTAGCGCCGCTGCCCGGGCAAAATAACCCTCATAGCACACTGTATGGCGTATGCCCGTCTTCAATTAGCCCAGGTTAGGTGCAGAGAGTAGGACGTTAAACTCCATTTCATTTCATTTCTTATTTACATCTCAGCGACCATGACGAAAATTGAGCTGGCCTTAACAAATAGATTTAGCCTATTTCACAAGTCATGTCAAACGGTGACGCCGTATTCTTATCTAGAACTAACCAGGCGCTAGAGATTGTCATTCGATTGAGACTTCCCGCGTATTTCGCCGAACATATATGATTTGAAATTAGGTTAAACACGAAAACGATTGGATATAAATCAGTTTATATACATTCATATAACATTATTTTTATATGCGTTGCGACCCACTTGTGTCAATTTTAGGTCCGAAATATAAGCGATTTATCTCCTTTAAAATTGAACGTCCGGTGCTTCTCTCGGCAAGAATTAAAAACACAGAACCTGGCTTGCGACGGTGTTCAAAATAGGTTAGATCCAAACTATTAGTAAGTGCATGTGGCCTTTAAATAATTTAGGCAAACCCCGACAGCACATGTTTTGAAGTTTTAACTGTTGGAAAGAATTAATTAAAACATATTTGCAAGCAAACTAAAAATTCGGTGACTGTATTACCGGTACACATTTCTAACAAAGACTGTAAGCTGTTGAAAACTTTTAAACATTATTTGGTGATCAAGGGTTCATCAACATAACATAAATAAGTGTTGGTACGTCTACGGTTCTATTTTATTTGCTGGTTAAAGAATGTTTCTTTTAACATTGCAAATGTCTTTGCAGTGTTAAGGTAGGCTAAGGTCGACTTGGATATCCAGAGAAAACAATATTACGTTATAAAAGGCATGGATTTAGTGAAACCCGTTTTGCATTGGGAAATATTTTGGAGAAGGCGGGGGTACATTGGTCGTTCCAGTGCAAATACTTTCCAACCGAGGAACTTGGTATGAAACACGCAAATGATAGACTACGGGTATACGTAGCTTGACTATTTAGTTTCTCACAAATAACATTTAACCACATCAGCTCAACCCACCCCAACGCGCCATGTCTTTTGCAAATATATTCGTATTTGTTCCTTAGAAAGTCACCAAAACGCTGACAGACCCCGCCCCCCCCCCCCACCACCAACCAACCAATCAACCAACCAACCAATATGCTCTAGGCTGGCAGCCATTGCCCATGTGAATTTCATTTCGGTGGGCTTTTACCATCGTTAGATATTTGACTTATTTACAAACTTGTGAATAGAGAGTGCTAATATCCGTACAATCCAATTTTCCAATTAAATAACAACTCGTCTATATTGATGGGCTATTGATTAATCCTGCAATTTATTGGCCGAATTTGAATATTTGTTGTGATAGAATAGATTACGGTATTGATTATTCCATTAACCTGTCTAGAACGTGTCAATCTTGTACATGTGGTAAGAAGTGGTTTCTAAGTCAATATTTATGGAATGGGATATACATAAGACGATAAGGATACAAAATCTACACGTACAGGACTACGACAACAAATTTTTAATAAATAAGTAAAGTATATTTTTTTTCACCTGTCATCTGCGGGTGTAGCTTTTTTTTTGTTTTGTTTTTTTTTAAACAGAGACATATCCTTTTCAAGTTCTATTTTTTCAGTTTTCGAAATTTATCTTAATCTCTTGTCTCATATCTTTCACATCTCTCGTATTTCTATAATACTCAGAAATGTCTCCATCTAAAGTTGTCTGTCTGGTTTTATTTGTTCCGGGGTAATAACTAGCGAAATATATACTTTGCTAGACTTCAAAAAAAAAATTTAAAAAAATAAAATAAAAAAAAATAAATAAAAAGAAAATAAAATGTTTTGTTAATCCTAATCCAAACATGGTTGTTATAAACTATAATATCACATTATTATAAGCATGATAAAAATCAGAGAGGCGAAATATTATACTTGGCTATTTCTGTTTTGTTAATCCTAATCCAAACTAAAGGCAGGATTACAATCTGAGAGGCACTCCCATTTAAGATGTAATGCCGAATCATGTACTAATAATTACAGTTAAGTCGATGTTATCTCTTCTGTAAGCCGTGTTAGGGCGACGCAATGAAATGAATGGCTGCCAACATTGTTTTCTTAATAATTCACAGATAATCTTCTCATACAGGAATTAGATTTGTGCGACTCTCCAACTAAATTATTTAACACACAATAATCAAAGGAAGGATCGATAATCGTTAATACTGAGACGAGCCTTGACGAAAAATCAAAATCTCGAAAGTTTAAGAGTGGCAGACACAAGTCGTGGCATGTCACCTTATTAATCATAGCCTATATTTGTAAGCGGTGACAGGTTTCCAGTAGGTTTTAAGTAATTCAAAGGGTTTGATCAATATAATCGCGGGTCATTTTAAAGGAATGTGATCACAACAGAGGATAACTTCGTAAAGCAGTTAGGATAGGAATACCGATTCCCAAAGAGCCACCGTATGCCTAAGTTTTGATTTAGTTGTTAAAGGTAAGCTCTGGTTCTGATGTTATTGAGATAACTTTTAAAATATATCTTATATTTATTTTTTGGTAAATCAAATACTACAACAACGGGGATACTTTTAAATTGTCTTTAGATTTGAAAGTAAACCGAAAAAAATTAACCAAATCGGTATTTTATTCCTAAATCAAAAGAGATGCTGTTTTTCTAAACAAAATTCGAGTCAAAAGGCAAAGAAGTAAAACTGTAGACTAACTAATCGTATAGTTGAATCATACCAAGATACTATTTAAAAAAAAGTAGTAAATGGGCATGTCAGTTGAAAGTGTAAAATTATTTTTTTTTGACAATACAATGTCAAGGAATAATGGCATGACTTCTCCCCGAAATCCGTACGACTGGACCCACGCCTAAATGCATGTATTGTATAATATACCAGTTGCTATGGGTTATGTTTTTATACCAAGAGCTAACAAAAGATAATACTAATTTGAGAGACACACACACGCGATATAATAATCGAAAGCACTTGTTAGTTGTTAGGTCTATGTGTTTGCATTCCACGGCACAAATTTAAAACTAGATATCTAGAATTGTACACGGGTCCTCGGGTTTTCGTGCCATCCGAACAACTACATGCTTTTCCTGGCCATGTTCACCGTCCTGCGCCACTAACAAGAGGAAACCAGGCTGGAAATCCCGAGGAACTTACCCGACTAAAACGGGATCGATCTCATACCTACTAGTTAGCAAGCCAGTGACTTACACGCAGAGTCGGTAAGGAAGGGGGTTTAATATCCGGTCACCGCACTATACAGGTAACAATTGTTTTCCATAGAATTGTGACCTGTAAATTCCAGTTCAATTACTAAATGCCATTGAAACAATTTATCTTAAAACTAGCATAATGGCAGTTTTTATGACTACGCATTAGGTGGGGGGGTGGGGTGAGGGCGTGGGTGAATAGATTCTGAAGTCGTTCAAAGATCATTACGTGCACAGTTAAAATTAACTTAGTTTATCCGCACTATATATGCTGGAAAATAATGTATCTCCTTGCCCTTGCGATCCGAGGAAATTGTGTGCAACTGGAAATGTCGACAGCTTATGTGGACTGCGCACGTTTAGTCGCAAGAACATTTAGTTACCTGTAACTGGAACCTCACAGGACGTATGTCGACAGCTCGCTTGATACTTTTATTGGTAAGCCCATCTTTAACTCTGCAAGTAGTGTGACTTTATACCGGGATACAGATTTAAATAGCTTACCCTTCTTTAGTATACACCTAAATGTAGGTTTCAATGATTTAAACTGCCGAGTGTAAATTTCAGAGAAACTATAGGTGGGTGGGGGCGGGGGGATTTCTGTACTTTAAGTTATATTTTGTTATTAATTGCTTCAAGTAAACCCGATATTCAGTTACAAGTCAGTGTCAACATTTTCCCCAAGTAAACGACTTCTAAGGTCGAACGACTTGAAATCAACTATAAAAGATGTTTATCCCGATCTAGATCCCATACGCCGTCGGTCAATATTGATTACTGAACCTTGCAAATATCCACCAGTCTGATTCAGATTTAACCAATGTACAGCAATAAAACACCTTTCTAAAATATACAGTGAATACAGATCTCCGAGTGCAATTAAATAATCAACTCAAAACTTATATTTGCATAATGTGGTTTATTTTATTATATTATGTCACCGGAATTGTATAATGTTGTTTATTCTTTCATACATGTCATAGGAATTACAAATGATTATTTAAGATATCATTTTGAAACAGTTACACTACTTAAGCTGAATAGTAAATGAGATTAACACCTATGTAAAATTGGCACTGGTTTAGAAAATATTTTTGGTGTAAAGGTTGCGGATTATGAATATAGGTAGTGATCAATGACCCAATTTTTTAAGCTAGATATGAAAAAGATCCATTAAAAACTATAGCTAAGTGGGTAAGACGCTGGCTCGCTAGCCTGGAGGTCGGGTGTTCGATCCCTGCATTGGCCGAGAAAGTTCATCCAGATTTTCCGGCGTGGTTCCCCCTTGTCAGTGATGCAGGAAGGAGGGCCTGACAAGGACAGCTGTCTAGTCCTTCTGATGATACGAAAAACCGAGGCCCCGTGTATACATTGGAATGCACGTAAAAGATCCCTTGGCAGTTGGAATTCGATATAAGAGTAGGCGATAGTGGCGCTGCCCAGGCAAAATTTCCCTCATAGCACACTGTATGGCGTATGCCCGTCTTCATTAGCCCAGTTTAGGAGCAGAACAGTAGGACGTTAAACCCGATTTCATTTCTTTCTTTCAAAAACTATAGCCGTTATCGCGTGCACAAGGTTTTTTTTCTCCGGAAATAGGGCATTACTCTGGAACGGAAAGTGACGGAACACAAAATATGTAGAAAGGGTTCATCCTCCATTGACTGCAAAGCTTTGCACCAAATTTTACAATAATTAAGTAACGAAAAGTCGTGGAATACTGAAAATCAATAGGGTTCATCCTGCCATGGCCCCAATGGTTCCCACCAAATCACATGGTTTTCGGGCAAGGGGGTAGGGGGCGGGGTAACTCTTGAACGGAAAGTCATGGTACAATGGATACCGATAGGATTCGTCCTATGACCACAATGTTTTACACCAAATTTGAAAAGAATCCGTGGAAAACTATAGCCTCTATCGTGTTCACGTAGTTTTCGGAAATAGTCGCGGAACGCTGAAAATCGATAGGGTTCGTCCTCTCGTGACCATAATGCTTCACACCAATTTTGAAAACAATCCGTCAAAAACTCTAGTCCCTGTCTCGCTCACAAGCCAATTGTTGACGGACAGACCGGCGGGCAGGGTGACCAGAACTTATATAGGACTTTGCCTGTTGTTCAATCCAATTCAGTTTATTGAATAAAATATTGTTAAAACTAATACGCCTACACTAAAATGGGGGAGTATAAAAACTAGTACCCGGAATCTCGACTTGTATTCCCATCTAAACTGATTTCTTTGTCATTTCCTGAAATGGTGTGTTTGTATATTAAACGATGAATAATTTAGTCCAAAAATAATCAGGCACAGCATGTTATTTTGTTTTATACATTTATTTTACAACATCTATTTTACAGAAACAAATCAGCTCTTTATGGTTTCCAGCATCCAAGAAATAAGAATTCAAAATCATCTCAACTTCCAGTGTCATTACTATCGTGCATGATAAATCAAAATCAAAATGAGTGCCATCCGATCTTCAGTGCGTCCAGTCAGTAGTAAACAAAAATGGGGTACGATATTGAAACCCGAGTTCGGTCTGGGATATCAGAAATTAACACAATATGAAATAGATCAGACAGTTGAAAGACTATATTTTGTGCCGACGACTAAACAGAGAGTAGATGACCGACAAAAGAAAGAAATGTCAAGGAAAAATATACAATCTATGGTAATACACAGTTAATCTTAATAAGTATATAGGTCTAATTACATCAAATATGTTTTTGTCAAATAAATTCCAAAGCAAATAAGCCAATACCCGCCGATCTACACCCTCTTATAAATAATCGAATATATTTATGAACGTCCGTCAAGAACATCTTTCTGTAGGAAATGCGCAGATTTGAAATCATAAGTAGAAAGTCTAAAGTAGAAAATTAAAATAGTAAGTAGAAATTGTGTCGCTGAAAAGTAGAATTATGACGAATTAAAGTTGAAAAGATGGACCTTTTACCAAATTAAATGCATAACGTTTTATGTTTCTAGTAATGTGTTTCTTTTAGATACCTAAATAAACTGCCTTCCCTCCATCTTTTACCTTTTGATTTTTTTTTCTACGGATCGCATTTTGAGCCAGAAACCCTTCTATGCAATAGCGTTCACCTTTAATTCTCAAAACTCAAATGTATAATCGGGAAGATTACTTGTTCGTTTGAGATTAGAAAATTAAGATGAATCCAACTGTTCGAAAAATACGAAATCTGAAACTATCGATTCACGTTCCATAATTAATAGACATGCAACAAATTGTTTTCTTCAGCTTGATAGAGTGGCACAAACTGAAGAAATCAACGTTCCTGACAGCGATCGAAGAATTTCCAGTTCTATTTACAAAGATATGGGTGTTGTTTCTTCGTATGCTTGGAAGGGCTACAACTGATTTGTTTAAATAAAGAACAGAGGCTAATATTTGTATGAGAGAAACATTGAAGTGTTTATAAAAGAATAAATTGTTATTAGTTTAAAACTTGAGACTGTTGGGTTCTTTGTTTTATGAAAATTGCCGACAATCTGCAAAAGTTTACACCTAAAAAAAAAGAACACTTCTGATACACGTTTGATAACATGGTCTAATAATGGGTATCATAATATTGAGGAGGGGAGCACGTGTCACTTAACGGGAGAAAATTATGGGTCGATGGGAGACATACCTTTAAGTCAGGTAATAATTTATATCGGAATCAATCAACTGGATACTGAAAGGACGGTAAACAGGATTTATATATGTCATAACTAATGTGTGCCGTGTGTGTATGTGTGTGGGTACAGGGGGTGGGGTATGTAGGATCCGTGTGTCATGCATGACAAGCTATACTCGTGGGCTAAGCAATATAGAATCTATTTGATCCATATGGCATTTTTCTTCAGGGAGTATGAAATGAGCTGGACACTATTATGGTCGGTATATATGATGTATCTGTATGGCCATTGTCTGCGTCAGATTCGCGGCGGAACTGGTATTATAAACAATGATGTTAATATGGTATTAGAAATTCGGGCACACCAGACCGACACTGTGCTTATGTACATCCTGTTCCTATCTGAATGTTAGTTGGGGGGGGGGGCTGGATAAACCCCATTTCTCTCTCTCTCACACTCTCTCTGTAAATTTCAACCAACGATTAAAGACAGTGTACTCTAAATTGCAACCAATATAAAGCTGTTCATAAAGTAAATGTTACTGAATTTGGTGACCTTGAAATATTTTACCACTAATTTCAGGATCCACGGTACGATGACAAGATGAATTTTGTCTTATCTTAATCTGTATTTGGTTTCCGCATTCAAAAGTTCTTGACAAAAGATTTATATCGACGAATTGCACCCACCATATTTGGAAATAAATATGGTTTGTATCGCACACCAATAAAGCTAGGAAGTTACATGCATTGATTAAAGACACTAATAGTGTGCCGCCCCCCCCCCCCCCAAAAAAAAAAATAGTGTCTGGATAAGACGAAATATAATAAAATGTTGCTGAAAAGCAAGTGGTGTGCATTATTGTTATCGTCGAGTCGGCTTCCCTGAATATGTCAGATTAGTTTTTCAATCGTCTTATTAATAGTATGCTTGTGGTATCATGGTTGTAGAATCATACAGCATCAATCTAAATGCCCCACTCTTTGCAAAAAGTAATATTGATGATGTTGCCAAGTAAAAATCCAGAGAATTTACAATCTGATTAAAACACAGATCCAATTTCGTTTAGTTTTTATAGTTCAAAATTTCGATTTTACTTGTCTTTACTACACTTGTAGTGTAGGCCATCGAAAGTATAAAAAACAAAACGAAATATAGATCTATATTTTAATTAGATTGGGGAATTTAGTACAATTTGAAAGAAGGAAGGGAGGATATTCGGGTATATATCACACTTGTGTAGACAATTCATATTCTAAAACAATGACTACCAATTAGAAACAAAATACGAAGTGACATTGTAGTGTTTCTATGTTGAATTAAAGATATCTTTCCGCGTACAAACTGTGTGATTTGATGATTTATTTAGACTAAATACATATTCAAACTAATTAATCTTTCAAAAATTTGCTTTAAATCCCTCTCAAAACCGGTATTGGCCGAGAAAGTTCATCTGGATTTTCCGGCGTGGTTTGCCCTTGTCAGTGGTGCAGGACGTAGGGCCTGGCAAGGACAGTTGTCTAGTCGTTCGGATGTGAAGAAAAACCGAGGTCCCGTGTACTCATCGGCGTGCACGTAAAAAGATCCCTTGGCAGTTGGAATTCGATATAAGAGTAGGCCGTAGCGTCGCTGTCCAGGCAAATTTTCCGTCATAGCACACCTATGGCGTTTGCCCGTCTTCATTAGCCCAGTCGGAGCAGAACAGTAGGGCGTTAAAGGAGCTAAATAGCTAAATCGCTAAAATTTGTGACCTACAAATTGACACAAATGAGTAGCAACGCATATATAATTTAATATGAATGTATATAAACTGATTTAAATTCAATCGTTTCCGTTTTTACTTTAATTTCAAATCAGTTATGTTATTATGGTATGCAAAATTCGCCAGAAGTCTCAATCGAATGGCAATATCTAGCGTCTGGTTATTCTAGTCTACATCGCTAGTATTTATTGCGCATGCTCTCCAGATATCACCTTTTGTCTACGATATCACCTTAGGTGGAAGTGGACGTAAAACCCCAGAAACGAACGAGATATCACCTCTGTGGGAGTGGACGTAAAATACAACTAACTCTTACACACACACAGATAAGAATGTAGCGTCACCGTTTGACATGACTTGTGGAATATGTCTGGGCCTCGTTCTTCCAGTCCCTTGTTACAAATGGCGCAGAAACGCATTATGGTACACGAATGGTAAAATGTTTATTTTGTCTTAAATATTGGATATCAGAATCCCATCTTTTCCCGGTAAGATCACAACATGAATGTTGATTTAATTTTACAAATAAATCGTGTTTTCAATGTTGAAGATTTTGGAAGATATTGAGTTAGAGACTGAGCTACTTTAAAATACATGTTTATTTCAAAAAAGGATGCGTTCGATTATGGTGCGCAACTTCTTGGGTTATGGCCCCCTTTTGGATCCTAAGACCATAATGCGCTTCAGTCCCAGTTGTATCAAGAGACTCGTGGGACGAGGCTAGACACATTGCACCAAATCGAACGGCGTATGTAGACTGGAATAACCAGACGCTAGAAATTTGCACTCGCTTGAGACTGCTGGCTTATTTCGCCGAACATAACTGATTTGAAATTGGAGTAAAAACGGAAACCATTGAATGTAAATCAGTTTATATACATTCATACTACAGTATTATATGTGTTGCGACCTACTCTTGTCAATTTCAAGGTCCCAAATGTTAGCGATTTAGCTCCTTTAACGTTAATCAAAATCGAATAAAAAATTGTGAACTCTAGAATGTACACATGGGCAATATGAATAATCTAGGAATTTGTGAGTGCATCCACAAATAGTAATTGGCGATAACACTTCGGTGGAAACGGACGTTAAATGAAGGCCTTTCACACACGCCAAACACACTTATCAGCAGTGAATATTCGCTTGGCAAAACCTCTATGAAACAGATGAGCAAAACAGTAGGCTTCCGTTTGGGGCTAGGCTGTCGTGGGCGATGTTGTCTACGGATGATGGAATACTTATCTGGATAATCGAGAAAACAACCCAAGAGAGTTACATCCCTTGTCAATTTCCGTTGTGAATGACGCCAACACAAGAAAAAAAAAGAGAAAAGGTGTATTTTGTTGGTTTAGGAAAAATAAATGGTCTGAAAATTAAATCTTGATTTATGGATTTAAACAGTTTTTATATGGATTAGTTTAGTAAGTATCGGTAATTTTTAAACAAGAAAATGTGCCGAAAAAGGTTTCAAATGAAATGAATAAAAACGAGACAGCACTAGCAGAATTAACCGTGTAGGCCCTATATACTGCACTACCCCACTAGTAATTAGTATACTATGACTAGGTTGTACAATGAATTTGGTATACGAGTACGACCTAGTGTTTAAAGTTGCAATTTCATATTTTTAAGTTATATTTTTAAAATTTATTAAAATAAAGCCTTAAAATAGATGGTATCTATAAACAGTCCTACCGTGTTAAAGAATAATCCTATTATTAATCATAATTCACTAGAAATTGGCAAAAATATCATTTTCAACTTCAAATTCAAACGTTTGAAGATAGCTATTCCATGGGCAGAATAGAAAAACAAGGGAGGTAATTTTTAAGTGGGAGAATAATACCTATGATCGTATAATAGTGAGTTGACAACCTATTGAGCAAAAGACATAGAAATAATTATGTTTTGTCTTTCTTAGAAAGTATGAAATTATCGCTTTAAGCTTACATACATGTACTGAGACACAGCGAAGCGTAATGAAGCTGAAATGTGATTTTGGCATGATTATAGGGTAGGCTGGACATTTAGTTTACTAACACACTGTACACAGGAAGATTTATAATAACATCGGGGGAAATATAACATAAACAACTTTTACTTTTTAAAATATAAAGTCAGTAACATGTGTTTGGACAGTCACACCTGACCTCATGCAAGGTTGCAATGCTGCTTCCAATGGCGCGGGTACTGATGCCCTCTTAAATATACACAATTTGGCGCATTCTTGGTACCGTATTCAGTTGTCAACCTTGCCTTGGCCTATAGTATCATCGCATCTTCCACAGAACTGCACATATTGTACTGACCCTAGCTTTTTAAAAAGCAGAGTATTATACCTCATACTCATGGTATTTTCAACGTTTCCATTTTGTCAATTCCAATTTTGATGTTCTTGTTGTGATCTGATGTTACATTCAGAAATTCATGATTAAATTGTATCCCAGACAAGATTTAAAATCAACTATATTTATAAAAGTGATGCGTCTCAGTATAGTTATACCGGGCTTTGCATCTTGGTACATTTCAAACTTATTTCGAATTACACCTTAATTAAAAGCCAAAGGACCAATTTCTGGACTATGAAATTTTCTTTTCCGAAGGGAAGCCGAAGCTAATTTACATTGTCAAATTGATTCTAAATGAATTAATTTTTTAAAGATTCTTTCAGTCAGATATTTTATAAATATGGCAACTAGTGGGGGTGATGTAATTGCAAATGAAATCGATTCGTCAGATGATGAAGAAGTCCAACGAAATACTGAAAGAACTATCAAACAACATCAAAAAGATATAACTTCTGAAGATCTCTCGAACCCAGATACACTGCTACAAAAACTAGAATCTGTTGAGCTTACTGAAGAAGATACAGAAGAATTGCTTCATGAAGCGTATAAAGTTAACATGAAATTGAAAGAGATTTTGAGGCGCCAGGAGCAAAATGATGGTATTCAGATGAGAAGGGTTCATACAGCTGGTGGACTTAGCGGTAAAAATGGAGGACCCAAAAAATTCAGTTCTCAGAAATCTCCTCTGCCTCCTATTTCTACAGATGTCGATGGTTTGACTAGAAATGCCTACACATCTCATGCTGGTACAAGAACTGCTTCTCAGAGGAATTCAAATCGAGTCACATCATCACAGGTAAGAATTCTTCTTAGTTGCTTCCCCACGACACCCTAGTCCCATTTTAAAACATGTATAGTACACCAGTAATCAACACATCATTACCACTACCAGTGGTGCAGGACAGGGTACCTGGTAAGTGGTGCAGGACAGGGTACGTGGTAAGGAGCAGTATCTAGTCATGTGGATGGGATAGAATTCCATGTCCTGTGTACAGATTGGCATAAAAGAACCCTTGACAAGTGCAAATCACAGAAGGGTAGAACATTAAACCTGATTTAATGTCTATCTTCTAATATTTATAGTATACAAGACATTAGATCTGGTGAAATTTTCAAAAAGATTGAAATCTTCTGCATGCAATTTGCATCCATCAGAGTCTGAGTGATGCAGAATTAAATTTCTTAGCCCAGGTCTGAAAACCAACTATGTTATGTAAACAAAAAAAACCTTGTGCTTTTCCCTACGCAGCCCCTTTCCAGGTATTGTTGTGCATAAATCTATACTTAAAACATTCTAAAGATAGAATTCACTATGCAACAGTTGTGAATGATTGTGGACTGCAAGAGAGCCACAGTGGGTTAGTATGGCAGTGCCCAAAAAGTTCCTTCAGATTTTCTAGCCTTGTCAGTGGTGCAGGGACTGGCAAGGAAAAAGGGTGTCCACCCATGTACATGTAAAATAACCATTTTCAGTTGTAATTCTATGAAGGGTAGGCAGAAACACTGCTGTCTGGGCAAAATTTCCCCTCAAAGAAAAAATGCATGGCAAAATTTCCCCTCAAAGAAAAAATGCATGGCATATGCCCATTTGATGTTAAACTATAAACCCCATTCCATTCTTTTGGACTGTGTTTTGAGCATGCTCATGGTGCAATATCAATATACTATTATTATTCTTGGAAAAGTCATTTATATAATATGGCCGACATCCATTTTTTTTTTTTACCTCGCATCTATTTATCATCACTTTATGTACCATTTTAAAATGGTGCTTGTAACAGCTGATAAAGACAGATAGGATAATATTTTTGATATATTATGGTGTTTCAATAATCACATTCATTATTTTACTGATCTTTTATTAACTATGGTGTCTTCTATTGACAGAGTAAAAGGAGTCCATCCAGAAGAAAAGCATCAGCAAAGGAAACTAAACCAGATTGGGATTCGAGATTTTCTTATGGCTAATCATTCTATTTTTTTTTTTTTTTTTTTTTTACTATCGTAAACCAGTATTATTTTCCATTAAGGAAGAAACAAAGGGAAAGAATAATAGCAAATTATATGCTAATTCTTTAAATTATTTTATCTTGTCATTAATTTAAAACAGCATTATACTTTACATTGATATATATTACATTCTATTATGATCTTGCCATTATGTAGATCTGCCTTCTAATGTACTTTGTAGTTTAACTAATTGTAGAAAGCAAGTGAGGGAAAAAACAACCAAACCTCCAAATAGTTAATTTTCCCTTTCTCATAATGAAATAGTCAAATTATAAACATATATTATTTGTATGTACATGGATAAATATGTGTTGTACATTTGTCTTAAATATATATATATATTTATGTCCGCATTATTGACTAGTTCAATATTTTTTAAATTTTTGTACAAATGTGATTTTTAGTTTAGTGTATTTATTGATATGTTATAAATAAGTTTCAATATTCTCACTGCTTCACTATCCATTGGTCCCTAAATTAAAGAAGACTGCACTTATTGGGGCACATCCTTCTCCATATGAACAGTTTTTGAGTTGATAACAGCTGAAATGCAAGACTAAATTACCTCCCTTCTTTTTACAGAAATTTGATTTAGTAGGCGTGAACAAATTTATTTCACTAAATTCTCAATCTGTTTCACAGAGCTCTTTTAATATCTCTGTTACAGATGACTGTTTCGACATGTGACGTCACATCACACGGCGTCAATCATTGGCTCAATAGCAAGTGCATTGTTTAAATAAGACGTTACTGATTTGGGCTAAATGGTGAATTTTGCTTATTTTAATACCCATTTACACTAAATAGGAAATGATTTTTACCTACAAACAATTCAAACGTCTTTATTTATTTTTCTAATAAATGCAAAAAATGTTTTAGAATTTAATTTGACGGAAGAAAAAAGTTAATATTTGGGACTCATTAAGTCGCATCCATGTCATCCTTATCAGTGATTGTAGCGACCTAGCGAACATTCACTGCTGATCAGTGTGCTAAATTCTAACATTGTTCAGGGAAGGGATTTTATGTAATAATTTTGAATCTGTGTATTTGTTCATACCCTTTAATAAATTGGACAATAAATGGAGAACTTGACAAATTGATTGTTACAGTCCTTTGCCATGACTGAACTATGCCTACTCAAAAATGCCAGCAGGAGATGAAGATGTATTATTACTAGCTAGGGTATTTTATAAAGTGGCATCTGTAACAATATTATGGCTGCTGCCCAATATTGATTTCAAATTCGTAAACAAGTTTTATTAGGTAGGACATCATGTAATGCTAGAAATAGATACCAGCCAACAGTGAGGCTGATGTCCCCCGCCAAAATGCCAAAATAAATAGATGACACATATTAATTAATAGCACATTTATTTTTTTCAAAAGTATCAAGCAATCAAACTGATTATCAACTATACACAAAGTTTCATCAGTCTCTATCAGATAGAATCAAAGTTATCTTGTCCCAAAGCATGGACCAATGAAATTGCTTAGCTCTGCTTAGCTTTAGTTCCAAATGTTAATGATTGAACTCAGTCAAGACATTCACCTAATGAACATCTACATCAAGTTTAAACATTCTACCTCAATTAAAATCAGGGTTATGTTCCAAAGTCTTGACCAATCAAATTGCTTATCGCTCAGCTTATCCAGAGCAGAAAATGCTCATTATCGAACTTAGTCAAGGTATTGATGTAATGAAACTAAACACCAAATTTCATCACTCTCACTTAATTGAACATTCTAGCTCAATTAGAGAGTTATTGTGTTTCAAAGTCTCGGCCAATCAAATTGCTTATCGCTCTGCTTATCCTTGGCAGAAAATGCTCATTATCGAACTTAGTCGAGATATTGATGTAATGAAACTATACACCAAGTTTCATCACTCTCACTTAATTAGAACTAAAGTTATCATGTCCCAAAGCATCAACCAATCAACTTGCTTATCTCTGCTTACCCTAAGCAGAAAATGCTCATCTTCAAACTCCATCAAGGCATTGACCTAATAAACACCTACACCAACTTTGAAGATTCTAGCTCAATTAAGGAGAGTTATTGTGTCCCAAAAAGTGGGACAGACAGACAAATATAGTTATATATTAAAAACAAAATATAGAGACTGGCTAGTACTGCCATTTCCTTTTTGTTGATCAAAATCACACCATATCCTGTCTTGTTTATGAAACTAAACATCTAGCTGACCAAATTAGGGGCATTCACATCATTAAACAAGAGTGAGGCTAGGCTGTGATTCAGTCTAGAGTTCACTCAGACTGTCATACCAGGCATATTAAAGCCAAAAAGCCAGTTACTATTCAAGCTCTAGTTACAAATAATACACGATACAAAATGAGAGTAACATTCAACATTTATTGTAATCATACTATAATATATACATTTAAATTCTGTCACTTAGCAATACTTAATTTATATATACACAAACATGATTGTTCTAAGATGTTCTTCAACCAAATAAGTCATTCTAAACAACAAATAAATTCCAATCTTTTCTGGAATCTCATTCATAACACATTTTTCAATCAAAACTATAATATTTCAAATTATTTTGTACACAAACATTAATATGTATACCCTTAGCTTAACCCTTAATAATGAATCACAACAGAATTACAACATAATTTGGATCAATATGTTTTAAAATACATCTTGCCGAGACACGCAGGGTAAAAAATAAATATTATGGGTTATATTTGTGACAAATCTGAATAATTCATTGCTGGAATAAAGACCTTTTAAAATTCATACACATTTTACAGTACCTTTCATAAAATTCAAGGAACAATTGTGCAAAAGGTTTTGTCTTATGTATAAAAAATTAATGCCTTTACTTGAAAAGTGACAATGCCTCTTTAGTCTCAATAGCAAAATTTAAATTTTTAATTCTTTTGATATTTATTTATAATTGAATCTTTTTTCAAAAGAAGAAATTTTCTGTGATTCTTTGTAGGAAAAGTGAATAATATCAATGCATCCATACTTTACCCAAGATGATTATAAAATTAACCCTCAGTCTAGTAGTATAAATGAATACCTTTCCGGCTATGGCTGTTGTGGTATATCCACTTACTTCAATTTTCTGTGTTGTGAACAAATAGCAATTGAGCAAAGAAAACATTAAGAATAGGCTTACAATATAAAAAATATGTTTAATGGAGAGAGTTACCTATTGTTTTAGAACACATTTATTTCAGGAGTATGAAACGACCACACCATATTTACAGTATCAAAGATATATTATCAAGAAATGTTACATCAATCTATCTGTAATCATGTTTTATGTTATTCTAACGTTTCTTTCCGCTGTGTCTTTTATGGCTATCTTAAAGGCCGACGCAAAGGGAATCCGAATCAGCTCCCCATTTCCCTTTTTTTCCAGTTATCTTAACCTTATATGTCTTTTTAGAAGCTACTGTCCTGAAAAACCATGTTAAACATTTATCGAGGGCTTAATTAACTCTTCAGTTAACTAAGCCAGGGAAAGAGTCAGACACTTCAGACTAATGTTACTGTTGTGGGAAAATATATTTGTCCATTTTTTAAAAGGAAAATAACCATCTACATTAGATATACATCAATTTTTACTTCCAGCTTACAAGTCAAATTCTCTAATTATAATTTATAAAACATAGATATCTTTGAAAAAGTCACAACGAAAACTATTCTCCATTATCCGCCACGTGTGCAGAGCAACCTTTTGAAACCAAATGAAAAATGTTCACCTACTTGGACAAGTTAACAATGCAAAATTCAATTAACAGCTTTTTAATGCAATATTATTTAATACATTCATCAATTCAATTAGAGAACACAATTAATATCAGTCATAATATCAAACATACACAATAAAATAAGCCATAAAATATATTTATATTTGGGATCAGTTTACTAGTCTTACACAAAATATATTCATACAAGAGTATAAGGGATAGAGATACATATTATTCTAATATAGGGGAAGAGCAAAGGTGCTTCTTTCGTCAATACTAGAACTCATCTTTTGATTGATGTATAAATCTCTATTCTACATGATGTGTCTAACAATAACTTCACATCATAAATCCTAACAAAATTCAACAGAGAGGAGGGATATAATATTTAATTTTCCTACATTCCTAATAATAAAATATAAATGATTGGATGATAGTGGGCATTGTACATGATAAATTTGACATAAAGTTAGGAACAGAATTCTGTTTCAAATGCAAAATATTTTACATTGATTTATCACACTGTAGTATCTTTAGTAATTTGGAAAAAAAAAGTATCATAAACTTATAATCTAATGAAAATATGTTTACTCTCAATAAAATCTAAAACAAAATTCCAATCATAACAAAATTTTATATATTTAGCTTCTATATCACAAATATGAAACCTGACCCAGACAAAATTATTTTACATGAAGTAAAGAAAAAAATCGCTTGGGTTACTTTTTGTTAACAAATATGATATCGCATTAGGCTGATCAGAAAACACCACCATCTTCTAGGTATCAAGTTCTTATTTGCACATCACATTATTTCAACTGTTAGGAAATTTCTCCTTGGAAGTTTGTTCTTATTTTGTAGCTCAAACTAGGTCATTTGTCACATCACTGTTTTCCCTCAATCAGCAACCTATCCACAAGCTTACTAGGCAGTGAAGGTTTCCTTGCAGGTAGATTTTCTGGCGTGGGAATGGCTTCTCCGATCGATTCTTGGATTAAAAGTTTTTCAGACTGATTTAAAGGCTTCTTTGGGTTATTTAGTTTTGCCTTGGCCATGTTATAATCACCAGAATCAAAGTATTTCTGCAAGAGAAATAACCCCAAAAACCATTAGTACATTTATATGCATGTTATATATATATATATATATATGTGGCTGATCATTACAATTTACATACGAGGCATCCTCTTTCATAATCCCACCTCAATTTTAGATTCAATTAATTTTGAAATTGATTGGAAAATTTGAAAAAAAACTACTGGGATAAAATAAATTTATTCGTAAGGTTCTAAATATATGGTTCTCCTTTGGAGACACCTCAACTTTGATGACCATTTTTGAGGTCTATTTAAAAATGACATTCAGTATTTTAGAATGTACATTTTCAGCTGTAAGGTGCTTGACAAAGGTAAAGCACCTAAAAAAAAAACCAAATGACTGAAAATAATACAATTTGGCAAAGCAATCTTGTATTTTGCTGTAAGTTCACTTTAATCATTGAAAATCATAATACACTCTTGAAATTTCAACTCTTGACAGTAACTGTGGATAACTGACAGAACAGACATATCGAAATTATGCTTTATAGTTGAATGTAGATGTATAAAAACTGACATAGATGAATACATATGCATAAATGATTGGTATCACACCATTCAATGTTCATTTATCTTCCAACAATGTCAATTATGTCATTTTATGATAATTTTTCTGTACAGGTTTATAAATAAACCATTTGGTGCTTCTAATTATATAATTAGAGATACATCAAAAGAAACATTTTGACAATCTACAACTTTAATATGGTCGCCTTATGTTTTAAGCTTACAATCAACAGTTACCAAGCAGTTAGCAGTGCCAGAGATATCCACATTAGAATCCTACAGATGTAATATATACTTACCCCTTTTTGGATTAATCTTTTTTGGAGAATCGCAGTTCCACCACCACCTTTCAAATTAGGGTATTTCTTTCGGAGACGTGCTTCTTCAGACTGCTCAACACCTTTTGGCTAAAAAAGGAATTAAAAACTGAACTCAATAAACATAATTTGGAGTTGATTTACGTGGCTATATACAGAATGTTGGCCTCTATGTACATGAACATCTGCAAAAAAAATGTAATTCATACTTACAGTGCTCACATCGGATAGTGATTTCACTATCTGAATATTTGACGTCATGATGTCAAGTGGTCAGGCTAAATTTAAATATTTTGTATGCCTATTTCAAAAGACCGGATAATTATAAGTGATAGGCTCTTGAATAGACTTGTGTAAATAATTAATTTTCGTCCTACATTCTGAAAAATGAACCCTCCCTCAATCAATGTAGGTGACAAAAATGTCTTCTAAAAATATTTTTTTTTATAGTTTGTTTTCACAGGGATCTGAAGCAAATTTTTGATAGATTAATTAGTTTGAATATGTTTTTAGCCCAAAATCACACATTTTGTATGCACGAAGGTGTCTTAAAGTTAAATGGGTGGTAACTGTTGATATTAGGAATGAACTGGCCATTAGACTAGGCTTAGATTCAGGGTTTTAAACTCTCTGCCATGCCCAAAAGACTGTATGTAGGCCTACATTCATATCTGGCAACATCTGAAAACATCAGCAGTAGTCTACAGTTAGAGACAGTCGATCAACATAAAACTAATTTAATGATAAGCATACTGCTCCCTAAATACTAAGCATCCCCATCAAAATGATCAAAATTATATTTTAGTTTTCTACGTTACACTACACTACTATACTAAGAGTCATAGGAATATAATTAAATATTATATTATATTATTATGTTCTAATCTAAGGATTTTTAGACAAAAAAACTTTCATTGCAGCTTGACTCTTATCTGCCTTTTTTTTTTTATTTTAAACCGTAAAAGAGGTTGATTTCAGTAACACTAAACCGGACAATTGTTTTCTACAAATCGTTATTTACAACCAGTGTACAAAAGTTGCAAGTTTTCTTCTTTAGTTCTTGTATGCAACCATCAGGCATCACAACAAACCAATCAGAAATTTAGAGCTGACAGATTGACTTGTACAGAACTAAATTATACCTGTGGCTGTTTGAAAACATCATCTTCAATGGGAGGGGTGCCACTTCCTGCTTCAGTCGCCATACTTCAAGAAGACAAGTTTTGGAAAGGTGAAAATTCACCAGGAGCTTCGAGTAGGGCCTACTTGGTTTTCAACGACTTGACAAAAATGGCGTTTGATGACGTCAATGAAAATTTCGACAGCTGACCAATCAAATTTGACGCATCACCTCGGTGCGCGACTATCAAATATGTCTGCGCCCAGGGCAATGGTAAATATTACATCTATTTTGCCAGGTTGGCGATAACTTTGGAAAGTAACCTTGAAATGTTTTAGTGGAGTTTTATAGGAACAATTACATGCAAACCATGTTTTCTGGCAAAAAGCAAATTGCCATTTTGCTTTGGCTCATAACTATTTACATAATTGGAATTCTTATATTTACGAAAGGATTCCTCCTAAAGCGAGTTGTTATAAACAACAACAGTAGCTGTGATGTGGATTTTTCTTTGAACACAGATGATCATGAGGAAGAAGGTTGCTGGATGCACAAGAGATTCAAGAAAGCAGTAATAATTATAATTGATGCATTGAAATATGACTTTCTGAAGTTCGACGAATCATACAAATTAAATGATACAGTGCCACATTTTAAGAATAAACTTCCATTTATTCAGAATTTATTATACAGAAGTCCTAAAAATGCCATGTTGTCAAAGTTTATGGCAGACCCACCTACAACTACTTTGCAGAGATTGAAAGGGCTAACGACAGGAAGTCTGCCAACATTTGTTGATGCAGGGTCTAATTTTGCAAGTTCTGAGATAATGGAAGATAATATAATTGATCAGATGGTAACAGCAGGAAAAAAGATAAAATTTCTTGGGGATGATACCTGGCTTGGTCTATATCCTGGTAGATTTTTTAAATGGTTCCCGTTTCCATCTTTTAATGTTAAAGATCTGCATACAGTTGACAATGGCATATTGAAACACCTCTTGCCCGAACTTAAACTTAATGACTGGGATGTTTTTATAGCTCATTTTCTTGGAGTAGATCATTGTGGTCACAGATTTGGACCAAACCACCCAGCAATGTCAGAAAAATTATTGCAAATGAATAGTATGATAAGGTGTGTTACTGTTTACGTTTGAATAAGAATTAACTGAACCCGGAGTATACATGTACATGTAGATGTATTTATATAATCATATAATCAAGTCCGGAAATAAGGCACTCTGTCACAGATGTTATCAGACATTGTTGCCGGTCAATTTGTTCAGCACACATCTGTCTTTTTTAAGTGTTTTTCCTAATAAATTTTGCAAAACCAAATACAAGCTTGGACAAAATGCTTGTTTTCTTTACCCGTCTTCATTAGCCCAGTGTAGGAGCAGAACAGTAGGACATAATACCCTATTTCATTTTATTTTCTTACATTATTGATTATAAACATAGTCTATTGATCAGTATATGCCTAGAATTAAGGCCCCTGTAACAGATATTGTTGTGTACAGATTCAGGCATTTGTCAAGTACAATTGGAGGGTCTAGAGCACAAGTGATCTAACTACCAACCATTTTAGTTGGTTGTTAGATCACTTGTGCTCTAGACCCTCCAATTCTTCTGGTGCATGTCATTTTGTTCAGCACAGATTGGCTTTCTTAAATCTTTCATACATATTTTTAATACATGTTCTCCCCAAATTCTATAGTACTAAAATCATTATTTAATAGAAATTTATCTCATTGAAGGATGAATATCAATCCCTTCCTAAATTTAATGTTTTGTTTAGTTGAAAATTGTAATTTTAAAATTTCTGTTATGTTTCTCTATGTGTCAGGAATGTAACTAAAGTATTAGATAAAGATACAGTATTATTTGTATTTGGTGATCATGGTATGACAAGAACAGGAGATCATGGTGGAGACAGCACTGATGAATTAGAAGCAGGGTTATTTATCTATAGTCCAGAGATTCTTACTGCTACAATGCCAAAGGTTTATGTGATACATTATGATACTGAATTAAGTTGAGAAATTTCCCAAATTCAACTTCAATTAATTCTTCTGTTTTCGGATCCTATAGATTTCTGTGCTTGATCATATCCACATTTACACATCTGCAATATAATTATGAAATGTGAACAATACTTAAAGTATTCCTCCTTTACTATGGCAGACTATTCTCTATCAAAGCATCTCTAGATTATTGCTTTATAGATTGAATATATCATAATACTTTTTTTTCTTGTCAATATTGTAAAGATAACCGTTGCAAGGACAGCAGAATTGAAATTACTGGTTGATGTCACATTTAGGACTTGCCCTGTGGAAATGACAATTTGGTCTGTTTTGGCTAGAATTAATTTGGGTTCTAAGAGCCAATGAATTTCAATGTTCTTGAGTTATCTCCCCTTTTTATCAAAGTCCCTTGAAATAGAAATTTTACAATTTCATCCAGATGTATGGTAATTAATATTGTTCTAAATATATAAAAGCTAAGCAAATCGATTTACACCTGATATACATGTGTATTTTCTTGTAATTGTTTCATTTATTGTATTTTACAGATGGATACTAGAGTGTTAGCACAGACAGACCTAGTGCCTACTCTATCTCTTTTGCTGGGTGTTCCAATACCATATTCTAACCTTGGAATGGCCATACCTGAACTATTCAATCATTGTCCTTGGTCCAAAACAGCTACAAGTGAAATGAGACAAGTCTATCATGTGGTCAAGGCATTAAGATTAAATGCTCATCAAGTTAGACAGTTTCTGAAAAGTTACTATGAAATCTCAACAGAATTTCCTCAACAGACCTACAGGGAATTGGAAAATTTGTTTGAACATGCCGAAAGTGATCTTCAGAAACTTCTGACGGCTATGGTAACCGAGGGTGAGACGGGCAGTGTTCTGACCAAAATGATTTACCTTAGAGAGCACTATGAAAAATATATTGAAGGTTCAAGAGAAATGTGTCAAAAGATCTGGGCCAAGTTTGATTTAGTGTCAATATCGTTAGGATTAATTGTGATGTTTTTAAGTATTTTGATTAATTTGTACTTTTATTTAGCTCACAAGAAAGAAGAATCAATATCACCAATTTCTGCATCTGTCATGATAGCAAGTAGTGTCATAGTAGGCTATGCTTTCCTTCAAGCTTTTTATATTGGTGATTTCATGAATCCATTCATGGTTTATCTCTTTAGTTTAGTACTGATTGTGACATTTTTGATTTTAATTAAAAAGAATATTAAATTAACAGAGAAATCAAAGGGTGAAAGGCATGCCACTTTCAAATTGCCTTCTTTTGATAATATCATTGCCACTTTCATTTTATTTTGTTATACGGCGGGTTATTTTTCAAATAGTTTTGTTGTTTTTGAGGACACAGTTACTCTGTTTTTTGCACAATCACTCATCTGGCTTCATGGAATTAAAACCTATATATCAAACAATAGAAATACCAAAGATCAAAAAAGTGAAATGACATTTGTGAGGCACAAAAAACAAAAGTTTGATATTTTTGAAAAATTAAGTCATTCAAACTTCATTATTCTGTATGTGTTGCTGACCTGCAGTTTATTATTTAGACTGTTAACTAATTTTCGAGTGTGTCGAGAGGAACAGATGCCCTGCAATGAAACCATGTTTCTTCAACCACTTACAAACTTTACGCAAGAAGAATCTGGACAGAAAAATATGAGATATTTTGTGTCACTAGCGTGTTTGGGATTGTTTGTTTACATGTCAAGAGTGTGGATGAAACATTATGGTAATTTAAATGGAGATACAGCAACAGTTTTATGTGCAAAATATCTCTTACCCTTTGCAACTGTTTGTGTTGGACTTCATTGGGCTATTCAAGCCCTCCCTCCAGCTGTACTTGATTCTCTGCCCAGTTGGCAACAAGTCATGATGGCACAAATTGTTTATATTTCTGTAATATCATTAATCATCTGTATTCTTATCAACCCATTGTGTCTTTATGTGCTGTATGTGAACAGAGATAATCCATTATCTGTACCAAATATGGGATTTTCAAGCCCACAAATTATTCCACAAGTGTTTAACCAATTGAAAGAACAGTTGTCAAGTAATGGACAAGCTAAAGATGAAAGACCACCAGTTGTGTATGGATTGGGTACTGTGTATACGTCCAGTGTATTGTATGTTGTGACATCTATAGGTGTTTTACTGTTTCTTCTACTCGGTGATGGATTGTCCCCCTCCATATTTCTGGCATCAGTTTCAGTTTTTCTTTTTATAGAGATTTACTCTGCTGATCTTTCAAATGGAGCTAAAGATTCAGGTTAGTACACCTATAATAGAGAATGTCTGAAATAATGGAAAATATATTCCCATAATTTCTTTTGCCAGTAAACAAAATTAAGACATAATTAATGTTATTCAATTGTTTTTAAAGACCAGCACAGACTGAACTGAATTGTTTTTCTCTCATCATCACAAGAAAAACAAATTTTATTTGACAATTAAACATCAAGAAATTCAAAAATGCTTCTCTTGAGAGGATTGATATTTTTTCCAGATGCCATATGTACATGTCATATTTTTCTTTTCAGATATAACAACAGTCAATTGGTCTGCTGTAGTTACACTTGGTATGTTGACATCACACTTCTTTTATGGAACAGGACATCAAGCTACCATTCCTTCATTACAGTGGAATGCAGCCTTTACTGGTTTCTATGGTGATTTCAATAACAACATATTACCAGCCATTCTCATGACCTTCAATACCTTTGCATCAAATATTTTTATGGGTTTAGTTTGTCCACTGCTTGTATTTTGGCCAAAGTTGTACACAAGATTAAATTCACTTATGTGTAAAAAAACACATGTTAAGGAAAAAGGGAAGTGGCAGGGAGATTTTGTATTTTTCAATGATGGTGAAAAGCTTAGACAGGTTTTCTACCAGTTGAGTTTAGCTGTTCTCTTATTTTCAAGCATCAAGGTAACTTATTATTCATAATTAATTTCCTGTTTCCAAAAATAAATTTTAATCAGTTCCAAAAAATATGTAATTTTGCACTCTTTGATGAGGTTGGATGATGAAAGCAGGTTAGCAGTAGTGAAAACAAAATATGAAGCATTTGCTATACTCTGTAATCTCCTAGTAGTCTGTATTGTGATTATCCAGTTTGCTGGCACTGACATGCAGGAAAGTCTCACATACATGCTCAATCTATATGTTTAAAAGAACATTTGGAACCAACAATGGTTGTGTTGTTAAAGGGAAACTTTGTTCACACTGGTGTTTTATACATGTATACAACCATTTTATGTACAACTATTTCATGTATTTATTTGCAAGCTTTTGCAGACATGGAAAGGAATGAAATGGGAGTCAGACACTTTGGTCATTTTGAGGCTAACATGTTGATTTGTACTATGGCACACATGTACATGTAGTGCGAGGGAGGAAAATTTTGTTAAGAATGTAATCAGGTGGACCTGACTATGCAACTCTAAGTGGGACTTGGGCATTGCTTCTGTTTCATCCATATATGCTGCACATGTCTGTCTGGATTAGCAGAAATGAAATGAAATGGGGTTTAACGTCCTACCTTTCTGCTCCTATGCTGGGCTAATGAAGACGGGCATACGCCATACAGTGTGCTATGAGGGAAATTTTGCCCAGGCAGCGGCACTATCGCCTACTCTTTTATCGAATTCCAACTGCCAAGGGATCTTTTACGTGCATTCCAATGTATACACGGGACCTCGGTTTTTCGTCTCATCTGAAGGACTAGACAGCTGTCCTTGTCAGACCCTATGTCCTGCATCACTGACAAGGGGGAACCACACCGGAAAATCTGGATGAACTTTCTCGGCCAATGCAGGGATCGAACACCCGACCTCCAGGCTAGCGAGCCAGCGTCTTACCAACTTAACCACGTGATCCCCTATCTGGATTAGCAAAAGTCTTGTCACAAATATGCCGATAGTATATAACACGTCTAATATTAATATTTCTATATATCAATCAACTTTCAACTCAATTTCGTGCGGTTTAATGATTGAAACCGAGACATTAGGTAATATATTGATACTACATGAGGGCTTTAGTCAGATTGTTGTTTCAATATGTTACACAATGTCTTGCTCAAGGCCATTAAACAACTGAAAATACAGAAACTCACCCGAGTCCTAGTATAAAAATATGTACATGTACCATTGGCACACTGCCCATATAATCGAAATAATGGTATGCCACATCTGTATTTTAAAGTTGATTATCACCCAGACATGCTAATCCATTGCCCACTTGACATTTAATAGTACAAACATGATATGGTCATCACAGGTGTTTTTTGTCATTTTAGCTATTTGGAGCAATGGGAGCAGCAGGTTTACACAGACGTCATCTAATGGTATGGAAAATATTTGCACCAAGGTTTATATTTGAGGCAGTTGGAACCATTGTTTCATTTACAGTATCATTTTTGATGTATTTATTTGTCATGCGCATTGATAATTCTCTTAGCAAATTTGTTAAAGAATTCTAAAAAATACAATATCCATGCATTGAATGTATATTATGAATCTCTTATTTTGCTACGTATCACAACAACATGTACCATGTAATATTTCTACTCTTGTAATAACAATTTGCATTATATTTTTTCATCAGTATTTATTTCAATGGTCATGCTGTCATGGTAAAATTAACCAAAACTAGATAGTATTTGTGTACATACAGTACAATGAGTACAGCCTCATTCTACATGCCCTATTTTCTGTGTATAATTGGTGGATCATCTGCTGTTGATGCCAAAGGATCAAATTTTTGTCAGCTAATTCTATACAGTTATGTTTTCTTTCTTAATTATCTGAATTTCATCTACATGTATACAATTACAGTTCTCACTAAAAGATCAGCTAATCAACACAAATCGATGGTCTGATCTTGTGCAAATAATGAGACATATACAATGTGGCTGTGGTACTATTATACATTAGTACTTTAAGATAACTATGGTACCAAAGTTTATTTAATGGTAAATTTTTATAAAATTGATTTTATACCATTGATTAAATGCAAATATATATATATAATTTTTTTACACAGTTCATAATAAGGAAATGATTAATTAAAATTTTATAAAATAAAATATACAGTGTATTATTCCTATATTTTTTTACCTATATATTTCTACTTAGGGGGAGCATGGTGGCTAAGTGGGTAAGACGCTGGCTCGCTAACCTGGAGGTCAGGTGTTCGATCCCTGCATTGGCTGAGAAAGTTCATCCAAATTTTCCGGCATGGTTCTCCCTTGTCAGTGATCAGTGATGCAGGACGGAGGGCCTGACAGGACAGCTGTCTAGTCATTCAGATGCGACGAAAAACAGGGGTCCTATGTACACATTGACGTGCATGTAAAAGATCCCTTGACAGTTGGAATTCAGAATAAGAGTAGGCCGTGGTGCCGCTGTCCGGACAACATTTCCCTCATAGCATACTGTATGGCGTATGCCCGTCTTCATTAGCCCAGTTCGGAGCAGAACAGTGGGACGTTAAACCCCATTTCATTTCATTTCTACATGTACATATAGAAGATGAATACAAGTGAAACTATCTATAATAGATATTTGGGAACATGCACAGCCTATGTCACCGTAGTCATGTCGTGTCCTACTCGTATGTATTCAGCTTCATAAACAATGGCCAGGTCAGACTCTTATTGGTCCATTACCCCCACCACACCTGCACTGAATATACAACTGTGCTCTTATTGTCCTTAAATGAAATGTGGTATTTGTAGTTAACTGGAGTGATAGAAATGAAAACATCTTACTGTTCTGCACTAACCTGGCTAATGAAGATGGACATACACAATACAGTGTGCTATGAGGGAAATATTGTCTGGACACCAGCACTATGGTCTGCTCTTATTTCGATATCCAACTGTACGTGGTATACACTGGCCCTTGTTTTTGTACGTGAGGCACCCTACCAATGAGCAGACCATATATATTATGCAGGGGAATAAATGGGGATTATTATGGATGCAGTGTCCATTTATTGTTAACAAGACCTAGCAAGTAGCTATTGATGAATTATCAATCAATAAAGTGAATAACTACTTACAAAAACAGTTTATTGCACAGTGTATCTTAATTATACATTTATAGGCTTATCTGTCAGAAATTATGGAATTTTGAACAAAAACTCTCCTTTATCATTATAAACAGTTTTACCCTTTTGGTATATTTGACCGTCTTTATGTAATTTTTGAGGAATGTCAATATTTAATGTCACATTATTATTCAAATTTTCACTCTGCACAGATGGATTTGACTTACTTTGATCCTTGAATTTAGAGTTTGAATCTTTGGGTTTAAAACAAAATATTAATAGTTCTTGTGGGTCTATTCTCTCTTTTTCTTTTTTCAGTGAAGATTTTCTTGTAAGTGATAATTGTTGATTGTATTTGGGGTACTTTTTCAATAAGTCAGAAAAAGGGGTAGGTCTGAATTCATAAAAATTAGTTTTGTTCTCTTCACTTTCCTCCTTGGGGAAAGGTAAATCAGCATTACCAGCGGCATTAAAAATAAATTGCAGTCTTTGGTCTTTTACCACACTTTCCTCCATTTTATCAGCTATTTCTATCCAATTTTTGAACACCTTTTTATCATGCCTCTCTTTTTGTTCTTCTGTAACTCCAATAAATTTTGATTTTACTATCTGGGTGACACCATATCTTGACACCGGAAAAACCTGGGTTAATCTATTTATAGACCATTCATCTGGATATTCTTTATGTAAATATCGGATTTGATCTTTGGCCTTCCATGTTAAAAGGTTTTCTTCCTTTTCTCCTTTAAAATATTTATGTTTTAAAATTTGAAATTTTAACCGTTTTCTGTTTTTTTCATCAATTCTGCAAATAAAATAAAAACATAATATAAGCAATATTTCTCTTGCCAACCAAATGGAATAAAAAATATAAAATTTAAAAAAGAAAAGAAAAAAAAAGGCATGACAATACAGTGTTTTGTAAGCAACTAGTTATGAAATCATATTAAACAAAATAAAATGAAGCAAGCTATTCATGTTACCACATGAATATTCAAGATACCCTTCCTTTTTTGGGTGGGTATATCTCTAGTCCTTTCTTATAAAAGTTTTAAAGACTGCGATTTTATTATTTTTATGCAATAGCTCTAATTTATGTAACATAACAAATGACGTGTTAAAACTATGGAAGCCTATAACTACCATTCATAATTTCTACTTTTTGCCTCTTCAGAACAGGAAAGTCGAAAAGTCGAAAAGTAGAAGTTACGACAAAATGTGAGGCGACAAGACGGTATACAAGCCAAAATCAACTCGAAAATAGGAAATTAAGAAATAACACACCGCGATAATAGCGCCCCCCGTTTTTTCTTAATTTCTACTTTTCGACTTGCATTTTGGCTTGTATACCGTCTTGTCGACTTTCGACTTAGTCATATTTTTGTATTTATTGATGTCAGTAAGAAGGCGCCAACACGCTATACAAGCCAAAATGTAACTCGAAAAGTAGAAATTAGGAAATTAACACACTGCGCTATTAGCGACCTATGATCTGTCGTACTGTCGACTTTTCGAAAAGTCGAAAAGTCGACAGTACGACAGATCATAGGTCGCTAATAGCGCAGTGTGTTAATAGTTAAGTTGTTGTAGTCTCTGCCTTCCAGGTCACATTTGAATACGCGCAATTCCCGTTAACAAAAATGTCTGTATGCGCGTATTCAAATGTGACCTGGAAGGCAGAGACTACAACAACTTCCTAGGCGAAAAGTAGAAAAGTCGACAGTACGACAGATCATAGATCGCTAATAGCGCAGTGTGTTAATTTCCTAATTTCTACTTTTCGAGTTACATTTTGGCTTGTATAGCGTGTTGGCGCCTTCTTACTGACATCAATAAATACAAAAATATGACTAAGTCGAAAGCCGACAAGACGGTATACAAGCTAAAATGCAAGTCGAAAAGTAGAAATTAAGAAAAAACGGGGGGCACTATTATCGCGGTGTGTTATTTCTTAATTTCCTATTTTCGAGTTGATTTTGGCTTGTATACCGTCTTGTCGCCTCACATTTTGTCGTAACTTCTACTTTTCAACTTTTCGACTCTCGTGTTCTGAAGATGCGAAAAGTAGAAATTATGAATGGTAGTTATAGGCTTCCATATAAAACAATCATAAAATGTCACTTCTCAAACAGCATACTGAGATATATTGGATATAGTAGCCTAGGCACTATTGTGAGGCTTAGATCTATAATTTTTAGACTTTATGTGGTTTATTTACAGGAGTCCTGCATCACGGACGTTTGTTTATGACTTAATTATTACACATCAAATTTAAAGTTGGAGTAGTTCCTTTCAGAATGGCCTCTGGACGAACAGAGTACTCGGACCGTTTCTGCGGTCTGTGCTTATTAAGCTCTAATATGAAAATTTCACTCAATCCCACCTCCGTTCTAAAGGTATTTTGGGATCCTTACCTTCTTTTCTTTACCGTAATTCTTTTTTGTTTACCAAAAGGAATCATTTCCCTGACACAAATTTAAAATCATCCAACAGTATTGTCAAGTAGAATTTTGTGATTGAAAAACATAAACAGAATATATTTGAATTGGTCCGCAATTTGAAGCCTGAGTCTTGTATTGGCGGATCAATTCAAACGTAGCATTACGGTGAAAAATAGAAAGTAAAGACCCTAAAATAGTCTTAGACAAACTTCATGTAAGGCTTAGAACAGATGTGGGAGTAGAGTATTACAGGTATTAGCAGTATTGTCATATTGCAGTTTAATAAGAATGGTCAGACTGTCAGAGGACTTTATTTATTCCAAAGCGGTAGCATGATTAACCCAGATCCACCATTATTTCAACTCAGATAATAGTAATTTATCACTGTTCGATAATATACTGTTGGCATTTTTAATTTAAAATCGTAACAATTGTGTCAAAATGTGATTTCCAATCAACTTTGGAATTTGTAACCAAATTACCATTATTTTAACTCATTTGTTTCAAAAATGGCCCTCAAAATGCAATTTCCAAGTAAGCGATTTCGTGCAATAAACGAATTACGTCCCTTTGCTACAACTTCCAAACTTGCTTGGAAATTGCATTTCCTGGGGGAATTTTGAGACAAAAACGTTACGATTCTAAATTAAAAATGACAATGTGGCATAAGTTGAAATAACGGCGAATGCTTACTAGTCCGCCAGTTCACTATTATTCTTATTTTTATGACTGGTGATCATCATGTAAATGCACACAAATAACGAACTCTGACAATAATACTAACGCAGCTCCTAACCAAGGAATATAATGCACCCACTCTGACAATGACACAACAAATGCAACCACCCTGACAATGACATAACACACTCACCCTGACAATGACATAATGGCACCCACCCTGACATAATGCACCCAACCTAACAATGAAATGTAACAACGCACCCACCCTGACAATGAAATCTATCAACGCACCCACCCTGACAATGAAATGTAACGAGGCACCCACCCTGACAATGACATAATGCACCCACACTGACATTAAAATGTAATGCACTCACAGTGACAAGATATACAGTCGTCATCGATCTGAGGTATTTGAATTTAGGTTTTATCATTCGTTATGTCAGGATTTATGTGATATCCATGTATGTCTTGCATTTTTCAAATCCTGGTAGTTGTTTCGATTGATCAATATCTTCTATATTCGAAATATCGTTCTAATGGTTTGTTATATTTACAGTATTGTGATGGTGTGCTCATATAAAAAAATGTTCTGAAACCGTTCTGTTGATACCCAAGTAACAATATTTTGACTCTTGACTTCCCTGTCTGACCGTGACCTTTGACCATGACAAAACATGGCCTAACAGCTTCAGTAGATATTTATTGTATTTTTTATAGCGGCGCATTAGTGCACCCACGGGCTAGTGCCAGTAGGAGTAGACCCCTCTCGAAATAATGGTAGATATAGGAAAATTGTCCTACTTCAAAGTAATAATGATATATACCTTTTAGCATGTTTCTTAATATTAGGATCCCTCAGATTTTCATTCAATGTTATTTGATCTTCTGTGAATTCCAATTCAAGTTCATCTTCGATTTCATCCACCATGTTCCATTCATATTTATCAGCATTACGCTTATTTAGTTTTTCAGGAAGGATTTTTATTTGACCAGGTCTGCTTGAGCCCCGTAAATAACGCACTGGCATCCATTTATAATGATGTAAATTTGAATTATGTAATATATTTACAGAAAATCCCAGTTTTTGGTACACATTCCTTAAAATAGAACCCATTTTGCAAAGGGAGGTAATGCTACGGGTTCTTGAGCCGTCTAAAAATTGAGCACGGATTCTTGAGAATCAAATGCGTAACAACAGAAAAGCAGACTCGTCAACATGCCCATAGTTGATTTGTATTTTTGTATTTTTCCGTAAAGACAAAAGCGTAGTCTTTTAACAGATTTATTGGCATCAATATCGATAGTGACTGTGAAAGCATTTCAAATTATGAATGATCCAAGTCCATAAAAAAAGTATGATGTTGGATTATTTCCGGTTGAAAGCTTCTCCTGTCAATAGAAACAAGAACAATCGAACAATCCGGGAATAAAAGTCATAAAGAGATGAAATTGTAATTTTATTAAAAATGGAAAACCAACCACAAAACCCAACACCAACCAGTACATCATATCCGATTCCTGCTTATGTACTCGACGATCTTTGCAGGTGTTTATACTTTATTTATTCGATAGAGTGGTCCATTTTAAAATTTAGAACTGATCATCGATATGAATTATATCATATTAAGTTAATATCCGATTGACTTTAAATTCCTACACAGTGTTTAAGGTTATGAGTCGAAGAAGTCTATTGATTTTCAGCGATTTCCAATAATTACTGCCAGAGTTATGGCCCTTGATCACTTCATAAAATCTTATGGCGCTCTAGAGGTGAAAGATACATGTAGTATCCAATGGCAAGTGACTTTAAATTTATACATTTAAGGTCATGAGGCGAAGAAGCCTATTGACAATCTGTTTCACAGAGAATTACGAGTCTCGTATAATATCTCTGTCATAGATGACTGCCTTAACATGTGCTGTCACAGCACGCGGTGTGAATCATTGGCTGAATGGCGCGTGCATTGTTTACATAAGACATAACTGCTTCGGAGAGAATGCTGCATTTTAGTCAATTTAATACCCATTTACACTAAATCGGAAATAATTTTTACCTACAAATACGTCAAACGCCTTTATTTATTTTTCCAATATATACAAAAAATGTTTTAGAATTTAATTTGTCGCAGGAAAAAAGTTAATATTTCTAGCTCATTAAGCCGCATCAATGTCATCCTTATCAGTGATTGTCGCGGCCAATCAAATATTCACTGCGGATCAGTGTGGCCTATTGAATTTTAAGTGATTTCGGATAATTACTGCCAGAGTTATGGTCCTTGATCACTTCAAAAAATTTGTGGACGTTCTAGAGGCTAAAGTTTATATCCGATTGACTTTAAATTTATACGCACTGTTTGAGGTCACGAGACGAAGAATCCTATTGATTTTCAACGACGTCCGATAATTACTGCCAAAGTTATGGACCTTGATCACTTTGAAAAATCTTGTGACGCTCTAGTTTATATCATCCAATTGACTTCAGATTGATACACAGAGTTTAAGGTCTTGAGACAAACAGGTATATTGATTTTCAATGAATTTTGATAACTTGAACAGCTAAATCCATGATATTATAAGTTTTGTATACTTAACATTAGCATGGGGAAGAACTTTATAAAAACCAAGCAAATCCTAATAGTTTTCTGATAAAATATGCGACAACTCTTGTTGACTGCCCAGACAATTTAGCTGCTGTGGACGTATGTTTCATTGCCTTGCAACCTATCTTTTACCTATTTCAGAATTATACCCCCTCTCCCACATGGCCAAAATTGAAGGAGAAAATGGGTTAATTTTATACGACTCAAATCTTTAGTAAATTGATAAAAGACCAACTGACATTAACCCAGGGATCTTAGTCGGCTGTTTTTTGTCGGCTTTAGCTGATTGATCTTTAATTTAACAGATTGGTAAAACAATCAACTGGCCACTATGGTATCATAAATCAATCTACTTTCGGCCGATTTACAAATTTGGAGGTTGTGTATACAATAGTGACTTTGCCAGAGGCTGTGGAAATCCTGTAAAAAAATTGAATACTTCATTTGTTCCACATTTTGCTACCTTGTGGCACAGTGTGTGTCGCACATTGTATGTGATGCTAAATTCATAATCTACACTAAGAGTTGTTTTGGATTACAAAGGTAGAAGAGTTCTACTCCTTTTAGAAATGTGAGTTTAATAAAAAGAAACCAAAAAACTGAAAAAAATTATTGAATTTATGATCCGTTTCAGCACCCTAATTTCAAATGGCCATATCTCAGCAAGTTTTTGACCTAGAGAGGTATAATTTTGGATTTGTTAGCTTAAGGCAATATACAAACATGCATTTTTTTTTTATTTTAAATTTGTAGGGGGTCATGTTCCCAACTTTCTGAAATTTGGTCCTCTTGACATTGAATAACCCCTCTAGTAATTTTTACTGGGATGGGATTTTTTTACGGCTAAATGCTCACTTGTCAGTCCCTGTGAATGCCTGTATAATGTAACAAGACATTTCAGTGAGAAAATAAGGTCTTCCTTACCCCGCTAGAGGCGAAACATTTTATCATTATAACCAGCAATATTTATTCAATACATGTATATATATGAGATTTAATGAAACTCAAAGAAGCAATGCGACTGCTGTTATCATTAATGTGATCAACTTTTGGGGGTTGAAACATGATTCCCAACTATTGGCTTATTACATTCAAATTAAATATTGATTTGTCGAGAAAGTTCATCGGGATTTTCCGGCGTGGTCTCCCCTTGTCAGTGGTGCAGAACGGAGGGCCTGACAAGGACAGCTGTCTAGTCATTTGGATGATACGAAAAACCAAGGTCCCGTGTAAACATTCGAATGCACATAAAAGATCCCTTGGCAGTTGGAATTCGATATAAGAGTAGGCGATAGTGCCGCTGCCCAGGCAAAATTTTCCTCATAACACACTGTATGGCGTATGCCCGTCTTCATTAGCCCAGTATAGGAGCAGAACAGTAGGACGTTAAACCCCATTTCATTTCATTTCAAATTAAATATTGACTGATGTCAAAAGTTTAATAAAGGATTTTTAGACATACAAAGTCCAGTAGTGACCGTAAAAGATGTGATATACATTTACATAGCATGATCTTCATTTTTTGCAGTCGATTCATCATAAATGTGCCAGAAGAAGAGAGACAGGAATCCATTCGAGTATTTTTCCAGATAGAATTGGCTCATTGGTTTTATTTAGATTTCTATTGTGCAGAACAACCCGAGTTACGTACATGTGGGATCAAAGATTTCTCAGTACAAAATATCCTTTACGTATTATTATTATTAGATAATACATGTACAAGTATGACGTTATAGCGCACAGTAGTACAAAGAAGGGACATAACTTGAATATCAAATCGGACAACAATAACTAGGCCTATATGCAATGAAACTACTACAATTTAGCATTTAAAGCTGGCCGATATTTGTCAATAAAATATGCCTCATTGGCTTCTAATTATAAATCATTAATATTGCTAGTTAGATTTTAGTTGTACATGGGAAAAACGCTAAATTTGCAACCACCACAAACATCTTTTTCCAAAAACTTTTATATTTTTGTGTATTTAATATCTAAGAGTTGTTATCTTTAACTTTTTATATATCTTTATATATATATATGGTTACTGTATTCTACTAATTTCAAAAATAAAATCATATTAAGGTGATGTATAAATATTATATCTGATGAGATAACAAGGGTTTCTCTTTGATAAAAAAAATGATAAATCAGCCATGTGTACACACAAGTCTGCCAAGTTCACTTGCAGACTAATCAAAATATTGGATTCATTGTTCTTTCTTAGTACTTTGTAACTGTTATACATCATTCAAACAAAGTGTTGGTCAAGTCACAGTAGTTCAATATCAGTATAGTCACAGAAACTGCAAGTTGAAATCATGAGATGACAATATCAAATTGTAACAACATGCGCAGGGCACATGAGCCCACTTCATTAAGAATGTCTGCTTTTTTGTTCAGTCTATTCCTGATCCATCACGAGAACTGGAACCTTTAGTTAGTAATGATTAAGGAGCTGATAATGCTTGAAAACATTGCTTCTGCAATGGTTAAAGAGCTTATAATGCTTGAAAACATTGCTTCAGGAATATGTATGATTGTTGGAACCATTATTTCAAAATAGTTAAATGTGTAGGTCACATGTATGAAGTGTATAGACAAATTTCCTTAACACCGAGAACTATTCAAACATTGCCCTGTACTAACAGGCACCCAAGAGGAAGTGGAAAAGAAATTGGCTGAATGGAAAGCATACAAACTGAGTGTTCCTACCTATGGTGCTATCATTCTAGATCCTGAAATTAAATTTGTAAGTAGTCCAAAGTTGTCGAATTACAAAATTGGGTAGGCAAGGAGTGATGCATAACTTCTAAAAGTGTCATTATAAGCAAGTGTGTTAAATTTCAAGGAGAAATTATAAGTTTCAATATATGCAGTAAATTTGTTGTAAAACCATTTGGCTTCAAATGAAATTTATGTATTATACAGGACACAGGTTTGTATGTAGATGTCTAACCTGTATGATATCAAGTCTTTTTCCTACAACAATTTTAGTACAATGTACTGATAACCTTTTTACTGCAATTACTAAAGTAATCAATTCGAGCCTCCGATCTGGTATTGTTCCTGACTCCTTTAAAGAACAATATTGGTGTCAGTCATTATCACAGATGTGATAGAACTGGTTAAACACGTTCCAAATATAATTTTAACATAGATTATTGCTACGATAGATGCGTAATAAAGGTTTCAACAATCTGAAGTGACGAACGCAAAAGGAAAACACGAGTTATCCCTCTGTATAACTGACTGAAGTGATGAGTGATAACAGATACATTGTACATGGGCGAATTTCTGCTCACTAATAATTCCTTCGAAGACCAAAAGTTGTTGTGTGAGACTGTGAGATCTGACAATTCATAAAAAGAATTGACCGTCACTAGATAAGAGAACACGAAAGAAAAATAGAAAAAGTCTGTGCATTACCATGTTTTTATTAAGTATAGAATGAATAAAAACAGGGGAATATACATCAATTATTTGTGGACACTATACAAATCACAATTTTTATTCGATATTGGAATATATTGGACCATAACTTCATGGATTATGGCCCATGTTTTTAGCTTGTGGACACTCTAGAGGTCACAATTTTCATCTGATTTTGCTGAAACTTAAAATGCATTTTTATAACCCCAAGGATCTTGGTTCCTTTCGATATTTGCGCATATCAGATCGTAACTACCTGAATAATGGCCCCTGATTGTACGAAAAATCAAGTTTTTAGCTTGTGGTCCCTCAAGAGGTCACAATTATTATCCGATTTAAAAAAACGTTTGAATATATCACCGTTACACTGTAATGATGCTTTAGTTCAAATTTCGTGAAAATCGGACCAAAATTGATGGACAAAATGGACACCCCTTGAACGCAAATAGTGTAAATGTATGGTATATCAAGGTTCTGGACCCGCTAGAGGTCACAATTTTGATCTGATTTTGATAAAACTTGATATACATATTTATAACCCAAAGATCTTGGTTCCTTTCGATATTCGTGCATATCGGATCATAACTTCTTAAATTATGGCCTTTGATTATATGAAAAATCTTTTTTTGTTTAGCTTGTTCTCTATCCATCTCTTGCAAAATATGGGCGTATCCTGCCTAGCAGACGTTGGTTGTTTTGTGCATACTTTTAAAAAAAGGTATGGTTATTGCTGGTACAGGAGGTAGACTATGTTACTCAGTCATATTTCTGAGTCTAAAGTAACTCCAAAGAAGAATTCTGTGTTCAGTACTACTACCAGTAGAGGGGTATTACATCAAATATTTTGGAACTTTATCCAAACATTAATGGCCATACCAAAAGTGGTCCTCAATAACAAAATAATATTGCTCACAGATTGAGTACTCAAATGACTCCTTGCATGTAAGTATAGATGTTAATATTCTATTTCAGTGTTTGCTGGTTCAAGGATGGTGGGTTAAATCAAGTTGGGGATTCCCTAAGGGTAAAGTAAATGCTGCAGAGGCTCCACATGATTGTGCCAGTCGAGAGGTAGGTAATGAAAAGTACCCCTGTTGATAAAATTTGTCAATCAGAAACAGAATATACAGGTTTTACACAACACAACAATGTCAATTGTTCCTGCCACCCTGTCACATGGTGGAAGGCTATTAACAGTGCTTAATTTCATGATAAGACTGATGGAATATACACATGCTACTATGAAAAGCTTTAAAATCTGTTATTAAATGTTTTAATATGATATCCGGTATTTATTAAATGAGTTTATTTTGTTCTTAAAGTCCTTGTTGATCGATTATATGCTTACCTATTTCTTGTACAGGTAATGGAAGAGACTGGATTAGATATAAGTAAGCTTGTTGATAAAAATGTCTTCTTAGAAACTCATATGAATGGACAATTAAACAGACTATATATTGTACCAGGCGTGCCTTTAGATACTCATTTCCAGCCCAAAACAAGAAAAGAAATAAAGGTATGTTGATGTTTACAACATGTTTAGTAATACTTATAGATGGGAGATTTGTAAAAAGATATTAATCCTTGTAGATAACATAGTGCATATTTAGAATGACTGTATATTGAGAGGTTGAATAAATTTCTGCTAGCTTTACAAGTTGTGGTCTAAGGGGAGATAACAGGTAAGTGGAAGAGTTATCTCCCCACCTTTGGGATATCAACTGCAAGTCAACCACTTGTGAAAATATATTGCTTAAGAGAATGTTTTAAATACTATTACTATGCACTGGTACACTATTGTTTTCAACATTAACTTTTATATGCACACACTCTACAGGTCAGGTTTTGATCTTTTTACTACAAAACTTGCCCAGAATGTTGAAGGAGGAACTCAATTGAAATTCAGTTACTGCCCTGGTCACCCAAACTTTGGGGATGCTAGATTTTTAGTTCAGATTCCAGAATGTTCTGAATTGACAGAATTGGAATTCAGTCCTGTAACAGTTCTGTCAGTCACAACATCTGAGCTAGTGTGAGTAGAATTGTGATGGTTGGTTGAGATATAGGGGGGTTGGATGGCTGAATGGTTAGCGTGCGCGCGCTGTATCATAAAGTCTGTCATTGAGTCAACTGGCGTGGTTTCGAATCCCCGGTTGTACGTGGCAAGGAGTAGGGTCGCCTGTCCAACCTCGTGGGTTTTCTCCGGGTCCTCCGGTTTCCTCCCACTGCGAATGACCCCTACGCGCAAGCGAATTATGTAAATAAAATTAAACCATATGTTAGTCCCGAAATGACCTAGTTTGTGTCGAGTGGACGTTAAACCCCATTTCTCTCTCTCTCTCTCTGGTTGAGATATTTTCTTATGCACTCAGCGTATGCGTTTTACCCAAAATCTCGCTTTTCAATTGATTGGCACTATTTTTGGGATTGAGATAATTCAATTGCAGAATGTTCTTTCTCAAACTTGCTTTGATTGTTCATCTAGTTCTAAGGAGGGTCCCTGTCGAAATTCAGCATTGTGCAGCAATTTATCTCAGGTTACTGCCCCTGTCACCTAAAACTTGTAAAATACTCTTTCTGGTCATCAATTTTTTGCACAGTTATATTTGCCCCTGAAAACTTGAAAGTCCAATTCAAAAAGCTGCTGGTTGGCATATATTCTGTGTCTGCCAAATTCAGTTAAACTTAAAATATTCAATACCTAAGAAGATTATTTGTCTCCAGTATTACCAGCAAGTATGTACCAATAAATTTATATGTTTTTACTGATTTTATTTTAGAGTATGCAGTGGTTTCCAGTGGATGCTCTACCTTCTAATAAAAGAGATCAGACATGTCGTACACAATTATCAATGAATCCTAATAATTTCTTTATGGTCATACCTTTCGTAAAGTAAGTTATTGTATTTCAAAAATGAACATGAATGTGTTCATAATGCTCTGTACTCCACAATACATAGGGGGACAAATCCAAATAAATTTGGAAGCATATAGGTATAGCAGATTTGGGGTTCACATCAATGTCTAATTAGCATGTACTCCCTGCCCCCCTATAATTTTTGTCAATTAGAAACGTGCAAATAATTACTGGACATAAGGGGATGCAATTCTTTACTAGTCATGATTGTCAGGACTTCTTTTTTCGCAGCACATAATTCTAAAGACCATGAGGGGTGTTGTATGTCCATCTGATATTATACGGTCCTTGATTTGACATAATAATATGCATTGTTTCAAATCCAAAGTATTACTTATAATTGAATGTTTGGTCTGTTACTGTATGCGTTTATATCTGATGTAGGCCTTTACGAAAGTGGATTGCCAGTAATACTGGTGATGCAGTGACGGAAGGAATAAAATCAAAACAAAGAAAAAATCAAGATACTGCTGAACATAGACAAAGACAGAAACGCTTTGCTCAACAAAATATGAATGAACTGTTAGAATTTTTACCAAATCGTAAAGATAGCGGACAAGAAGACTCAGTTCTTCAAAATTTATTTTCTGGTGTACCTAGACAGCAACCAACTCAGTCACCTAGACAAAATCGACAGCAATTTCAAATACTGGTGAGTGCTTATCAAACAGTTATGTATTTTGTACACATATATGTTCTGTGTGTGAATATTTATAACCCTAAGAAATAGTAAATTTTAATTTTTTTTCTAAGTATATTATTTTGATTTGTTATTTGTTGTAAAATTATATATTGAAATGGAAGCCTAGTTTTTGTCATTAAATCGTGTTATACCGAGACACTTGACTGCATCTTGATAAAAGATAAGTATTAAAAACAAGGTTGACTACTAAAATAGTTCCGTCTGTCTGTCAATTTAGTAGATGAATGTCTTGCAGAGATAAACAATTTGGAACTCTATAACTTTGCTTGTATTTGACTGAGGAATGCTGATTATCTTGCTTGGAGTTCTTAATTCTTATTGTGATGGGAGGGATGAAATGACCTTTAAATATGTCCATACCAGTAGGAATGTGGAATTTGTGCTATTTAAACATACATTATGCAAGAGCTAAATCTGTCTATTGCAGGTCTTCTTTTAGGCCTGAAATGTTATCTAAATTATTAATTAGACATTAATTAACGTATCCAGACCATAATCAACTCTCAATGCCATTGCTGGCCTGCGATTTTTACTGGATTTGAATACATTTTGTGATGGATGATTTAACGTCAAAATGGATAATCAAGACTGTGTTTTTTATCGTACCAACTTTAGTAATGATGATCGAGGCTAGGCCTAAAATTCAATCGCTAATATCTTGGTTCAGAGTGGAGCAATTTGATATTTTCAGCATATCCTCTTTACTGTATCTATTTTTTTAACTATTATAGCGAGAACTATCAACTCTTTATCTAATCTCCCATAATGCCCCTTAAATGAAAATCAGCTTTGCATCGTTTTGTTTATCCCCACGCTATTAATATTTTTTCCAGAACAGAGATGGTACTATCAATGGAAATCAAAACACTCGTAGAAATCTAAACAATCAGTTTGACACAACTAATATCAATAACAGTAAGTACACATACTTACAGTTAAACTTTTGGGAGTGATTTGAGTCATTTGACTTTTGGGAGTGATTTGAGTCATTTGACCATATCTATTGATAAATAAATGTATGTATTTTCACTTTTATTATAAACCTTCAAAATAACATCTATTAAATAACATTATTAATTTGGTAATATTTATTAGCAAGAATCCTGTCATTAACCCCTTCTCTTATTACACCAATGTTAAAGCTAGCGTCCTTTTCCATATCAAAGGTGATTTCAAGTTTCCTTGCTTAATTTTTTTGTCACTAAATGTCAACTTATGAACCCTGCTGTTGGCATCATTCCTCAAACAAGCATCTACTGAACACCCCAACATCTAAATCTTTATTTTGTGAATCATTTACCCCTCATGTTTGGAATAAATTATCAATAAACGAAAAGTTTCGGTATTGTTAAAACTGAATTATTTTTGAAGGTTTTTAATTGATTATATATTTGTTTCATATTGTTTTAACCACAACCATATATCATTACTATTTACATTCCAGTTGGATTTTGGCACTATATAAGTTAAATGAATTATTATATTTAAATATGTATATTACCAGTTTATTGTTTTCACATAAAGGTAAGACCGAATAATTAGTTGCATTATATTTAATAACATTATATTGGTCTTTTTAGGTAACACACATCCCAACCCAAAAGAAAGGCACAGAAAATCTCATCAAAAGGATAAATTAAATTCTGAGTCATGGTTGAACTTTAGACTGGATGCTGATTCACTTTTGGCCTGTATACCTTAATACAGTACTTGGAAATTACTGTGATCAAAATTTCATTATAAGAGAAAGTGATATGTGAAAATGTTGACAATAGACTATGGTATAAATAAGCAGAGACTTATTGGTTGCATAAATGGCGAAATATACTTGGACAGTTTTCCATGATAATCACAAGTAATTAGATCTACTGATAGTTATGTTTCTATTTAATGCAGCCTGTGTTTTAATGTATGGACATATACATTAGATTCTATCAAAGTTGTTCTAAGATTTTAACTCAAGATTGAATCAGTGTTTAGATTTTTCGTTTAAGAATTGGACTACAACAAATAGCCAATGCTTCCAGTGAAAGAATTGAGTACATGGTACATCTACAAACAATAAGAACTTTTTGACACAAATAGATCAAATTAGCAGAGATTTGTTATAAAAATGTGGTCTTTTTATATTAAAGAAGTTTGATTAATATTTTGACCTATTTTACTTTACAATTTGTGTAGCATGTAAGAATTAGTGCTCCTACGGTTAGGACTTTTTGTTATTCGAATAACCGTAGCTAATAACGGGTTTATAAATTGCCAATTGGTATCAATTTTCAACATAAAACAGGCCATGTCAGGACGTGCGAGTCATTGAGTCACTACTTATGATTATGTTTTGAATGGTGGTTACATTTTTTAAAAATGCCAAGAAGTATTTGGATTGGATTAACAATAGCGAAAGCCAGAACAAGGTTCGTCGACTTTGCCGTATGACTAAAAGTATTATTTTTTAGCAGTCGACATCGAGGGTGACACTTACATTCTAAGATTTTCAAACATAAAAGGACAACTTTTGTTGTAAAGAGGAATATAATGGGACACAACTCTTTGTAATAGTGGACATCTCCGAATAACCGTACTGTTCATTAGATAAAGAGCTGGCAGTTCTCACTATAATAATTAAAAACTAGATACTGTAAAGCAGATGTGCTGAAAATTTAGCGATTGAATTTTGGGCCTAGCCTCGATCATCATTACTAAAGTCGGTATGATAAAAAACATAGTCTTGATTATCCATTTCTTGAATGAGCACTGAGCAGCAGATCGGATCTTAATCCAGTAAATATCGCAGGCTAGCGATGCCATTGAGAGTTGATTATGGTCTGGATAAGTTAATTAATGTCTAATTAATACAGTGAACTTTGCATAAGTCGGATCTAAGTGGACTGGCCAATTTTATCCGAGTGAAGCGAAGATCTGAGTTAGCCGAAGACTGAAATTCAACCTTAGTATGATTAAAAATAATCTGTAAGAGCCAGATAATAATTGATTCAAAGGCACATTTCAAGCTATTGTTCATGTGTGCGAGTAGATAACTTCTGTTTTGTTTGCATCTTTGAAAAATGTCCTAAATTTTCCCGGAAAGTGTCTTGTACAGCAGACAGCGAGTTTCGAATTTTCCGGGTAAATTCTATTATTGCGTTGATTCAAATAGGCTGATTTGAGTCCAAATGATAGGGGAAAGTATTTTGGGGCTCTGTGCATGGAATACCTAACCACGTTTTAGACCATCGGTATGAAACTGGCTTAGTCAAATTTTTAACATACTGCCGGAATTAGCAAAGGAAAAAAGCCGGAATTAGATCAAATGGACCGAACATTTTGGTCTGAGTTGAGCAAAGACCTGACTTGGGAAATCCGTCATACAGACAGAAATTTAATAAGAAAAACATGCAGGATCAAAGGGTCCAAACGATTTTATCCGAGTTGAGCGAAGATCCGGCTTATCAAATCTGACTTATGCAAGGTTTACTGTAATAGGCAGATTTAGCTCTTGCGTAATTTATGTTTAACCGTCCAATTCTAACCGTTAACGGTTATCCCGACTAGCTGTAGGAGCACTAGTAAGGATACAAACTACAATCGTATGCCTCCCTCCTTGAGATTATACAAGACTAAAAAACTTTTTTAAAATGTTCTGCAAGTAAAAACTAGTCAAGAAGTTTTTAATCATTTTTATTCACCTTGCATAAAAAAATAGTTAGCTTTCAAATCCATCAACAATTTTGCATACAATTACGGAGAGAAAGTTCTAGTATGTTAATATTTGGAATAAAAAATTAATATGGGTGTGTTTCAGTAATCTGTTTGCAATATGAATGTCTTAAAATGTTTCCACTGCTTTTTAGTGGTTGGAGTGGTACATGTACCATTCTTATACATCTGGCATAATAATAAAATATCAATTGATATTGAGGCTCTGTGTTCCCATGACAAAATGTTTTGCATAAGTAATGAGTGGACTAGACACATTGTATATATAAATGCATCGAAACAACTTAATCTTTCATTTCAAAGCACATAGAAAATAAATATCTAAAAAATGTGACAATGCAGGGGAAGAGATTATATCTCAGATTTACATTTATAAAATATATTTTGATTTAATTTTTTGTGTAATGCAGGCTAACAAACACATAATTAACTAAGATATAGTCTTCTAATTTTAGGCAATGTTAGGATATCGGTCATTATGGAGTGCATTGTTTTTTCTTGGTCCTCACTACCACTATGATAAACTGAAAAAAAGATCATATTATAATTTAATCCTTTTTCGTGGAATTTAATCCTTTTTCATGAAAAATAAAAACACATTTAATATGTGTATTTATTTAGAGTCTTGTGAGCTATATTACTCAAATATCAAAAAATCTATCTAAAAAAAATTATCACATTGTAATAAAGGAATAAAAACCAAATATTAAATTTGAAAAATAAAACCTATATTTGTTAAAACGTGAATTGGTAATATAGTAAAGAAAGTTATATTTTCCTTAGTTGATGTCAATTAAAATATTTTCACTTACCTATGTCTTTATAGTGTTCTATATCTTTTTTATTTTTTTCATACATTGGCCATACTACTTTATCAAAATAACCTTCAGGATCAGATGGTATATAATTTCTTCCTCTAAAAAAATAAAATACTGTTAGATAAACTAAAAGACAGGTTGCTAGGCATAGAAACATATGCCCACAGCAGCTAAGTCGGTAATGAAAGATTTATAATACACTAAAATCTTATTAAGAGTAACAACTAATTAAGCAATTATCAGAAAATCATTAGAATTTGTTTGGCTTCTTGTTCTATCCCATGTTAACGTTTAGTATACAAAACATTATATATCCTGGACTTAGCTGTTCAAGTTATCAAAAATCATTGAAAATCAATATACTTGTTCATCTCAAGACCTTGTATCAATCTAAAGTCAATCGAATGATCACTTTGGCCTTTAGAGCATCCGCAAGATTCTTCAAAGTAATCAAGGGCCATAGCTCTGGCAGTAATTATAGGTGTTTTCATCTAATGACCTTAAACAATGTGTATAAATTGGGGTCACGGTGGCTAAGTGGGTAAGACGCTGGCTTGCTAGCCTCGAGGTCGGGTGTTTGATCCCTGAATCGGCCGAGAAGGTTCATCCAGATTTTCCGGCATGGTTCCCCCTTGTCAGTGATGCAGGACGGAGGGCCTGACAAGGACAACTGTCTAGTCGTTTGGATGGGGTCCTGTGTACACATTGGTGTGCACGTAAAAGATCCCTTGACAGTTGGAATTCTATATAAGAGTAGGCCGTAGTGCCGCTGTCCAGGCAAAATTTCCCTCATAGCACACTGTCTGTATGGCGTATGCCCTTCTTCATTAGCCCAGTTCGGAGCAGAACAGTAGGACGTTAAACCCCATTTCATTCATTCGTTTGTGTATAAATCTAAAGTCAATTGAATATTAACTTTAGCCTCTAAGGTGTCCACAAGATACATGTATTTCAAAGTGATCAAGGGCCATAACTCTGGCAGTAATTATCAGAAATTGTTGAAAATCACTAGCCTTCTTCCTTCGTATGCCGGACGGACCATTGGACAGGGGTGACGACAATATATGACAATATTTCAATGTGGGCGTATAAAAAGATTTTCTCAAATATTTATATTAGTATTAAGAAGTTTTTGATAAAAGTATATCTTTAATTAAATGTAGCTTAAATGTCTTAAAAGAATAACATCGTAAATCCTACCAAAATATAGTTTTTGATTAAATGTAGCTTCCATGTCTTAAAATAATAACCTACCTTCGTCTTTGTTTACAAGTATCATAATCCATTGTAAAAAAATATTTCTTATCAAAGAGTTCACATAATGGGCTGAAAATAAGAGTCATGAAATTGATATAGGTTTTTCTTATGCGACAATAAATATGCCACAATCTTTGTGGGTGTATGTTTCGTGGCTTGACAACCAATACTTGAGTAAGTTATACAATACGTGCATGCATATTCCACAAGCGGTTGCCATGCAAGATACGCCCACATTTTGCAAGAGATGAACAGAGAACAAGCTCAAAAAAAGAAGTGATTTTTTCGTACAATCAAGGGCCATAATTCAGGAAGTTACAATCCGATATGCATGAATATTGAAAGGAACCAAGATCTTTGGGTTATAAACATGTATTTCAAGTTACATCAAAATTGGATCAAAATTGTGTCCACTCTCTAGAGGGTCCAAAACCTTGATATACAATATATTTACAATATTTGCGTACGAGGGGCAGCCATTTTGTCCGGCAATTTTGGTCCGATTTGTATGAAATTCGGACTCAACCATCTTAAGGGTTTGACAGGGATATATTCAAACGTTTTTTAAAATCGGATAAAAATTGTGACATCTAGAGGGATCATATCCTAAAAACGCGACTTTTCGTACAATCAAGGGCCATAATTCAGGAAGTTATGATCCAAAATGTGCGTATATCGAAAGGAACCAAGATCTTTAGGTTATAAATATGTATTTCAAGTTTCATCAAAATCAGATCAAAACTGTGACCTCTATAGGGTCCACAACCATATGTTTACGCTATTTGAGAACGAACGGCAGCCATTTTGTCTGTCAATTTTGGGCCGATTTTCACGAAGTTCGAATTCAGTTGTCCTTAGGGTGTAACGGTGATACAATAATACGTTTTTTTAAATCGGATAAAAATTATGACCTCTATAGGGTCCACAAGCTAAAAACGCGATTTTTCGTACAATCAGGGGCCATAATTCAGGAAGTTACGGTCCGATATGGGCAAATATTGAAAGGAACCGAGATCTTTGGGTTATAAACTTATATTTCAAGTTTCAACAAAATCGGATAAAAATTGTGACCTCTATAGGGTCCACAACCTTGATATACCATATTTTTACGCTATTTGAGAATGAACGGCGGCCATTTGGTCTGTCAATTTTGGGCCGATTTTCATGAAATTCGAACTCAGTCGTCCTTAGGGTGTAACGGTGATATAATAATACGTTTTTTTAAATCGGATAAAAATTATGACCTCTATAGGGTTCACAAGCTAGTAACGCGATTTTTCGTACAATCAGGGGCCATAATTCAGGAAATTACGGTCCGATATGCGCGAATATCGAAAGGAACCGAGATCTTTGGGTTATAGACTTACATTTCAAGTTTCAACAAAATCGGATAAAATTTGTGACCTCTATAGGGTCCACAACCTTGATATACCATTTTCTTACGCTACTTGAGAACGAACGGCGGCCATTTTGTCTGTCAATTTTGGGCCGATTTTCACGAAATTCGAATTTAGTTGTCCCTAGGGTGTAACGGTGATATAATAATACGTTTTTTTAAATCGGGTAAAAATTATGACTTCTATAGGGTCCACAAGCTAAAAACGTGATGTTTCGTACAATCAGGGGTCATAATTCAGGAAGTTACGGTCTGATATGCACGAATATCGAAAGGAACCGAGATCTTTGGGTTATAAACTTACATTTCAAGTTTCAACAAAATCGGATAAAAATTGTGACCTGTAGAGAGTCCACCAATAATTGTGGATGGACGGACGGATGTCCGGACGGACAGGGGCGACGGCATAATATGTCCACATGAAAATGTGGGCGTATAAAAATTGTGACCTCTATAGGGTCCACAAGCTAAAAACGTAATTTTTCGTACAAACAGGGGCCATAATCCATGAAGTTTCGATCCGATACATGCCAATATCGAAAGCAGCCGAGATCTTTTGGGGATAAACCTATTATTCAAGTTTCGTAAAAATCGGACAAGAATTGTGACCTGTAGAGAGTCCACAAACAAATTGTGGACGGACGGACGGACAGGGGCGACGACAATATACATTGAGCATGTACTACTGTCAAACACGTTTTTTCCACACTTCATTCATAACTTTTTATGAAGCAATGAAAGGAAATGTGGTTACTTTTCTGCACCGGATGGGCTAATGAAGACGGGCACAGGCCATGCCACATGCCATGGAGGGAAATTTTGTGTAAACGGGACCTCAATTTTTCATACCATCCGAACAACTATATGGGACCTCCAGGTTAGTGAGCCAATGTCTTACTCACTGGGCTAACACGGCTCCCTTATTGTGAAGCAGACAGCTGGGCATCACATATTATGGAAGTATAACAAGAGGGTACCAAGAACACAGTCTTCTTTCTTAATTTGCCCTGTAAATTACATAATTTAGAACTAGAAGCAGTATGATGAAGACATTTACAGAAATATCTATAACAAACAGTAATATTACCTATAGTTAAATATTGTAAAACCTTCAACAAATAATATAGTAGATGTATTATCATTACTCTCACTGTCTTTTATCCATTCTTTAATCTCTTTTACCATTTTAACCATATCCAAGGCACTCAATTCTGTGGTGAGGAAAACATTTAAGGAAATGTGCAACAAGAGTAAATCAATTTCAATTTTTATACATTTTTTTTTTCTTTGCATGGAACTATATCAATCTGATACAGAAAAGTGTCAAATGTTAAATTGAGAAACTTGGTCTCCAATAATATTCCCATGATTATAATTTCTATAATATTTATAATATTTTGAGTGTATGACATACTTTCCCAGTTATTATGATTGACCTCCTCTACATACTCTAACCTTTCATCACCAGGTTCCTAAAATAAATATAGAGAATAATTATGTTTAATACAAAAAAGATTACACAGCAAATTACAGAGTAATGCATTATTTCTTTCACCAAGAAAATAAATGTTATTTATTTCGTATTATTATGCATAGTCAAAAAAACCTTTAACTCACAGGTCTAATTATAAATATTATGGAGAATCCAAGCACTTATCTATGTTAAACATACATTATGCAAGAACTAAATCTCCCTATATTGTAAGTCTTTATTTAGGATTCAGATGTTAAAGAAATTATTAATTAGACCTTTATTTACATGACAAGCTCAAAATGAACCTTGTAGACGCTCGGATGGCTTGGATGCAGCTTGGATTTAAACAGTCGTCCATTTAAAATTAAACCAATAAACGGCTGACCAAGCTAAAGTTTACCGTTAGTCGCGGACGTCACTACCGGAAACTGGTGATGAAAGGCCTGCCAAGCGAGAGTACCATTGCCATTGAGAATGTTACTTGATAATTGAGAATATATGGGTGGAGTTATTGTCTGTCAATCAAATGATCGGAAATTCTCATAGACGGTGCAGACACAGTTGATGCCTATTTCTAGTCCAAACTTCCAACAGTGACAACTCCATTCAAAATAAAGTAATTTGACTGAAATTTTCAATATTTTCTTTTCTATCATCTATTTTTGAATTATTATAGCAAGAATGGCCAACTCTTAATTAAACTCTTAACTAATGTATCTTTAATTATTAGTCATTTTGCACAGCATCTGATCAAATCTTTCAAGTGTGATGGAAATTTTAACATTGTGTTCCAGTGATAAAAATTTATATACAACCTAATTCGAACATTCCGATGTAGAAGTATAGTCAATTATTTTTACACCAATTTTTATACGCCCACATGGAATTGTGGTCGTATATTGCCGTCGCCCCCGTCCGTCCGTCTGTCGTCCACAACTTCTTGTGAACACTCTACAGACTACATTTATCATCTGATTGTTTTGAAATTGATATATGTTGTTTGCATTAGTGAGATGAAGAAGCCTATTGAATTTCAGCAATTTCCGTTAATTTCGTCTGGAGTTATGGCCCTTGTTTCACTTTGTTGAATCTTTTGAACGCTCTAATGACAACAGTTAACATCCGATCTGTTTGAAATTGATATGCATCATTTAAATTAGTGCAACGAAGATGCCTATTGAATTTCAACAATTTCCGTTAATTACACCGTGAGTAATGGACCTTTTTATACATTGAAATGTGGTTGTATATTGTCGTCACCCCCGTCCGTCGGTCCGGTCTAGAGGCTAAAGTTAATATCCGATTGACTTTAAATTTATACACAGTGTTTAAGGTCATGAGACGAAGAAGCCTATTGATTTTCAGCGATTTCCGATAATTACTGCCAGAGTTATGGCCCTTGATCGCTTCAAAAAATCTTGTGGACGCTCTAGAGGTCAGAGTTAATATCCGATTGACTCTAAATTTATACACAGTGTTTAAGGTCATGAGACGAAGAAGCCTATGGATTTTCAGTGATTTCCGATAATTACTGCCAGAGTTATGGCCCTTGATCACTTTGAAAAATCTTGTGGACGCTCTAGAGGCTAAAGTTAATATCCGATTGAGTTTAAATTTATACACAGTGTTTAAGGTCATGAGACGAAGAAGTTTATTCATTTTCAGTGATTTTCGATAATTACTGCCAGAGTTATGGCCCTTGATCACTTCAAAATATCTTGTAAATGCTCTAGAGGCTAAAGTTAATATCCGATTGACTTTAAATTTATACATAGGGTTTAAGGTCATTAGACGAAGAAGCCTATTGATTTTCAGCGATTTCCGATAATTACTTCCAGAGTTATGGCCCTTGATCACTTTGAAACATCTTGTGGACGCTCTAGAGGCTAAAGTTAATATCCGATTGAGTTTAAATTTATACACAGTGTTTAAGATCATGAGACGAAGAAGTTTATTCATTTTCAGCGATTTTTGATAATTATTGCCCGAGTTATGATCACTTCAAAAAATCTTGTAAATGCTCTAGAGGCTAAAGTTAATATCCGATTGACTTTAAATTGATACAGAGTGTTTGAGGTCATGAGACGAAGAATCATATTGATTTAAAACGATTTCCGATAATTACTGCCAAAGTTATGGCCCTTGATCACTTTTAAAAACCTTGTGACCCTCTAGAAGCTAAAGTTATCATCCGATTAACTTCAGATTCATACACAGAGTGTAAGTTCTTGAGACAAACAAGTATATTGATTTTCAATGAATTTTTATGACTTGAACAGCTAAATCCATGATGTTAAAAGTTTCCTATACTAAACGTTAGCATGGGGCAAAACTTTATAAAAACCAAACAAATTCTAATGGTTTTCTGATAATTACTTAATGAGTTGTTACTCCTAATCAGATTTTAATGTATTATAAATGTTTCATTACCGAAAAAAGTAAAAATATGTTGACTGCCCGAACGAGTTAGCTGCTGTGGGCGTATGTTTCGTTGCCTGGCAACCTATCTTTTCACTTTGTTGTACCTTGTGAATGCTTTAACGACAAAAGTTATTATCCGATCTGTATGAAATTTATAGGTATCGTTTAAATTAGTAAAACGAACAAGCCTATTGAGTTTCAGCAAATTTCCGTTAATTACATCTAGAGTTATGGCCCTTGTTTCACATTGTTGAATCTTGTGAACGCTTGAACGACAAAAGTTATCACCCAATCTGTATAAAATCCATATGCATCATTTAAATTAGTGAAATGAAGAAGCCTATTGAATGTCAGCAATTACTTCTAGAGTTATGACCCTTGTTTTACTTTGTTGAACCTTGTGAACGTTCGAACGACAAAAGTTATCATCCGATCTGTATGAAATTGATATGTATTATTTGAATTAGTAAAACGAAAAAGTCTGTCGAATTTCAACAATTTCTGTAGATTACTTCCAGAGTTACAGCCCTTGTTTTAGTTTTTATACGCCCACATTCAAATGTGGACGTATATTGCCGCCCCCCGTCCGTCCGTCTGTCTGTCCATCGTCCACAATTTCTTGTGAACGCTCTAACACCAAAAGATATCATCCAATTGTTTTAAAATTGATATATGTTGTTTTAATGTGCATATTTATAACGCGCTATATCCACAAACTAAGTTTATGCTCAAAGCGCGACACAATTACTATCCCGGTCTCCAGGATACAGGTAAAGCCTGATTACCTCCCTTTACCCCTGAACTCTTTTTAAAGAGTCCCAACATATGCTGCCATAAGGAAGCGCACCAGTTTTTCGTGTAATACATACACCATCCTAATTATCCTAATGTTTTCATTAGTGAGATGAAGAAGCCTATTTAATTTCAATAATTTCCGTTTATTACGTCTAGAGTTATGGCCCTTGTTTCACTTTGTTGAACCTTGTGAATGCTCCAATGCCAAAAGTTAACATACGATCTTTGTGAAATTAATATGCAATATTTAAGTTAGTGAAATGAAGAAGCCTATTGAATTTCAACAATTTCTGTTTATTACATCTAGAGTTATGGCCCTTGTTTCACTTTATTGAACCTTGTGAGTGCTCTAACTCCAAAAGTTAGTGAAACGAAAAAGCCTATTGAATTTCAGCAATTTCCGTTTATTATGTCTAGAGTTATGGCCCTTGTTTCACTTTATTGAACCTTGTGAACGCTCTAATGTCAAAAGTTATCATCCGATCTTTCTGAAATTTACATGCATTATTTAAATTAGTGAAACGAAGAAGCCTATTAAATTTCAGCAATTTCCGTTTATTACGTCTAGAGTTATGGCCCTTGTTTCACTTTATTGAACCTTGTGAACGCTCTAACTCCAAAAGTTATCATCCGATCTTTCTGAAATTTACATGCAGTATTTAAATTAGTGAAACGAAGAAGCCTATTGAATTTCAGCAATTTCTGTTTATTACGTCTAGAGTTATGGCCCTTGTTTCACTTTATTGAACCTTGTGAACGCTCCAACACCAAAAGTTATCATTCGATCTTTGTGAAATTTATATGCATTATTTAGATTAGTGAAACAGAGAAGCCTTTTGAATTTCAGCAATTTCCGTTTATTACGTCTAGAGTTATGGCCCTTGTTTCACATTATTGATCCTTGTGAACATCCCTCACTTCATCCAGAATGCGGGTTATATAACAACTCTTCCAGAATCAGATCCTAGCGTAGTAAAGACATTTAAAACGAAATTTTGAACTATAAAAACGAAACATAATAGGATCTGTGTTTTAATCAGATTGAGGTCCGTGGGGCTGGTGGTGTAGATTTCCACATGTTGTTCTTTAAAATGTAAGCAAAAAAAACATTTATTTTTAAAATTCAGAAACAATGCTCTTCTGTCACATTTTCCATGTTTTTTTATCCTAGACAATGGTGTCTTATTGTTCAGAAATGAAAATTGCATATTTCACCGACCATACAAATTAAAACTACAAATAATTTGGAATGACAACGAATTTATAATAAATTTTCTCAAAAATTAAGACAAAAATGTTTACAGTTACACAGCATATAATTTTATCTTTTACTTCACCAGGAAATAAAAATTACTTGTCAAGTTGATTTATATTTGAAAGTCTTTCTCAACACTCTTTTCACCCATTTGTTAATATAAATTTGATCCAAATGATGGTTTGCAACGAAATTCATACAATAATAAAAACAAACCAGAAAATAGGTGTCTTGACAGACATGTTTAGATCCTGAAAATTTTGTAAGCAATTTCTGGGTCAAAGAGGTTTTACCACTGTTAGTACACCTGAAAAAAAAAAAAAAAAAAAAATATAATTTCACAACAGTGCATTGTATTGTGATAGTGCAGGTATGGCCTAAATGCTAATTTGGAGAATGATATAGCATTTTCCAACGGCAGATACAGATAATGCGAAGTGTGAAGGGGGGTGGAGGGTCTGATCAATAGCCGCCTAAAGCAACTCAGCAAAATGCTAGCGCTGAAGGGGGGTCATGTGAGAGGTGATATCCCCATTTGATGTTCAAAACCACTTTTTCTGTAGTTTCAGCAGTATACCGAGGCATTTAGGTTTAATTCTTGCTTGAGTCAACTCAATTGTCTGCTTTTCATTGTTTCAAAATGCTTGTATAGGACTCTGTAAACTGCGAGTCTGAGCCTATGAATATGGATACAATCACTATAAAATATCCCAATAATTAATGACTTATTGATGTGAACACATACATGTACACATCCATTAGAAAAAAGTTGAAGACTTGTATGATGTTAAATTTGATTCAAAAATTTGTCACTACGCCCTTTTTGATCTTCGAGAGAGAGAGAGAGATGGGGTTTAACGTCCACTCGACACAAACTAGGTCATTTCGAAACTAACATATGGTTCAATTTTATTTCCATAATTCGCTTGCGCGTAGGGGTCTTAAGCAGTGGGAGGAAACCGGAGGACCCGGAGAAAACCCATGAGGTTGGACTTTTTGATCTAGGAGTTGGACAAGAAAGAAAAGGGCATTTTGTATGTTGACAATCTTTCTTTTATGGTAAACAAACCATATTTAATTGTCAACATGTCTATACATGTAGCTTGTCCCATCCCTAAGATAAGACATCAAAATCAAATTAACCCAATTCAAATTTTAATATATTTTATTTAATTCAAAGGTTGAACTCATTATACATTTACTACTAGTTATTATCAAATTTTTTATTAGCTTTATAACTTAACAGCAAATAAATTGCAACTTTAAAACCTGTCATGTCATATTCATTTTTCTGATGCAATACAAGACAAGACAGATAATCAATCCTCTCTTAGGTAGGTTAGTCGCCTTAACAAGTTAATTTCAAATTGTGTTGTGGAGTTGACAAATATTTTGTTAATGTCGTCTTTAAGACAATGCCTTGTTGACAGATCTCTTTAATATAAATCATCCCCTCTTGAAATTTTGAAATACTGTAAGGGAATATAAAACTAAAAGCAGAAACCATATCTCTAATTCTATTTAAATAAATTTAATCTTGATTTATTGTGAAATCAAACTGAAGAAGATCCTGATTGGGGGTCTTCCCATATCGCCGACTCACCGAGTTTTGGAAAGTCGACCGAGGCACCCTTTGATTGGATTAAAACGCATTAAAAGCGTTAATGAGGCAGGAACCAGTCATTATTAATATAGTTCACTGAAACTGATTTTTACCACAGACCTTTATTGACTTTTTTGCCGAAACAATTATTAAAATTTGTGAAAAGTTTGTTGACTCCCCCCCTTACACTGACATTAATGTCCCACCCCAGTGTAATTTCTCTGCTTTTGAGCCATTGAATGTTGATGATGTAATATCAGTGGTGCGTCGAATGAAGTGTAAGTCATGTGTTCTGGACCCAATTCCTACAAAACTACTAAAAGAGTGTCTGGATGAAATAGCACCAGCTTTGACGATTATTATAAATGATGTGCTCTCCTCTGGTATTTTTCCGGATGGTTGTAAGGAGGCCACTGTAAGACCTCTGATTAAAAAAAAAAGAAGTCTTGACCGTAAATGCACTCAAAAGTTATAGACCAGTGTCAAATATTTCATTTTTAGCAAAATTGCTTGAAAAGATCATTTTATCTCAAATAATAGATTATCTCACTCGAAACTCACTGCTTAGTAAATTCCAGTCTGCTTATCGAGAGGGGCATAGCACTGAAACCGCACTCCTTAGAGTGCATAACGATGTTATAGATATGAACAAGGAAGACTGAATTTATTAGAATTTTTGGACTATGTTGGACTGCGTGCAAAAATTTAAAATTGTGTTATGTTATGTATTATAAATTTAAAAAAAAAATAAATGCTCCCAAAATTATCTGCTTAATGAGGTTTATCCTTCAGCTTGGGTCTATTGTTCTTGTCCACTCATTCCCATAACGTCAACCAAAATTTTTCCTCTAAAACTCGGTGAGTCGGCGATATGGGAATGAACCCCTGATTGTTTAAGTACTATGTCTTCTTTAAATAAACACACAAGTAACCTATAATGTACCTTAATGATATACTATTAAAAGCCTACTATATTATTGTTATTAATTAATATTAAAGATACATTATGGGAGATAAGATAAAGAGATGGCAGTTCTCGCTATAATAGTTAAAAACTAGATAGTGTAAAGGTAATTTGCTGAAAATTTCAGTCAAATTGATCCACTATGAGCCGAGAAAGAAGCGGGTGAAATTTTTGCATAGTCTCGGTCATCATTACTAAAACCATTAATATAAACAGCATAGTCTCGATTATCCACATTTTCTGATTTAATTATCAATAGCCGTTAGCGGCATATAGGAATCTAATCCAGCCAACATCGAAGGCTAGCCTTGACATCAAGAGTTTATTATGGTCTGGATAAGTTAATTAATGTCTAATTGACAATTTAGATAACATTTCAGGCCTAAAGAAAGACTTGTATTAAGCAGATTTTGCTCTTGCATAATGCATGTTTAATAGTAACTTACCCACTTATTCCAATGATTGTGCAACATTCATTCAAATCTGAATTCATATTGTCTTAGAAGTTAGGCCTAGATATATCAAATCTATATATGATAATGGAATGTATATTCCCTTTCAATTTCCTGTTAGTTAAAAATGAATCACACGCCAGTGGTTTACTGATTAACCGGTAAAAAATAAACGATTTTCAGAACAATTTATTCCCAAGGACGGTCAAAGTCACGGCCACTGATCACGCGTCACTTATTGACATTGTAATATAATCTTTATAGTCTGAATTAATAATAATGTCATAAAATATAATCTGGTGTTGGATTATTATTAACAATAATTTATATAAATAGTTTTAGTCTAACTGCTTTCATGATCAGAAAAATCGTTGCTAGTACTATTACTATCAGCTGACGTGAAATCTTGGTCTTGGTTTGGTAAGGGTATGGTATTTGATTGAGTATTTAATCGTTCTAAAAACGAATTCAGCAGCTTTTTATTTAAGTGATCAGTCTGAGTTATTTCACGTATTGGCGGACTGTTTGGTGCCACAGTGTCGCTTTTGTTTAAATCAATGTTTTCAACGTTTAAATTCACTTGATGGGAGGCTTCTCCTTTTTCCTTATTTCGGTCCTCCATGTTTGATTTCATTTGTGACGGATTGATTTAGAAATGCGGACAGGTTATTGTTTTGCTTGTATATAATATAGTGCGGGCCAGCAGCACTTGCTAATAGTTCTTTAGCAAAATAATAAACATGTTGGCTATGTGAACACCTCGAACTTGAACTGATGCCTTGTGTTCAATGCACCACACCTCCTGCTAGCTGTGGTAGTGATTGGACTAAAGCGGCGTTTACACAATATATTTAACCAATCCATACAACGGTCGGATGCAACATATTGGACAACTGTTTACATGGAATAATGGTTCTATTCATTGTATGGCAACATTTTGTTTCTTCTTAGTAACTAAATAAGGCGACACTTCTCATCCCTGTCTTCTTATAGTTTTCATGCTGCGGGTTCCACAAAGTCCATGCTTCATAATACAGATGTATACAGAGTTATTAGATAATCTAATTCAGTCGCGGATAGGTTTAGAATCCATTTTAGAGGACGTCAAAGTACTCAAAGCGACAGAAGAAAACATCTTTAATCAGGAATTCAGGTTGCCAAGTCAGATATGGCGTCGTACACCATACACTGTCTAATATAATGTGATTTTATTTGCTATAATTGCATCAGTTGGTCCGATGGTAATAGAACTGATCCAATCCATACAATAAGCTATCCTTCTGACCATTTCTCAGATGAGTTTGTTTGATGTGACCGTTGAATCTGACGGTTGTATGGATTGGTGGTATCGGGTAAAAGTCACTTAAGGGTTCTAAATCACGAAGTCTTAATTAATTAGACTAAAATATTTTAAGATTGCAGTATTTTCAATGGCTAAGAGTTAAAATGTGCAGTGGGATTTTAACCCTGAGCTGAGGAAAGGATGCATCAGTTAAATATTTTGGGGTTTAATGTTATGTCCTACTTTTACTTTTCTGTGCCGACTGGGCTGATAATGAAAATGGACAGGGAAATTTTGCCCAGACAGCAGCATTTCGGCCTACTCAAATTCCATCTGTCACTATTCGTCTTATGTGCATGCCAATGATTATAGGAACTTAGACTGAGACATCATGACTCCATATTTTGCCTGGTTATAGTGAGCCTGTGGTGCCTTACTCATTGAGCTACCACAGCTCCTTTATTTTCTTTTTTTTTTTTACAATAAAAATACTTTAAAGTGCTTAGAAGACAACACCTAGGCTTTACATTTAGGTGGCACATATTATTGGACTTTCAGATATGAACAATCTATATGAGCTTGTGTTAAAGTAGCTAAGTCACTAACTTAATATCATCCAAAGTCTTTGACATTGAAAACATAAATTATTTGTCAATTTAAATCAACATTGATGTTGTGATCTTACCGGAAAAATATGGGCTTAAAGGAGCTAAATCGCTAACATTTGGGTCCTAGAAATTGACAAAAGTGGGTCGCAACGCATATAATACTGGAATATGAATGTATATAAACTGATTTACATTCAATGGTTTCCGTTTTTACTCCAATTTCAAATCAGTTATGTTCGGCGAAATAAGCCAGCAGTCTCAAGCGAGTGCAAATTTCTAGCGTCTGGTTATTCCAGTCTACATACGCCGTTTGATTTGGTGCAATGTGTCTAGCCTCGTCCCTCGAGTCTCTTGATACAACTGGGGCTGAAGCGCATTATGGTACACGATTCGTGTACCAATGGTAAAATGTTTATTTTGTCTTAAATATTGGATATCAAAAGCCCATCTTTTTCCGGTAAGATCACAACATGAATGTTGATTTAATTTGACAAATAAATCGTGTTTTCAATGTTGAAGATTTTGGAGTTAGAGACTTAGCTACTTTAACTGATATCCAGTATTTAAGACATTTGTAACAAGGGACTCGAAGAACGAAGCTAGAATATTCAAAAAGTCATGTCAAACGGTGACGCCATAATCTTATCTGGAGAGCATGCACTATAAATACTCTCGATGTAGACTGGAATAACCAGATGCTATTGCCATTCGATTGAGACTTCTGGCGTATTTCGCCGAACATAACTGATTTGAATAATTAGAGTAAAAACCGAAACAATTGAACGTAAATCAGTATGTATACATTTATATTACATTATAATATGCGTTGCGACCCATTTGTGTCTATTTCTTAGGTACCAAATATTAGTGATTTAGCTTCTTTAAATAAATTTTTGTCAATTGTTATTTTCTACATCAATATTTGCAATTGCCAAAAAAAAAAGATATTGGCCTTCTTTCTTAGGTTTGAGGACCTCAAATTGTGATTCTTTTTATCTTTGACATAAAGCATTAAATTATCCACGGAGATACACATTGGAAATATTGACTATCCGGTTCACCCGCGTAATTCACAACGAAGTAAAATTTGCAACTGTTTCGTAGTTCGAATCCGATCCGCAAACCCGAAATACATTTCCACAAAAACAAATAAATGTCTCGATGTTGTGAAAATACAATGTTGAAGTTAAAAATATAAAAGCTTCTAAATAAAAAGGTAATCTGCACTCACAATGAGATAATTTGTTGGTTAACAAATATTTATTTTATAGGCTTTAGGTATATTCCAGACTAGGCTATAAAAGTAAGTTCAGACAGACCTGCTGGCTTCCTTTGTTTTGAAATGCATGATCGGGATTATTATATTTTAATTTACAACTTCTTAATTTTGTAAACTATCCCGGATAAAGTCTAAACAAGACGGGCATATTTCATGCAGTGTGCTATGAGAGGAATTTTACCTAGGCAGCGCAGCAACGGTTTACTCTTATTTCCATTTTCAGTTGTCAGGGTATCTTTGATGGCTGTGATAAGTGAAATCGGACTTTAAATAAAATAATTCAAATAAACGACTGTAGAGGCCTATTCTTTAAGTGCTGCTAGTGTGTATTTACATGTGTGAGACCTTAGTTTCCTTTCTAGGTCTTTCACCTCCGACAATGGACAAACTTTATCGTCCAACCCTGACCTGGGACCTCCTGGATAGTGAGCCAGCACCATAAGCCACTGGCACTGTGGATCAAAATACTAATAATAATAGTATTTATATATATTTTTTATTTAAACAATATTTTGTTCACGGGATACCTAAACAAACCAATGGCTTATAGAATAATAGTATAGTATATTAGAAAATGATGACTGTCAGCGTTAATATTTGCATAATTATGCTGTCAGTCTGTCCTTTTTGCTTAGTGCACTTTCTACAGGCTGTACAGTTTTCAATATTCGCCACTGTCTTCCTGTTCTCTTCTTGCGGACTATTAATTTGTGACCAGATTCAGTTTGCTAGAAACCAAGGGGTTGTTGTAGATGGAGTTGAGCTTATTTTTTAAAATTTGCAAAGATTGTTGAGCTTATTCTTTAAAATTTGCAAAGATTGATAGCCCTCCAAAATTTGGACCTGATCAGGAGGCCTATATATCTATATATTTTGTTTACGAAATTTGATTTTTTCAGTGTGAGAAACGCATACCATGCCCAAAAAGTTTGCAGGCATCAACAGTAAGGCTGCAGAGGCACGAGCTAGAAAAAGTGCTCAGAAAGAAGAAGAAAAAATAAAAAAAGCAGCAGCAGCCGAGGATGAGCTATGGAAAGATGATGATAAAAATGTTAATAGAAAACTACAGAGAAAGGTTTTTAATTTTTAACAAATAAGCTTACAGTTATGTAGAGACAGCATTTAAAAACACAATATAACACATTTAAAAAAATGAACAAAATCATACATGTATGTCCGAAATGAAATGGAAGCCACGGTGGCTGGGTGGTTAAGACGCTGGCTCGCTAGCCTGGAGGTCGGGTGTTCGATCCCTGCATTGGCCAAGAAAGTTCATCTGGATTTTCCGACGTGGTTTCCCCTTGTCAGTGGTGCAGAACGGAGGGCCTGACAAGGACAGCTGTCTAGTCGTTCGGATGAGACAAAAAACCGAGGTCCCATGTATACATTGGAATGCACGTAAAAGATCCCTTGGCAGTTGGAATTCGATATAAAGAGTAGGCGATAGTGCCGCTGCCCGGGCAAAATTTCCCTCATAGCACACTGTATGGCGTATGCCCGTCTTCATTAGCCCAGTATAGAAGCAGAACAGTAGGACGTTAAACCCCATTTCATTTCATTTCATTTCCAAAATGAATTGGGTTTTAATGTCCTACTTTTCTACACCAACTGGACTGAGCATAACTGCTATATAATTTGAATAGGAAACAGACTTATAAACCCATTTCCAGTGTCATTCATAAAAGAGGGTCACTATTGAATACCTGATGGAAGTTTAGGATAATCATTTAACGATGTAAGGACAATATCTCTACCTGTAAACAATCCAAAACATGCACTGATATTTGATACCATATGATGATACAGTTAAACCACACAAATTTCGTGTGTTGAAATAAAAATGTTGAGGCAACATGGCACCATAATATACAGTACGCTATCAAGTAGGCCTAATGAGTAAGGTTAAAAACAACAATTACATCCCACTTCTACTCGTTGCCACTGGCAACCTTTGATAAAACTGTCCTGTTTAATTGCAATACATGCTTAAAAGTATCCGTGTATCAGAAATGTACAGAAAGAGTACTGATCATTTCTGATACACTCAGAAATGTACAGAAAGAGTACTGATCATTTCTGATACACGGATACTTTTATACCTTTTAGATATCTATCAAGCAATAAGTAGCGGACATTTAGTCCGACCCTGATCGTTAGTCCGACCCTGATCGCAATTGATAACGAGGCTCTAACCAATGTACATGAAACAACTAGTCAAAATCATAGTAACAAAACAAAATGGGGGGAACTACATGGCAGTTCAAAAACATATACAATGACATTAAATTAACATAACAACATATTACAAAAATCAATTATTATACATACCAATTGGCATCTATTTCATAATTTGGTTTGATTTATATTAATATGCAAAATATATAAATTAGAATATTGAATAATTATTTTAACTAATTGTGATGATAGAAGGCGCAGTTCTCTTGCTGGACACTTCACAGGCATTGAAAATAAGCAGGATGAAAAAAAAAACGCCTAGAAAATCATAAACTTTATTACAAATAAATTTCAACGGAAGAACCATCCGCCGATGCATACTTTCACCAGGAATGACCCACGTTTCGCATTTCCTTTACACTACATTTAATAATATCGCAGTCCTCTACGCCATAGACATTGTTTTGACGATGTGGTCTAAACAAACACGTGATTGTTTTACGCTCAGAGTATTATAGCAAGACGCACGCGTGAATACTACTCAGGTCGTCTCTCAACTGCGAAATCATTCTACCATGAAATGTAACGAGAGGCTCAGAAAGGGATAAATAATGAAAGAACAGAAAGTATTTGTCACTTTTCGGTTGAAACGACTCGATAATAAATACTATTTTTCACATTTTGCTTCACAATAGAAATGTGATGTAAGTAACTTATTAGCACCTTTCCTCGGTGTATCGGTGAATATCAGGACAGTTTTGGTCGAGGAGCCGCCTCCTCGGCTGGGCCCCTCGACCAAAACTGTCCTGATATTCACCGATACACCTCGGAAAGGGTGCTAATAACTACTACATACAACACAAGTCAGTGGCTTATAGAGTAATATTTTAATAGAAAGGGTTGTCTTCTACTTTACTCACAAATGGATTCCAGGATTTGACATTTAGCTTTAACAACTTTTCAAGTTAATATATATATACTCTTCAAAAAAAGTAGGGGATATTGAAATGCAAATACCTATGCAGGTTGCGATATGATAAATAGCCATGGACACTTGACATGCTTTGAGAGTATGTTCGCAGATGAAGAACTTATCGCCCCAACAGAACCACTGAGCTGCACATACGCCATGCAATAGCGCCATACACGTGGGAGGGGTTCATTGTCAAATTTGACACTTCAAGAAAGGGTTGATGAAAACTGCAACATGCTGGTTTATCTATACATGTTTACTTTCCTGTTGGTTCTTGCATATGATTTACTGTTTAGCATATCTTTGCTTTAGTGTGTTACGTTTAATTTGATTGGGAGACGTTTTCGTCAACGTCAACCGACAACACTGCAAGAATTGGCCGTGGCACTGCAAGAGGAGTGGGTCAGATTTCCCCAAATCGTGATTGGACGGTTGATTAGGAGCATGCCACATCGAATTGCTGAATGTCTGGGGACTGGTGGAGCAATTACTCATTATTAAGACAAAAATCAAAAACGTTCATTTTCACTTTTGACGGTGTATCTCTTTGCGAGTGAAATGGGGCCTTCAGATAAGCTGCCCATATGAACTGTTTATGTTCATGTGTAGGCAATTGGCCTGTTATTAACATACACTGGTTACCTCTATTAAAAACAGCAGTGCATTTCCGCAGTTTTGTATTGTTTCTGAATATCCCCAATTTTTTTTGAAGAGTATATATGCCACATATTATAAGCTCATTATATGTCCAGTGTGTGTCTGTGCATCACCTACAAGCCACAAGTTGCAATTTCATATTTTTAAGTTACATTTTTAAAATTTATTAAAATAATGCCTTAAAATAGATGGTATCTATAAACAGTCCTACCTTGTTAAAGAATAATCTTATTAAGAGTGTGTCCACGGGAGCACCATGCAGAAATTGAAAAAAACGATAAACCGGGGGGTCAGCAAATTTCAACCATACTTGGTCTATGGGGACCCCTGGGCGACAGAAGTCACATGATGAAGTGAAAAAATTTTGAACGGACAACTTCCGGTATAACTGGAAATTGTTGTTTTGGGGCAAAAATTGACATATTTCGACCAATTTGTTACCCTAATTTCAAAACGCTCCTACCCGAAATGTTGTGTCTCTAAATTTTTGATATTGGTCAGGTATAATAGGCCTAGTAGTCGTCTTAAAATCCTGCAGTCGTTTGGGAATGAATGAATCGTGTGGAATTTTCTGTGAGTGATCATAAAGTGGTCATTTTACATATGTTTAAAACTATGCTATCCTAAAACGCATGTAGCTGCTTCTTTGCAGGTCTGACATAGAATTGTTTGGTGTGGTTGTGAAGGGCATTTCTCAAAGTAAATGTCAAAAGAAAAAAACTGACCGGAACGCAACCCACTACAGTACTGTAATATTCTGTAAATGTGTAAAAACAGTATTTTCCACGAAATTCGCCTTTTCACTGATGACTGACTACTATTTTTAAAAGTTCAAATGACCGTTGATTATGAACATTAGTACTATTTTTTTGTTACTTGAACGTTCCTTGTGCCAAATATACTATCTTGGTTTAAAATCATGAAGTTTTTGTGACAAAATCAGACGTTCGCAGTCATCGTAGGAAAGGGGCTTAACTGGTGTATAATTTTGCAGGATCAGGCAATGATTATTCTCATCTGTATTCAGTAGTTAGTAGCATGGAAGTGCATAAATGTAAGGACTGGCATAGCAAGCTTTTATATTAGCACAATTTAACCAAAGCAGCACCTTTTCAGCAATGACCAGCGATTATCTTCAAATGACTACTGATCATCACCATTACTTGTAAAATTTCGTAATTTCAACGTGAATCGTGTCAAATAGATCATTTTGTTTAAAATCATAATATTTTTGTGACAAAATCTGACTTTCACGCTTGCTTGATAGCCATAGGGAAGAGTCATAAGTGGTGTGTAATTTTGCAGGGATCAGACCACTGTTATTAAGATTTGTATTCATGAGCAGATCATCGTATAAATTTGACTGACATGACTATCATAAACTTGATATCTTTTAATTTGAACACCTGCTCATGTAAAGATGAACCATAAGAAGAAACATTCAGAAGTGTTCATGTAGGGACATTTAATGTCTGGTATTGAAATCTCTGAATCATGGCATAGATCACAACAGGATTTATGGCACTCCAGGATAATTTTGACCGCATGTACCAAACTCCTACACATACCTACGTTCGAGCAGAAGTGCTCACTTACTTAGATTCCTGCGTTCGAGTGTAAATTCTCTCTGACCTTTCTTCAAGGTTTTTGGACCACAGAGTACTGTTTTATTTTGTAGTACTGTTTTTGACCTCTTCTCCTTCAGGGATTTCAATATGGAATTATCATAGCCTCCCGATCTGTAATGCCTCTCCATGAAAACGTCCAAATGTTTCTATACAATGATCGGCTCCTAAATACAGATACGAATAAGCTGGTCTGATTCCTAAAATATGTTTGACCAAAATAACCTATTTGGCACAAGGAACATTGGTAGAAAAGGTGTTGTATAGTCGTCTTGCTGATTGTGTGACTACGACTTACTGTCACTGGATCATCTACAATCCCCTCGTCCTTAAAACCTGTTACAAGAGCGAACATGTACATCCCTCCGAAACACGTCTTTTACCCAAGAGCTAAAATATGCTTACACTGAATCGTGTATCATATTTCACCTTTCATTATATCATATTTATAGAAGACGATTTGTTCTGTTTAAATTGCATTGGACATTCATGAAACTTGTCCCTGGTCTAACACATAGACTTTAGATTCTAAGGTCTGTCATTGAGTTAAGTGGTGTGACAGCATGCCGGTGACATGGTGTGGTGTTGTTTGTCCAACCTCATGGATATTCTCTTTTCCCACAAGTGTATTACTGAAGTAAAATTGTACCATATGTTAGTCCCAAAATGACCTAGTTTGTGTTGAGTGGACCTTAAACCCCATTTCTCTCTCTTAAGTCAAAATCACCCTTACTAACAAATATATTAACTTTGTGATGATGTCCATAGATACAGTATGCATCACCATATTATGCTAGTCCCAAAATGACTTAGTTTGTGTCCAGTGGACTTTAAATCTCATGTTACTTTGTTCCTCTCATGTCTAAATCATCCTTGCTAATGACTAAATGGAATATATTAAATTTGTAAAGATGTCCATACATATACTTCATCTGGGGTATTGATAGACGGGACATTTTATCCTAATTTTTGGTGTTTTTCATATATTTCTCTTGTTTTTATTATGACTGTTCCGGTCATTTTTATTTTTTATTTTGTTAGTAGGAAGGTTGTTAGTTGTGGGTAACATTCAACTTTGGTCCTAGTCCCTGCAAAGAATGAGTTATAGCCTCTTAAACATTGGTTTTCATTAAATTCAATTTTCAGAGAGAGTTGGGTATCCGGCTAGTACCAAGGTATCATTAGCAGTAGAAACTTCAAACTCAGTGTGAAGGAGGAACCTGAGTGGTCCTACTAATGCCCAAAATTTTGTCTTTCCAAATCAATTATTGTCCGAATAGCAGGTCATTCAAATTTGGATCCAAAATTGCCTATTTTTGGCTTATTTTTCGATTAAAAAATACTTTTCCAATTTTCCAGGTCAGTATCAACTGAATCAATCTAATATTTTGTGGGGATGTATCTGGGTACTAACCCATCTCACAGAAAAAATTTGGTCCAAATCCCTGACCCAAGGGTTATCACCCCCTGCATGGTGCTCTCCCGACACCTATAATTCACTATTGCAAGTTGAGAAATTGGCAAAAATATCATTTTCAACTTCAAATTCAAATGTTTGAAGATAGCGATTCCATGGGGGGGAATAGACAACAAGGGAGGTAATTGTGTTATTATTTCCGGGGTTAAAGGTTTTTAAGTGGGAGAATAATACATATGATCGTATAATAGTGAGTTGACAACCTATTGAGCAAAAGGCATAGAAATAATTATGTTTTGACTTTCTTAGAAAATATGAAATTATGGCTTTAAGTGATCATACATACTTTACATACTTATTCCTTATACCCTAAGGATGATCCCTATTGTTTTTGGTGCATGCCCGACCGATCGTCTTGAAACAAATTTTATACTCTTTTTTTATACCCTAAGGCTGACCTCTATTATTTTTGGTGCATGCCCGACCCCCTGGGACAGAGCCACGCCCAATGTTTGTACGTCTTGTGTTTCGCCTAAACAGATCCTTTTGAAACTTTGCATACCTATTCCTCATACCCTAAGGATGACCCCTATTATTTTCTGGTGATTGCCCAACCCCCAGGGGCAAAGCCACAACCATATTTTCTTTGTGTCTCTGTGTGTTGCCTACAGGCCATGATTCTTAATGGATCATCTTTGAACTTGGGATATAGCCTAAGAAAGACAACTGCATGTCCCGACCCCCAGGGGCAGAGCCACGCCCAAATTTTGTGTTTATCGTTTACAGGACGCAATTCTGAATGGATCAAGTTAGTATATGTATTCCTTATAGTCTAAGGGCGTCAACTATTGATTTTGGTGAATGCCCTGACCCCCAGGGACAGAGCCACATCCAATTTTTGCCTTTAGTGCCCAAAGGCCACAATTCTGAATGGATTATCTTGGAACTTGGTATACTTATTCCCTATACCCTAAGGACGGCAGCTATGGATGTTGGTGCACGACGATCCCCTTCTCCACCCCCAGCCCTTTCGGTGGTGACACTCTGACTTTTTGTTGATATTTTGTCTGTAAATGATATACAGGTTGCAATTATTACCAGACTTGGATCCGATTCGGAATGATCCAGCATAGGGTTGTAGCTATATATATATTGGTCCATGTCCAACCCCCAGGGACAGAGCCACGCCCAGTTTTTGTGCTTTTTGTCTACTGGCTGGAATTCTAAATGGATCACCTATATATATTGGTCCATGTCCAACCCTCAGGGGTAGAGCCACATCCAATTTTTGTGCTTTTTGTCTATAGGCTGGAATTCTAAATGGATCATCTTGGAACTTGGCATATTTATTCCTTATACTGTAAGGATAGGAACTATTTAATTTGGTGCATGTCCCGACCCCCAGGGGTGTGGTACTACACCCACTTTTTTGCTAGTTTTTATCGGTAAATACTCTACAGGTTGCAATAATTAACAGATTTTGTTCAAATTCAGCATATTAATCATTTCAATAACAGGGTGGTACGTATTTATATTGTTCCATATCCAACCCCCAGGGGCAGAGCCACGCCCAGTTTTTCTATTTATCGTCTACAGGCTGCAATTCTGAATGGATCATCTTGGAACTTTGCATTCATTTTAAAAAGTACCATATCAATCAAAGCAGGAATGTGGATGTATATTTCAGCGTCAGCAATGCTCTTGTTTATGTATGTAATTCAAATTCCCAAAATGGATTTTTTTTTTTAAGGATGAAAAAGAAAAAAAAAGATTAGAGCAGCTTGAAAAGAAAAAAGAGATTCAACAACTTCATGATGAAGAAATGAGTTCATTAAAGAGTGCGAAACCCACTGCTCCATCTAAAGTTACTCGTCATGCAATAGCTGCTAATATTGAAAAACCAAGTAGTAAGAGATATTAAACAATATTTAATCCTAGTTAGAATCCTTTAATTAAAACTAGAAGATAAAGAGCAAAATTGGTGATTCTGTTTCATCTTGAAATATTTATTTAAATGTAACATAATTAAATGTCCAAAAATATGTGCAACGACCGACCGTAGACTTAATCCTTACATTATTTTTTAACAATGAACTTAAAATATTTTCTTGTATTTAAAAAGATAAAACCAATCCTCGTCGACATATCAATGATGAAGATGATGATGGTCCACCAATTGAAGAAAACTTGAATCGTTATATGGTTGATGGTGATGAAGCTAGAACAGTAGAGGAAGCTATTCAAATTTTAGGGTAAATTTTTTATTTCTGTTCTCAGTCATTCATTTTCAAATGCCCACATCGAAATGTGATCGCATATTCTTGCCCACATCCTGTCGGCACATTGATCCGGCATCCACAATTAGTTGATCAATATGAAAAATGATGTGGATGAGAGGATGACCGAGAGACTTAAGTTATTATTCAATTTACTTAAAATTTATAGAGCATGTTCATGGAAAGAAGAAGCTTGTTTATGTACATGGACATGTTAGTGTCTTGTGAATACCCCTTTGCCTACAAAAGAATAGAAATGTGACAGTCCTTTATGAACTGCTCTGATGACTGTGAGTATATGTCAGGCCCGTAGCCACAGGGTGGCTAAGCTTCCCACCCCTCTCCCCCCACAAATTGAATTAGCCCCCCAAATATTTTGCCGACAATAATGATTTTTAGGAGTGTTCTAATGGGTAGGCATCCCGTAGGCTCGTAACTGTCATCATCACCTCTTGATCCTCTTGTCTTGATACCATACATGTGTTGTACATAACTACTGTGAGGCATGTTGGTCTACTGCCACTGAACATGTGTACTCACTCATCACATTCTTGATGGTACCAGAGACTGCATAATTTATTGCCATTTTCCTGGGACCTGCCCTTTTATACCCGGGTTACGGGTTTAAAAGAGGCCCTGGTTTATTTGTTCGCCTACAAGGCGCCGGTTCAAATGTTTGCATTTGCCTACACCTGATGTAGGGTGCCTAAGGGCGCCTAAAATGTAGGTGCCTATTATGCAGCCTATACTGTAATTCTATGAATAGAATACCTATAGCCTATAGTTCACTTGAAATTTGATACTACAGCTGTATTGCCCGACTTCTCCGAGTAAATCAAAAGACACTCTCTACTACCCTCAAGATGATATCGGCGGGAGGAGTCGAAGAAGGAAGTTTCAGAAAATTCAGCCATAAAACCCTGCCTGAGGCACTTCAATTTGAGGCCCAGGAATGCACTCAGCAGATGTGAGGAGAGAGCACCAAATATTCAAAAAAATTTTGGGGAGTACCCTCAGACTCCCCACCCTGACTCGTGACTTCGCCTCCTCAGCCCCTCCCAAAAATTCCATAGCCCCACCAAATTTTACGAACTGGCTACGGGCATGGTGTATGTTTCATTGCAGGGGAATTAGTGATTACTGTTCTAAATAATTTATTTTGCTTTCAAATATAAATATTACCAGTAGGTTGAAAGAACATATAAATGATAAACAATAAAGTGTGTCTGAGAAATGTGTAGAGACTACACGATATAAAATACACCAAATGTTTATCACTGCAAGAACTGCAGCATGCAGCTATGGTACAAAAGGGAGAGGTTTTATCATTGATAGTTTATTTGTTAATAGATGAACAGCTATTTCAGCCATTTTTTCTTGCCAGACATTGTTAAATTTGCTATTTAAAATCGGTGAAAAACCCATTTCTGAAATACAGTTAATTATGTGATATATATTGTGTCAGATAAAGATATCCTATAATTTATTTCCAGAATAAGTGAACAAGAAGAATCTGAAAAACATCCAGAGAAACGAATGAAAGCAGCCTTTAAGAAGTTTGAATCTGACCGTTTACCTGTTTTAAAGCGTGAAAATCCTAATTTGCGATTAACACAAGTGAAACAATTACTTCAGAAAGAGTGGATGAAATCCCCAGATAATCCTTTGGTTCAAATGTTATAATAAAAATGACATTATATTTGTACCTTTTATAAAGGAAATTTTGTGAATGTATGAATTGAAACTTGGGTTTAAAATACAAGTAATTCTATATATTGTTTATTTAAATCAAACTATAATTTATATTTTTCTCTTTTGCATCTGCACAAGCAAAAATAAAAATTGAAGACTTGTTTTGTTGTTTACTGTCACAGATCAAAACAGAAATTATGTATCTGTTAAATTTCACCAAAAAGCGGGAGACAAGCAGATTGTTTTACTAAGTAAATCAATCAGAAAAATATACTATAGACCAGGTGAGTGGTGAGGTCTAAAAAAATAAATCTTCTTATAAATAATTCATATACATTTGTTGTTCTGAAAATAATTGATGTGGCTTTTCTACACAAGGATGAAGAAACCTAATTCATGATAATGTATACAATAGATATACATGCCTGAAATTATTATGACCTACCAGGGGTAGACAAATGCATATTGAAATTATGGCTGGGTTGTTCATATGTGAAGGTGAACATTGTTGGCTAAAAATAGTATTGCAATATTAATCTTCTGTGAATCGGGTGTTTAGATAATTGTTATGTTACTAACAAATTTAGTGGTGGAAACAAAATGGAACCCAGAGTGAGCACTGATGTTGATTGTAGTTTTAGTGCATTAACTATTTCCATGCCCCTGATAAATTGGATTGATGCCTTTAAATTAAGCTATTTTCATGCATATAAAATATGCTCACGAACCAAAATGTTGTGGGATTGATCCTAGTGCTGGCCAGTAAAGTTTCTCTGGATTTTCCAGTCCAGATGGAAGGAAAAGTTGTTCGGATTGTATGAGATTCTGTGTACATGTTGAGTTGGGATGCAGGTAATAGAACCATTGACAGTAGGAAAATGTTATGAATTTCCCTCACATCACACTGCATGATGTATGCCAATCTTCATTAGGCTGGTTTGTGCAAAAAAGTAGACTGTTAAACACCATTTCATTTCATACTCGGCATACATTTTGACATTTGAATTTGAATGAAATATACGATTGTGATGACACCAGTGTCACAGATAATCTAATGATGTATCAGAAATTATGTCTACTTTAAACTATTAACAGATTTGTCATAGGTTGGAGCAATATATATCAGCAATTTAATAAATGAACACACAATTTGCTATTTCAGAGGCGAGTTGAAAGAATTGTCACCATCCTTGACAATAATAATTGTTCGGGAATAGAAATTTGTATTGAAATTAATGTGATACATTTCAGATTTAACACATTAATTTCTTGTTTTATGTTGCAAGGATACCAATAAAAGGTCACAAACAAACTTACCTTTCATGGTATTGTAAGTAACAACGATTAACTTTGCAAGCAATTGGCCTTACGTGTATATAATAAAAAGACATAACTTACACAGACTAGCTTTAAGATGTACCGGTTTGAAAACAAAATGTTGCTATACAAAGTCACTAAAAGCTCAAAATATTCTCACTTATCCAGCGACTATTATATTCTTAGAGCACACAATTTAAATATTGTGAAAAAACACAACAGTGGGGCTGATTTCCCCCTTCTCAATTCCAAAATAAATAGATGACTCATTAATTACTTGAATATTGATCTTTTAATAAAGCATAAATCGTTCCTCAATCTGTTTAACTGGAGTAGAAACTGTTCATTATGGAACTATCCATCCAGTTTAATCTTTCTCCCCTATTAGAATCGGACTTATCGCATTCCAAAGTCTGGACCAATCAAATTACTTAACTATACTTAATCTGAGCAGAAACTGCTCATTATCAAACTCAGTCAAGGTATTGGGTAGGGCCATAAATATGGTTACACTCTGCTTTATCAAAGATAACTACTGGAAAGTTCTTTGTGAAACATCTTTATTTCAATATCTCAACAGAAGTATTAAAAAAAAAAATAATCATTAACATCACAACCACACTCTTCACCAAACAAAATAAATCATACACTTTCATTTGAGGCTTTTTACATTTATTTGCATCTCTGAATTTTGAAACCATCTATTATTAACTCTTGATTAAAAGACTGGTTCAGAATACAAGTATAAAGAATAAAATTACCGATTGTCATTTGTATTTATCACAGAGTATTTTACCATGACTTGAATTCAGTAGGATTTAAACAAAGGTCAATCAAAGATTTTGGTAATATTATAGGCAGTATTTGCTGTCTTTAACTATTCCCATTTATATTGACTGCAGCGGATGCCGAATGTTAATATAAGGTCAGTTTATGATAACTTTGAAAATACTGAACAGAATAGAGCAAATTTTGGACTTGCGTTTCTCTTAAGAGATCTCAACTTTTACAATATTGTAGTTAAAGGGCTAATCCCGATGATTGTTTGGAGAATAAAACTGTTTAATTTTGTTTTAAAATCCCTTAAAATCCTCTACCTACGTGCTGAGCAACTAACTCAATATTTGTGATAAGTTTTCAAATAACTGAAACCCGTCAGTCTTCATCTGGAAATGGAGACCGGTGTCCCAAGCTGTATTGTGGGTGTCTAGATAAAACCAGACATTTTTTGTATAAAAATAATGTGTAGGTGAAATTTACTTTTCGTTATCAAATACAGCATTTGGGTCATTCACTGTATAGACCTCTCAATGAGCGTGAATCCATTATCAGGTCAGCCAACGAAAAAATTGATCCGAAATCTTAAAAGGGTTACGTGTCCGGATAAGCAGTTTTGACGGTCACATCCAAATGACTCAATATTTTGAGCTGAAATTTTGAGACAAGGTAAATACACAATTCCTCTATAGTTTGGCGTTTAAATTTTATACATACTCAGACTTTTATTTTTGAGACTCAAATAAGGGATAGTCCCTTTAAGTTTTGTGTTGTAAATACATGTAGTTTACATAATGTTCATATGCCTGTACATGTATGACTTTGAGGAGAGTGATTACATGTATATAGGCTTTTTCTGTTTCCCAATCAATAAAATAATGTTTATAAAGGACAATCAGTGACTTTAAACAATTTACAATGCCATTTATTATATTCTATTATCATGACAGCCTAATTATATTTACCCGTAATAAAATAAAACAGTATTATCATGAATAACCTGTATGCCACACACAACCATTGAGCTTTGCATATCTTCAACAAAATTCAGACACAAAAAAAAAAACAACAACTAACATATTATGATCAATAAACAATTAAACATTAACAAAAATATATAATATTAACATCACTAAAATGAACAGGTATAAAATTTGATATGTTGTGAACACTATGTTTTCCATGAAGATACCCAAAGATGGAATAAAAATACAAATGAAATAGTGTATGTATAACTCTGGAAAAAGTACATGATATAAAAATGCAATAACACGAGAAAAAGTAAATGATATAAAAATTGAATTCTACAACATTACCATACTAACAGTTTAAAATGTGCATTATGACAGATACCGGTAACACTGAAATGATGAAACATCATATATTTCATCGTGTTTTCAGGATTTTTATACTTATGTCCAGTTTTTAAATAATGTTTCATGATTTGCATTGTCAAATATTGGTTTGAAATCAATTTTGACAACTTCAGAAAATCCCTCAGATTTCGATGGTTCCTCAAAGTTTTTCTTGTAAACATTATAGCCGACATCAGGTATTCTGCGAACTTCACTTTCTGTTTGATTTTGTCGAACATAGTTAAGATGGTGAGCTAATTCCATTGGTGTCTGCATATAAAAACATCTACATGGTATCCCTGAAATTTAGAAACACGATTTTATAGGTACATACAGAAATGGCTATACAAAGCCACATATGGATCTCATTCACGGAATACATTTCATGGTATCCAAGGACAAGGGAGAACATCATTGTCCTAACACGGAGAATATTATATGTTTTTATACCAAACATTTATCCAAATGACAGATATTTCATCGGTAGCTTTTTCATGAGTGACATTTATTCTGTCTATTTTAAGATATAGTTCTTTAAAATCAGAAAATATGAACGCTGGGGAAATGGAATAGCACACAAAAGGTACTGATTGAAAGGTAAATAATAATATTTACCATACAGGACAAGTATGTCTTTGCTACAACCACCAGAAGTCTTAATTTGAAAAGTTAAATGGTTACTTGTATATATTTCTTGTACATTTTTTAAGACTACATATATTTCTAGTATTATTAACCTACCTTTGTTTTTAGCCATATCTATATATGGTTCTCTGGCAGCAACTGATGGGTTTGTATTATCTGCTACAACACTTTTACCTTCATTCAGAGCATTTTTAGCTGCCTGAATAAGAAAATATAACAAATGTTGAATATCTACACGATGGACCCATTCAATTAGTAGCCAACCAAAACTTCCCTGTCATGTGGCTCCTACAGAGCAGTATTACAAAGAAATGAATAATTATTCCAAACAACCATGTTCTTTTAACACATCTACTGATCTTGAGCAATGTGTGATAAAATAGTTGATTTTAAAGTTAAGGTCCACAGAGCCAATGTTAAAATATAACTGATATATTGTTAAACTCTGTGATTAGAAAATAAGCTATATAATATCTTGAAACCAAAATCCAATTGTACAGAGCTTGTCCAAGCAACACCAATCAGATCAATTCAAAACAACACATTATTTTGGTCTCAATTAACCAGGTTTAATTCCTTGAAGCTTGCATTACACATAGAAAACATACCTTAATACATTTTTCTTGTGTTCCCATTGTATCTCTGTTGACAGTAACATAACCATGTGGTTCAAAGTATCTTTTACGGAAGGAACTTTTACCTGATGCTGGACATCCCACCATAATCACAACTTCTTGTTTCTGATCAAAAAAATTTGAAATTTAAAGACATACATAAAATGCAATTTTGTTGTAACATTAGCAAGCTGATTGTCACATATTTATAGGTTCGAATTCTAGATGTTAATATTGCATGGCACATCTGTTAAATAACCAGGAGATAAGAAAACTTATCAAATAAAATGAATAATTCTTGCAAACCACCAATCAGAATTTTTTGATTGTATTGCATGGTAAAATGTCAAGAATTATAACAAAACCATGATTCCCTGTCAAGAAAATAACTACCCTATAATTTTATGTCAAGAATATAACTCAACTGTACCTTAGATTTATATTCTACTTTATCATTTGATGCTGGGTTTTTCTTTAAATAATCTATTGGATTTAGACTCCTCCATTCAAAAGGTGCTGCTTTTTCACCCAGAAAAAATTCTTCAGGGGTGTAAAATTCTGAAAAATGTTTACTTTATTATGAATTACCCAAATAAAATTGTCGATGTCAATAGAATTTATCTTTTGAATTGTTTTGTGAGAAATGTATGTCTATAGATAAAGTCAATACTGATATATAATTGCTTTTATGTTCCAGTCAACAGAGTAGGCTGACTTCTGCTCTTATGGTACAGAGCTTATCCAATATTAATAAAAATAACACAAATGAAAATGAAAAAGGGTTTAATTTCCTACTGTTCTGCTCTGATTTTACAGCTTTGAAAAATGGTTGACATTTTTCTATAATAAGTTAGTAACTTACTTATTCCAATATTGGCACCAAACATGCGATCACCACAAGAAAAATCTTTTGGCTTGCCTGGTGCCCAGTTTTTTGCTCTGCCAGCTGCATCACCAACATAAAGGCAATTCTCAAGATCAACCTGAAATGAACCAAAATTTCATAAATGCAGCTATACACTTACCATTAGCATAATAAAATTTTCCATGGTTTCAATACTTTCATTGTATAAATCTTGTTTATAATAAATGTACTACTCCTTAAAAATAATCTTTGTAGAAAAGTTAATATTAAAGCCTCCAATTGTGGACAATGGACCAGTTTGACCATATGAAAAATCATCTTGTTCTAAACAGATATTTACACAAAATCTGGGAAGAATTTGAAAAACATGACTTTACTTAAGTGGGCATATCGTGGAGTGTGCTAAAAAATAAATCGACACATTTTCATATTTTCCCCTTTTATAAACTGTCTGATAATAATATCACAAAATTAAGAGTTAAAGAAGAGTATTTTATAAATAAATTCAAACCCAAACTCAACCAGTGATTTTATTTCATTTTAATTTATATGAAAAATTATTGTAACTATCTCAACATACTGACGCTACATAATGATGTAATGCCATTATCCATTATTGCCTTGAAAACCTAACGGCAAAACATGTAGGCATTTAAACAAAATTTCTTTAATGATATTTTCTACTTAAGTTATATATATAGGACAGAATTTAAAAACATGCACACTCTGAAAATCCTTTTCACTTTTTGGGCTTTGAAATCCACAAAAATATTTTATGCTTCTGATATAGTAACATTTGTCCATTTAAACACAAAAATTTCCTTACGGTCACACCTTGGTTACATTCCTCTACCATAAAATCCCACATTCTGGTACTGGGTTTTCTAAAATGATTTTCACCTGTGCAGATAAAAGCCTGGAAAATATAATATCATACAGTGCAGGGTATTTCGATACACATAAACACAACATCAACAATAGCCTGTTGACAATGTTCTAAGAAAGCAACCATGTATCTATAATTCACTCCCACAACCATGGTATATTACATATATCATGCTTAATTATTGCATATTTAACTATGATTTACCTAACAACTCTCATATTCCTCCAACCATGGTATATCATATAATTAATTATAACTATAAATTATCTATAGTACTATCTCACAAAACTTTAAAAAATATTTCATAGTTCCACTAACATTGTATACATGTATTTCATACTTACTATTATTTCAAGCCAGGGTCTCAGAAAAAGCAGTGTTATCACTTTTACCAAGTCCTATTGTTCATAACATCCAAATTCTTTTTATATTGCATGTAATATTGATCAAATGAAAAATAGATGCTGGTGTATTACTTACAAGAATAGGTATACCAACTGAACTTATGATAGATTCTATTTTATCTTTTATTTCACTTGGTTTAACTTTTAATTTTTCTATTCCGGCTTGATTGGTGAAGAAAACAATTCTGTATCCATCTTTGTGTAATTCTTTTAATTTTGTTGGAACGGAATCATCCCACATCTCCCAATCTTTAGCACCTAGATTGGGAATTAAATCTCATAAATATTTTTCAATCTTAAAAAGTATTTTTTTTTTTTTATATATTTCAAAAACATCTGTATTACTTATAAAAAAATAATAGACATACTTAAAAAGTATGATGCCATAGATAATATATAATACATTATTTAGTCCGACTAATATGTTGCCACTAGATATTAATTAGCACATCCAACAACATCGAACTAATTATTTATGGCAAACACGGTCGCTGATCATAAACAAATAATCACCTGTTGCAAACTTCCGTCCGCTCTGAGTTCGGATGATTGTGAAATCTATGTCAAATCCCGCTATCTTATCCCGTCCGGGCAGTGTGTCCGATGTCAGGGCTATCACCGGACACGCCCCTTTAACCTCTTTACCGTGTTGAATCCAATGAAGGCCATCTCCTAACTCTGTCTCGCCCCGGGCTTTCTTAGCTTTCGTTTTAGTATCATCTACTGCTTTCCTCTTGAGTTTCTGAGATCTACTTGACATTGTAATGAGTGTTGTCCAAGTTATAAAATGCGAGTTTTCTGTTAAGATGCCCCTAAAGCTCTTCGTTTGTACCGCTTGATAACGACTTGGAAGCGATCGCTCGGTTATCAGCTTTATAAGCTGTCCGACTTTGAAAGGCGTGAACGTGAAGAGACACATAAGACTTGACGTCACATTTGTAAACAAGGAACATGAACAAACTTGATTCGAAGGGATACAACTCTGTCTTATAACATTCGACAATTTACGAATTTTAAAAAGTATATATTTCTACATTATGAAGAATAAATAACTAATATTGTTACTATCATCATGTTATATAAAGTCCATGCTATCATCGTATCATGCAACCTTAATCATTGGCGCTGCTGACGTCCAAGATTCACGTGTCGATTTTTCTGACAAGTCGGTTGACGTGAATATTCTAGTGCACGTGTTGGGAAAATAGTCTTGATTATCACACTTGCTGAGTTAGGTCTGAAAAATTTGCTTCGCGGAGCAATATATAGTTTGTAATTTTGTAAAAAATGCAACACGTCGACACAATTACTTCCATAGTAAAATATATTAACAAAATAAATAGAATCTAAATAATAATAAAAATTAATCATTAAAAGAGTTTGATTAAAGTTAAACTATTTTTAAGCAAGTTAATCACTTGTGTTTTGTTATAAATAAATAAATCAATAAATATAAATTTTATGAATATATATTTATGAGTTAAAATGACTGTTTAACCAAATGGGTTCATTTAATTATAATAAGTCAAAACATCTTCCATTTTAAAAAAAACTGATGAAAATGAACTAAAATTTCCCAGATTACAAAAAAGAGAAACATATTTTCATATCAGACCCGAAATAGGTATATATGCAAAGGTCATTGCCTGCTTTCATTTTATTAAACAAATAGGCCTAAACCATACCCTCCACTCCCACTCCGACCCCTCCCAGCAAAAGATTTTAAAAAAAGAATAGGGGGACGAAGAAATGTAGTATATTTATGGACGATTTTTGACTTTCTTGCCAGGATTTTTTACTTGCCTTTTCAGTTATCGGCAATTTTAAAGGGATGTGAAGAATCATTTTATAAAGCGTCATATGAAGTCTTACATGATAGAGTCTTGTGTACTTCATTGGTGGATTACAATCTCTCGCTCACCGAAATGTAATCCAATACGTCTCAGAAGCTTATTTTAAGAAGGTAGTCTATTTTGCCAGGGGATGTATGTGCAGAAAACGGTTCTAATTTGCAAGAGATAATTTTTACCAGAACCGTTTTATAAATGAGCCTAATGCATTACTCCAGATAATAAGTTGGAAGGGCGAAGTATCAAGAACAAAACCATTTAAATCCAAATATTTTGAGCTTCCCATAGTATCATTTATCGCAATACAAGCAGCAACAGTGTATCCTGATGTCGCTTTCAAGAAGCCGACCTTCCCCCTGATATTATTTCTCCCAGAAGTCTGAGATTGACGCATGCGCATCGAAACCATTGCAAATGGCGGCAGTTGTTATTGTTCGATGTAGCTCTTGATACTTGGACAGATCTAGGACAAAATTCTCACCTCTTCAGGTAATTGGAGCCCCGAGCAGTATTGAATAATAACAATCAAAGATTTATTAGTCAAATTAGCCATATATAGATCATAACGGATTTGTCTAGCTATATGCACCGGCGCCGTATTTGGGGCGATTTTCAACCGGGATCGCCTCTCCAGATCGACGACGAAATATTTTGCGAACCATATCTAAACAAGATGTGAAAAAACAGCCTGTCTTTGCATAACTATTTTATACGATTCGACCTTGATTGGCGTCGGTGAATTATTGACAAACTGTTTTTTTGTGGCATTTGTCCTGAAAATGCATCAGAATCTGAATTACTGTGTTAGATTTGTCATAAATTTCTAACCGTGAACCGAATGCGTCGTCGACAATCATCATGCATGGCTTGGGGTTACACACCTTCTAAAGTCATTAGATTTAATATGTCTATTACATCTGATTTTGAATTCTAGAGGCCATGATTATAGACAGAGAAGACAATCTACAGACTCTGCCTCGGGAATTAAATTGTTCCTGGAAATAATTTATTTTCAGTGATTGATTTCCTTATTATTGTTACCGGTATCACTTGTTATTGAATCCCAAACTAAGTCCCAAGCATACCCTAGACACATTGACTTCAGTTTGCATTAAAAAATCATTTCAGAAAGAAGGCACCATATTTTATAATAGTTCTTGGTTGACAGTAGAAAAATAATGCTGTTCAGATAAAAATGAAGTGATATTGGTTTGCACAAAATAAAACAACATGGCTGTAATTTAATTAGGTCAATTAAACTTTCTCTCATTTTTATATTATTTAATACTATTCGTGGTTATTCATTCTGAAAACTATTACATGTGTCTTCTGGTTTTTGTTTGTTTAGGTTATGCATGATATATTTTCATTCCCATACACCAATAAAATAATCTGAATTTGGTCAAAATCATATTGTGTGCACATACCGTACATGCATCTGCAGGTGACAGTTGAACATAATTTGTGTTTTACTTATTTCGTGTACCAATATTCAGTTGGTTTGATAAAAAAGAAAATTTCTGAAATATAGTTTGCTACCATTGGTTTTGTCCAGAGTGTTTTATTTTTCTTTTATCAAGATTATCAAGTAAATTAAAATTAGGGCATACACTCACACTTAACATAGTCACTAAGTCTATAAGCAAGCTCATATTTGGACAGACAATTACATTAGGGATTGACTTGTGAAAAAAAACACAATTAGCTTAAAAATCCTTTTATTTACCGTACCATGTTAATTGAGTTCATGAGATAAATCTTACGAACATTAACTTTGTTCCACCATATTTCAGCCGTTACTGGGGATCATGCACACAACATGTACTGTGCAGATTGTTTCAAATGAAACTATTACTTGATTAACACCTATGATGTGTTGTTGATTAACATATTGTGCCAGTGTTTGTGTACTAAGTTTATGCAAAAGTACTACTCAACAAGAGTTTTTTTTACAAAACCATAATTTGTTTTTGTATTAAAAAGGGGATGCTATACTACCCAACGAGAGATTTGTATAAAACCATACCTTTTTTTGTATTATAAAAGGGTATGGTATCTTATTATGGGCTCTGGAAAGAAAAGTTTTGTTTACATACATCATGTGCACATATGGAACATATTTTACTGGATTAATCTACTATTCACGTCTGATTTTCACTGGACGTGTCATGAGGTCGATCTGTGTCATTATTGTCTGCAAATGTCTACTATTCAGGCCATGAAGTTTGGGAGAATCACATATGTACATGTATTAAGAAGATTTATTTCCATGACTTATTATTTTAACTGTTTCTACACATTTTACGCATGCATATGTACTGTAACTTTCATGTTTCAACTTTATTATTTTTATCAAATTGTTTTTATAGGTGCATGGTTGATGGATGATAGCGATGGGTCCGCAGGAGGACTACATCGAGACTGTCGTCACCTGCGAGGGGGATTTTCACGATCCAGAACTACACAGTCGTTTAGAGCAGTTCAGATTAAACCTGAAAGAATTATTATCGACAGGTATTATTATTATTATTATTACAGAATATTTATAGTGCTTCCTTTCATAGAACATGTTCAGTTGCACTTTACAAAGTGACAATGTAATCACAAATAAACAACAAGATTATGGACATGTTAACAGTTGTATACAGAGTCTGTTAAAAGCCTGATTAAATAAATGGGTTTTAAATTGTTTTTTAAAAGAATATAGAGATGTACAACATCTTAAACTAAATGGTAGATTATTCCATAAAACAGGTGCTTGAAAACTAAAAGAGCGCTAACCATAAGAGACTAGTTGAACAGTTTTTGGCTTTAAAAGTAGTTTATCTGATGTACGTAATGTCATACTATGATAACATGCATGCAGATTTGTTGAATAATAGCTTACTTGTTAAAGAGGGTTAGAGACATAACATCTCTGTTTTACATAAATATGGATTTGAAATGAAATAAAATGGGGTTCAACGACCTACATGTACTGTGCTGCTCTCATACTGGGCTAATCAAAACAAGCATACACGTTGTAGTGTGCTATGAGGGAACTAGTCAGGCCCTCCGTTCTGCACCACTGAGGAAGGGAAACAACATCGGAAAGTCCCGATGAACATTCTCGGCCAATGCAGGGAGCCAGCATTTTACCCACTTAGCCACTGTGGCAGGATTTGACTATTTTACTTACATGTATGGTAGGCTTATTTTGATTAGTCATGGGAACATGTGTCCCAATTTATATTAAACTGTTGTCTGTAGCCGATCACAGTAAGCCATTTGTTATATTTTCTGATAAAGATTGTAAAATAAAATGAAAGAAATTTTGACAAATATTTGTGCATAAATGGATGGGTGTGATTTAAGATCCCAGTGAACCAATTGTTTAAATTTTCAAACTGGAGGACCATTTTCTTCCTCACTTTATAAATTAGCCGATACACTTTGTTTGACATGAAATTATGGTTTGAATTTTTGTTTTATGTTAATAGTTGTGATCATGACACTTTGCGGACATGGGCCGTAAACAGTTGTTGACGAAAACGTCATGTTGCTTCCTGCATCTTAAATTGAGAATTTGTTTTTGTAGTGTGCAGGCAAACCAAATTCTATTATTTTAAAGTCTCATATTCCATTGTGTTATCTGATTTTTTTTTTTTACAGATTCTAACAAGGTTATTTTGAAGAAAGTTGAACCTTGGAACAGTGTACGAGTGACATTTAATATCCCAAAAGAAGCAGCCTTACGCTTAAAGCAGCTAGCAGAGCAAGGAAATGCTGCTTTACGGAGTTTGGGAGTATTGGCTGTTCAAATTGAGGGTGACCAAATCATATCGCTTACTATTGCTGGGCGAAATAATGAGAGAGCAGAAGTTATATTAAAGACAAATGATACAAACAGACCTGGACCTTCTTCTGTTTCTGTGTTTGATTCAGGACTTCACAGTTCGGATGAGGTATCTTCACCTGGGGCTAGTAATGTAGAAACCACTAGGAAAAATATAGCAGAATATCTTAGGAAAGGAACTTCATTGTTTGATACCTTCTTTAATCCCAATCAATCTGTGCATGGCAGTGAAGTGTTCAGATCACCGAATGTTGTAGCAACGTCATGTGAACCTATTCCATTCAAAGCCAATAATATACTCCATACAACGTCATCTCATAGTACAATTCCTGGAATGTCTCCGACACATGTTAGTTTTCCTCCTGGTCGCAGTCCTACTGGTTATCCTGCTACTCACAGTCCAAACTTTCCATCCCCATCTTCAAGCCGCAGTCCTGTAGGTCAACCAGCTCTCAAGTTCCCATCCCCTCCTGCAGGTTCACGTGGAATTATACCCCTACCACCCCCACCTCCCCCACCACATTCTTTTGCTAATATGGGTTTGCCCCCACCGCCTCCATACCCTCAGACTATGGCCCCGGTCAATAACTTACCTCGTCATGGTAAGACTGTGACAGCCGCCAGCCCTCTTTTAGTCAACCTCCTTCAAACAGAACCATTAGTGGCAGGGCTGAGCAACATGGCTGGTCAAAAGATGCTGCCCCCAAATGAAGGGGGTGGTGTTGTGAAAAAGAAAAGGCGACCAAGGAAACCTAAAGATACCAACAAACCAGCCACTCCTGTAGATGGAGAAATCCCAATTGAAAGTATTCCCAATCCTGCTTTGGATGTGACCGGTTCGATATCCAGTTCTGATAGTGTGGTATCTGTAAGTCATTCGGAGGCAATTTCAAGAATTCCCTTCCTAACACATCAAACTTCTATGAGTAATCATACACAGGGTGCAAAAGACAGTGTTAACTTTAGTAATTTTATGGAAAATGATAGTGTGCTTAGTTCAGGAACCAGTAAATTGAATACGGATGACCCCTTTCCGCCAGAGGTTACTGCTGGTAAAATTGTGAACCCATACACTGGTAAACTAGAACCCATTGACAAAATATCAGATCTTAGTCCTAATAAAACAAAACCAGTCGGGCGATCGATTGAAGACCCTATTATGTCTGAAAAAATATCCTCTAGTGTACATTTGAGTGATAGATCTATAAGTGATATTAAAAAGCGAATAATAGGACCTTCGGTAGGACAAGACCCATTTATAGACTGTGTGGCAGCAACTAGAACATCATCATTAACAACGCATAGCATCTCACCAATATCCAATAATAATCCCCTCACAAGCACTGTAAACAGTGGACATATTTATGCTGATAATAGTTTGTCTAGTGTAAGCTCTGTCACAATGGATATCTATGCAGCTGATTGTTCTAGTCAACAGGTGAATACGACACCAGGTAGACCTGGGAGAGAGGACATATGTGGTCAACCTGCTGTTCAATTAGAATCAGTCGCATACTCGGGAGCAGCTTCAGTGCCAAAGCTTGCAAATTCACTTTCTAACAGTTCTGTGATGCATACTTTATCTGCAACCTATTGTTTAGGGACTACAACCAGTCAAGCAAGTAAAAAGCATAATGCTTTAGTTGTGTCCTCTACGCTGACGAGCAGTACTGTGTCGAGTGCTTTCAGTTCGCAAGATTCTTCTAGCGAGATATACACACAGGGAATTCAGTCACACGCTAAATTAGACTCTTTACCTTCGCTCAATTCACCGAATGTTCGAAATACCGAGGTACACAGCATTACAGGAAGCCCCAATGGAAAAGTTTCATGTGAAGGGGATGATGGTTCGAACCATAGTGGCATAATTAACGACATCAATCCAGAAGGTGCCACATCAACTGTGTCACCTCTTGATTCTAGTGGTAATAAAGTTTACAATCATGATTCAGGTGTGGGTAGTTCATCAGAGCGATCAGATGACACCCCTTCAGAACCTGGTGATGAGTTCCGATCGACCATGACAACTCAAGTTCATGTGGAAGTGGCAAGTGAAGACTGTTTAAAAGGTCTAAAATATAGTGCAGAGTGTAAAAATTCTAAAGTAATGACTGTCGGTTATGTTATGAATCATGAACAATCATCAGCAACTCCTCAAAACATAGCCAACTCCATAGGACTCTTAAATAAGGACCCCCTATCAAAAATGGCAAATACATGTATGAAAGAATTCGATCAATATCTTTATGGGGGTAAACAGAATAATATTGCATTAAATAGTCAAATTCCATCGCTGAATAGAACTGATAAAGAACAACACTTCAACCATATAAACAAAAAACTTAAAAATGGTCCGTCGATGTTGAATGAACATAACTCGACGTTAGATGTTAAAACGGATGAAGTAAATAAAGCCAAATCACAAGGTTTTAATCCGTCTATAAACAGTGGTGTAACTGTTGGAATGGGGACTGGCATGATGAAGGATAAAGCTATGTATCTGAAAGGGGGTCAGTATTATTTTATATAAATACGTTATTATTGTGTGTCATTGAAAGAATTTAAAACCTTACCAAGGGCCTGAAGTCATTCCAGTATTGGTCTCCCTTAACTACATGTACATGTATACAGATCTGACCCATGGTCTGTCCCATTTTTTTTCATCAAGAACCCCCCCCCCCCCCCCACTAATTCTTCAAGTTAAATGAATTGCCACTGTAACATTTTGTTACAGTGTAGATTAGATTTGTAATGTAAGTCATAATTAAATTAAAGTGGGACTGGGGTGCATGTTAAATCATAAGATCTGTCATTGAGTCAAGTGACAGGGTTGCGATTCCCCACTTGTATGTGACAAGGATAGGGTGCCTGTTAACCTCCGGGGTTTTTCCACAGGTTCCATGCACAAGCAAATTATTGAAATAAAATTGAACCATATGTAATGTACATGTACATGTATGTTAGCCTTCTCTCTCTCATAATTTAAGCAACATACATGATGTAGTATACATATCTTAATTATCAAATTAGTTGAGACACACAAATTACTGTACAGTATGTACATTTACATGTAATATTCAATATGACAGGAAATGTACATGTAACCATTTTTTAGTTGCCCAAATATTAAGCTCCATGTACGTGTAAATACTGGCAGTTCATTACTTATTATACTAGCTACATACAATGTAGTCTCTCTTAACCATTATACTCCTATCAGGAAACGTGAGGTTTAGGATTGAATGTTTTTCTATTATTGCAAGTTTGTGTCTCATGCAACCAGATAAATGATTGGTATACAATGAGAAATCCTTAAAAAGCTAATTAAAGCTGTTGTTTTGTTACAAATGTACATGTACATGTACACTGACATGTTCAAATTGATTCCAAATTTCCAAAAAGTCAAATGTGGTAATTGGTCTGCTCCCAATACTATAAGCTTATTCTAAGAGAATGGAAGCATTAATCTTTGTTGTGTTACATGTATAATAACAATGGCTATGTCTATCCTTACATGTATACAGTATACATGTATACAGTATACATGTATACAGTATACATGTAAATGTACATGTAAATGTATGTGTTAATGTACTATAATCAATAGATAATTTAATTTTACTGATGTACATGTAATGCACAATAATGATTGTTTAATGATACCATCAATAAGCGTGTGATAGGTACATGTAGGTGCTGTTTAGTCAGGCTTTGTAGACATCTGTCTTAGTAGTCCTCAGTACATGTAGTATTCCATAAGATTGCTTTTGCTTTGCCCCCATCAATGTCGATGTGGGTCAAGGAGTCCTTTACGTGGCAAGTCATATTTTCCTACATCTTAAATTCATATAGTGAAATTATTGTACTGGTTGATGATATTGACGGAAATGACCAAAAAACTACATGAACTGTTGGTTGGCCAACCCAAGTGACAAAGCTGTTGTGGGCATACATTTACATGTCTTTTTCAATATGATTATTTAGAAGCAACTACATGTACATGTTTTTACATGTAATGCATTCACATGAACATGCACTACAAGTACATGTATGTGTTGCCTTATGTGTGATGTACATGTAGCTGGGGGCCACAGTGGCTCAGCGAGGAAAATACTTGCTAACGAACTGGAGGTCTCTTGTTCGATCCAAGTGTTGGCTGGGAAAGTTCCTCTAAATTGTTCATCAAGGGTTCCCCTTGTTAGTGGTTCAGTGGAAAGGGCCTTGCAAGGAAGATGAAATTGTCCAGTCATTCGGGTGGGATAAAAAAAACACAGGTCTCCTGTACTGTATACATGTACATGTACAGGTTTGCATGCACACTGATGTAAAAGAACCCTAGGTAGTAAATGTAGATAGTTTGAATTTGATGAAGAGTACAAATGTATGCTGAAATGTCGTTATGTGGGCAAAATTTCTCCCAGGACGCTGTTGGACGTTACGCCACATTTCATTTTACATGTATTTACAATGTGGTTGTTTTATCTGATGTTTTTGTATTATCAATTGCCAGAATACAAAATACGTACAATGTACATGTAAGAAATATCTGTGTGAAGCTATTTCTGAAAATAGAGTTATGCTTCTGATGAAATGCAATACATTGTGCAGGCTTTGTGTTGCTGTGTTTGATAGAAAAGAGAAGAATATGAATACAAGCGGTTGCCTCATTAGAAATATTATTTTAATTTATTTAATTTATTTCATTACAGACACATCCATAGCAGAAAATGGTCCTACTCGATCCAAGCACAGTGAAAAGAAAAAGGGTTTAAATTCACAAAGTCGGTCAAATAGTCCACGTCAAGCTATTAAAGAGGCAGATACTTCGATCTCGTCCAGTTATAATAATTATACAAATGATTGGCCTGATCTTAGTAATTCCCTGTTTGGAATGGGCCAAATAAATACAGATCACTTTGATTCTCATCATTTTGAGGGATTAGAGTTTGACTCACCACCTAATTCCGAAAAATTTGCAGGATTTACGGAACAGGATATTTTACAAGCGACGGCTAAAGGACTGGCATGCAAAGCGTTGGACGGGACAAAAGGTTCAAATATCACCAGTAAATATTCTAAACGATCATCTCCCGTTAATGTCAACATGCTCAATCACTTGTATGCACCAGGACTTCCACTTCCGAGACGATTAACAGAATCTGTTCAAAGACTTGTGAAACCACTACCCTCTAATGATCATAGTCTACCTCATTCACGTGCATGCAAGTCTCCAGGCAGTTCCAAAAGTTCAAACGGATCTGCCTCACCCCGAAGTGGTCCAGGAGGGGCAAGATCACCTGGTGCAAATGTGAGCAAAAGTGGGAATGGGGTTGGGCAAAGTGTTAACAATTTATCGGGACAGAATAGTGCTACTTCACAACAATACACCATGGCTGGTAATCTAACGAATACTACCATTAATAATAATTCACACACACCGCAATTGATGGCCACTAGCTGTTCAATTAATAATCTGTCATTATCCTCATCTACAGACTCTCATAGAGCAATAGGTGACAGTACATACCAGGCATATAATAACTTAACTACTCAAGACAATTATAATCAATATCATTCCAACAGTGGGTCAACTGTCACGAACTATGACCCACAAATGATGGCGAGAGACCAACTAGAAACATCTAATATTGGTCATTGTGCTACATCTCCCGATTATTTACCATCACAAGTAGAAACTGTGCCTTCTAGTGTGTGCAATATGTCAGTAAACAGTGATATCGGTGCAGGTTTACCCACGAGTCAGGACTCTAGTACGGAAAACCAAGACAATAGATTATCAGCAAATTTATGTGCCATGGAACAAAACAAATCCTATGATCTCAATAAAAGTGCTTCAGAAAAAACATGTATGACTAGTGGTTCTCCTGTAGAACATAATCAGTCAGTAGATATAAAAACAAAGTTCACCGAAGGTAGTGGGATGCATCCTTCAGTTGAAACGATATCTTTGAGTGTCAATAAACATGTTAGTGAAAGTGAAAGTAGATCTGACAGTTTGTGTGTCCCACCATTTGTCTCATCAAGCTTACAGCATTCCACATACAATCTCTCAGGTAGTGCATTAACCACACAGACTAGCGTTAGCTTTTCTAGGCAGCATGGTGTCTCACTAAGTAGCATTGATATTGCAAAAACTATCCCCTCCCCTCCTCTCACTAAAAAATTGGAAAATGTTCAAAATTTATCACAATTCTCAGATAGTACGAGTGCACAAAATGTGAATACATCTGTCAAAGAACCTGATAATGAGAATGTGAATAATTCCGATAAACTGTCACCTATTGTCAACACTGATCTATGCAGTCAAAATACTTCTGATATTAACACTCCGCCAAGTATCACACACTCAAACACAAACTTTACAAATGTTGTGGCTTCTGACAAACAAATCAGAACTGTGGTAAATACAAGTAATGAAAGTACTTTGGTGCCAGTAGGAGATTTGTCTAAATCTAACCAATCTAATCATATTAATGAAGAAATTCTAGTGAACAGCATTGATGCCAGTGAAACTACTGCTACTACTATTCCATCTTCTACTACCAATAACCAAGAATTAGAAAACACACCACCCTTAGTTGCACCAAGTGAAATATTTACAACTTCTTCTGTTGAATCTGAGTCACCCATGAGACGATTAACGCGCAAGCGGAAGTCCAACAACAGTGAAAGTGAATGTACAGATCCTAAGGAAGCTAAAATGCTGGATGAAACACAAGCAGAAGGTAATGAGGGTAGTAATCCTGCATCCCATAATGCAATGGTAATTTATTCTAATACAATGGGGGAAGAGAATAGTGAAATAAAGTCACAGGATAAAGTTGGTCTTAATGATGAAACTTCAAATATAGAAGATGGTAAGGATGATGATATAATGTCTAAAAGAGGACGAAGACATAAGCCTTTAGCTCCAGCTACAGTTATTGGATATTGTAAGAATTTATTATTTTTATACCAATGACAGTTCTTATATCCATGTAAACACCCCACAGGACAAAAGTGAATTGAATTTTGTTTGCATCATTGATGATTGTACAAAATAGAGATTTTGTTCAAATCTACAGAATGTGGTGAAAGCAGTTAAAAAAAAACACCACACAAAATTTTGCGGGGGTTTGACATACTATTTCTTTGTCCTGTAGTGTGTCTTTAGCCAGGTTTTAAATTTTTAGCTGTTATGAGAAGAAACCAGCTATTAATTTGTAAGACCTGTGTACACTGTATGTATTTGCAAGTATGATTTTCTGACCACTGGTAATATTTATAGTTTTATTATTTTTGCTTTCAGCATTTTTTGATACTCCTGTCATACAGGGACGAACACGAAGTCAGTCATCAACAACACCTGCTACAGAAAAAACAGACCAAAAAGAAGATGTCCCTGTTACTACACCCAAACGTTCAACACGCTCTATCAAACAAAAGGGTACGATTCACTGCCAGTAGCAAGTTAGTTTTAGTTGTGCAAACAGCTTGTGCATATAACATATAACAGAAATATTTTTAAAGTAACAATGCATTCTATACCGTCGTTGCAGACCGGCGCCCACAATTGCTTGTGGATGCTCAAGAGTCTAAAGTTAACCTCCGATTGACTTTAAATTTATACACGGTGTTTAAGGTCATGGGTTAAAGAATCCTATTGATTTGCGGCTATTTCCGATAATTACTGCCAAAGTTATGACCCTTGATCACCTTGAATAATCTCGTGAATGCTCTAGAGGCTAAAGTTACTTTTAGTTTTGCAAACAGCTTGTGCATTCAGGTTTCATATAACAGAAATATTTTTAAAGTAACGATGCATTGTTTGCATTTTTATATGCTCACATTGAAATGTCGTCGTAGACCGTCCTCGTGGCAGTCCGGCGTCCACAAGGACGCTCATGGGTCTAAAGTTAGCCTCATATTGACTTTAAATTTATACACAGTATTTAAGGTCATGAGATGAAGAAGCTTATTGATTTGCAGTGATTTCCGATAGTAAGTGCCAGAGTTATGGCACTTTTAAAAATCATGTTGACGCTCTAGAGGCTACAGCTAATATCGGATTTAATTAGATTTGAAACGAGACCCATCAGTTCTTGTTCTCCCACAACAAAATGATGACAGGCTTTTTTTATAGCGAGCAGCATAGTTTGATGAAATTTCATTGCAATATTGAACGATTTTTGGACCGGTATTCCTATTTGAGATTCATCTTTCACATCATTGTAATTTACAAGAGATTCCTATTGTGCTAAAATCACATCACACAATGAGACTTGTATGCAATAGAAATAGATTTACTTGTAAGACTGTGAAATAATATACATCTACATTGTTTTGGACCCAAGATTTGGGGAGCTGGGGATGCATGTTATAAAACTACTTTCAATGTAAGTCACATATGGTTTATCTTGGAAGTTTCTTTACAGGTACTCTTTATGTTTGGGGGGTTGGATGGCTGAATGGTTAGCGTGTGCGCGCTGTATCATAAAGTCCGTCATTGAGTCGACTGGCGTGTTTTCGAATCCCCGGTTGTACGTGACAAGGAGTAGGGTCGCCTGTCCAACCTCGTGGGTTTTCTCCAGGTCCTCCGGTTTCCTCCCACTGCTATAAGACCCCTACACGCAAGCGAGTTGTTGAAATAAAATTAAACCATATGTTAGTCCCGAAATGACCTAGTTTGTGTCGAGTGGATGTTAAACCCCATTTCTCTCTCTCTCTCTTTATGTTTCTAGCATGTTGAAAATTTGTAATGTTTCAATCCTCTTATTAGTGTTCTGCTGATTTTACTTTTTGAATTTTTTCAAGCTAAATATTACATGTATATATACATGTATTTGATTCAATTCAAAAGGAATCTTTATTGAATACATATTAATACATATTTCCTATGGGAGACAAAACATAATCAAATTTCATTACTTTTAATTGAAATTGAATAATGAAAAAAATCAAAAAATAGCCTTGAAACATGTTTTGGGTGAGTCTGAGCACTAATCTGCTGATGGTTTTGTTATCTGCCAGTGGTGGTTCTTTTTGCTCAAGTTCAACCGCTGAAGAGGATTGTCCAATCATCATGCACAGAACATAAACTTGTAGAATATGGTTCTATTCTATTACATGTAAATACTGTCTGTTGTACTCATAATGATTTTATTTATATTTCCAGATCAATCTGAAGCTCCTGCCAGTAAAAGGCGTCGATCGAGAGATCATAGATAGTTAACTAGACTGTGGTTCATTTATCGTACCATGTTGGGTTCTAAGCCCTCCCCATCAACTTTGTGTGTATATAACATATATTATAATTCATGTGATCATATGGATATATAACTTAGAAGAGAGGATTACAGTTGTGAACTCTGTGCTCATACGAAACGTAGACGCAAATACAATGTAATTCCAGTATAAAACTATTATGTGAAATACTACTGTAGTATAAATATCGATAATTCAGAGTGTAAATATATGTTGATGACTATTTAATGTTTTGCTATCAAGTTATTATTATTATTATTAAAAAACATGCGTTATTCTCCATTATTGTGCTCTATTTCTGTTTGTTCTTTTTGCTTATCAGTTTATCACAAGTGCTGTCTGTACAAACTCAATTTGTACATAATATATCATTTAGATTATCTTCAATCAAAACCCGTCTTTTATTCTCTTCATTTTTCAGTCTATTTTGTGATGTCTGATTCTGTGAAACCATATGTTCTTGTCTGTTTTTTTCTTTTTTCTTCATTTAATGTACAGTCTCATTTTATGAATATTACTATTATTGTTGGATTTATTTTTTTTTGTGATAGTTTGTTGAGAAACCCCCTTTTAATGAATTTAACTTTCAAACTGCCATGGTCATGCATAATGAAATGAAGATATAATACTGTCTAGGTTTATACTTCTTTTTATTATTATGTAGAGAGAAAGCGTAGAGCAAACACATGCTTTAGAATATCAGGGATTTGTTGTTGGAAAACTGTATTTAAGAGGTTAATCTTCAGTCATTACAATAAAAGGAAGTTGCATTTCATTTACTATTGCAAAAAACCCTTTCCAAGCAAAGAAATTAAGAAATCACCGATTTTTTAGATGTTCAGAATGTACATCTTTTCTTACAACAGCTCCCTGATTCATATATATCATGTATATAATAATAACAATAATGAATTAAATAGGTTTGTTCAAGCTGAGATTTTCATTAAATAAAAAATGAAATTAATGAATGATTTCTGTTCTAAACTATGTAGACTTTGTTGATACCTGACCGTACAGATTATAATATAAGTATAGAGTTATATATACAAATAATTGATTCTCTGATTGCTAGTCTTAATGTACAGATTAACTAATTATTAAAGTGATTTTCTATTAACTTAGAGAAATTTTTTTGAGAGTTTATCCATATTAACATATTGTACATGTATATAGGTAAATTATATATACTAATAATGAAATACTAAGTGTAGGTAATCTGTTGTGTTTATATACACTTGTTTTTCCCCCTTTTTGTGAATTTATCTGATCTGCAGTGACTGGTTTTTGCTAATTGCATTGATTAAAATTATCGTGAAAGTTGGCCCTTGTTGATCAGGGTATATCACACTTGATTATTTTGGTAGGCTTTAGGCTTACTTTTTGCTAGCATTATGTAGTTTTCTGTTTTCACAGGTCAGTGTTAAACTGTATATTTTTTATTTTTATATACAGTATTTGTGAATAAAGTATAGATCTTATTTCATAACATAATACTCATATGCTTTAAGTTTTGTTTATTTCTTGAAAGTATCCGTATGAAACATATGATAGTTCTGACAGATTTAATGGGTTATTGCATTATGCAGTGTATCAAATTTTACATGTATGTCACTAAATACAAATTGCTGTAGGCTCACAAAACATCCGTTGTTAAATTTAATAAATAAGCCACCTTAGTCAGACCTTTTTTAAAGGAAATTGTAGAAACCTATCTTCTCTTTCTGCAATTTGTTGTGAAATTATTTATGTAGTCCTTGATAGACTGCTTATAGGTTTTGAGGGTTTATGTAAATATATAAGGACTTGGTATGAAACATCATTTATTGCCCTCACCCCCACTCAGCTAAATTCTTGTGATTTTTGGTTTTGCCATCATCTAAGAGAAGAAGGTCAAGGAAAAACAAGGGCATTTGAAATCAAATACATTTATTTTTTTATCCAGTATAATTTAATATACAATGTACTTACAAAACAAAACCCATGAATAGGAAAATTTCTTAAAAATAAACTGCAAGAGATTTTCAATCTACAGGTCATTTCTTTTTTTGTGTTCCCATCACCATGTACACTTAATGGTTAACCAAGTCATACTGCATCTAAAGTTACTTTAAAAATAAGAGAATAAGTCGATTGCTCTTCCATTGTTTGGGATATTGACTAAAAGTGATATTTTAAGAAAATAAATTTCATTGTAAAAAGATGAAATAATTAAATCAGTGGCTTGCAATACTTTAGTAAAGGTAGTTTTAACAATTGCGAATTTAATTTATTCCGCATTAACAATGGCTAATAACATCCTGTTATAATCTCCACCACATTCACTGGCAATGGCATCAGATAGAGCCGTTTCATATCTTGCAGCGTATGCTTCTTTTATTTCTTGTAGATCAATCTGAGAAAGAAAAAAAAGGGACGTATTTACAAGAGGTTCAAACCTAGTCTGTTGATCTTTCAAAGTACTATGGGAAAAGAACTTCACTACCCTGTCATAAAAGGTTTTATAAGATAACCTGTCACATAAGTGATAAATGGGGAAGGTATAGAATCTGTAAACTATTTCATTGTTTTGAAGGCTTACAAGCGACTTCTTAATATATCAATCAAAATAACCCTCATTTTGATTATGGGACTGTCTTGAAAGAGATTGTACAATTCATTTGAAGATGGTAGCATGTAGAAACTTGAATAATAATCTTGTTTTGATATGTCAACTTTCGTGTAATTTCGACAAGAAGCAATGACGAGTTACCTCCCCTGGAAAACTAAGCCCCCTCCGCTCAATTCCCAATATAGAGAACAATCTAAACTATCGGGTTTGCACTTGAAAAAGAAAAAACTATATAGGCACTGTACAGCTTACGTACTTCACTTCTTGAAACTATTATTCTGATAAGATCAGTGTCTTTGGTACCCAAACCTTCAAAACTCTCTTTTAGTCTTCTGGCAAAATATCCTGGCATATTTTTAGTTGACTCCACTAAAAGAGACAGACACGAAAAAGCATATTTATCACAAGCTGTTGTTTTACAAACAATAGTATTAAAAATATTTCTATGGCAGACTGGTCATATTAGTCCACGAGCCATTTCTCATTGCCGCATTGGTTTTTAGTTTGTTGCACCCGCCTGTCAATTTGCCGACTTTCCCAGTGTCTAGACCTGAAGGCATAGGCGTCGATCGGTGACATATCGAAAGCCACTAAATACCTTTTGAGTTGGTAGTGCCCCTTTACACTTCCAAAAAAATAATGCGTTAGTTCTCTGATGTTCGACAAATAAGTGAGTCTAAGGGAATTTTGAGTACGATAGTTTCAGAATTTTTGTTGCTTGATCACAATATAAAGTGTCTGTAACTGAAGTAAAAATTATTCTACCGAGGTTATCACATGCCGCTTCTTCGTTTCACTCTTCATATTTGGACGAATTACGGAATAAAGTTGTTCCGAAATGCATCAACCTACCTATAGCTAAATAACCATTCTGTAGACTTCCATCACATTCACTATCAATAGTTTCTTCCATAGTACAACCAGTCAAATTTTCATAGTGAATCATTGTTTGACGAAGTTGTTGATGACTTCTCAAACATAAAATGGCGTTCAGTTCAGCCTCCTCTGTACCCCAAACAGCAGCACCAGCCTGATAACAGACATGAATCAGATTAGATAATGTTCAATCAAAACCTATCGGGCGAATTTTCCTTATTTATATGTATAAATACAGCACCAACATTAGCCTACTTGGGTGGTAGACTAAACATTCACAACAAATGGTTATTGTGTAATGTGGGTAAGATGCTGGCTCACTAACAAGGAGATCCTGGCTGGATTCGATTTGCAAGTTGGCCGAGCAAATTTCCCGGTATGGAAAAGGTGCAGGACAAAGAATCTGGCATGAAAAAGTGTCTGTCGTTCGGATGGGATAAAAAAAAATTGTTGGCGTACACGTTAAAAAAGCCATTGATCGTTGAATTCGAAATAAGAAGAGTAGCACCACTATACGGGCAAATTTGTTCTCATTGCAAAATGAATGGCGTATGCCGGCCTTCGTTATCCCGGTTGGTGCAGAAAAGTGGGACGTTAAACTCTACTTCCATTTATTTCCCACTATCATATTAATCATTATATTATTTCTTTAATAAAACATTCTTACCTCATAAAACTTTTGAGCATCTTCGGTCGCCTGTTCATAGTCCACACCTGGTTTATCATCTCTACCAGCAGCACACAATGATACTAGTAATCTCTCAAAATATCCTGATGTTTCACCTTGTAGGTCATCTTCTAATTCATTTCCAACTTCTACAAACCAAATATACATTATTTCAAAAGCATCTGAGAACCGACTGTATCATACGGTCTGTCATTGGGTCAACTGGCATGGTTTCGATTCCCCGGTTGTACGTGACAAGGAGTAGGATCGCCTGTCCAACCTCGTGAGTTTTCTCTGGGTCCTCCCACTGCTGAAGACCCCTACGCGCAGGCGAATTATTGAAATAAAATTAGTCCTGAAATGATCTAGTTTGTGTCGAGTGGACGTTACACCCCCCCCCTCTCTCTCTCTCTTGTCAACAAGAAAGTACAATAATGACACGCTTAAAATGGCCCAGACTCCTTGCGTAAGTTATAAACCGGGTATTTTATTTAAGCTTTCATTGAATTAAAATGTTTGGGTTTGTTTACGTTATGCGTTGAGTCATTACAGCCTTTTCTATAAAACTAAAAAACTACCAATCACGGTAGGCCTACCACTCTGCGGCTCCAAATTTCATAATGGTAGTTGATTTTGCAAATAGAAATTTCCCAGAAAAAATGAATGAGTTATGATTAAAGTGTAGTATATATTATGATATCTGACCAGTGCGGCAGTAGCTTATTTACCTTCCTTATATTTTTCTTTAATTTCGTTTATTTCATCATTACTGCGTGTACACATAATTTCTATAATGGTTGTTTCATCAGTACCAACACCCTACAGGATAACACAATAATAATAATAATAACAGTTTATTCACAACTATACATGTACAGGCATGCGTATGGAAGTTACAACAAACGTTTCACATTGTGAAGCATAACAATATCTATCTACATGTCTTACAAAATAACATTAATTTTCAAGATGGTGTATGGTAGAAAACCTCCCAACATAGTCTTGGTTACCCGCCGAGACGTCTAAAATGTACCAGATTTAGTTGTCCGAGACTACAAATCATAACACTTTTAATTCTTTACTTTCAATGATAACTGATATATATTCATATATTATGATAAATATAACATCACAGGTTCGTATAGCAACAGCAACTTGACCGTAACGCCACGAAACTTGGTACAACAATTAGTTCAAGTTCAACTATCGTTCAGAAAACAATTATCTATATCGAGTATATTAGAACTGCACCGCTTGTAGAAAGTAAATTTGTATTCTGTAATACACAAGCTGGAGACTTAAGCCAATAAGTGACTATAACATACAAATTTATGGCCCGTGTTTGTATACAGAGAATTTTTGTCAAGTTATGGATAATATTACTTGTTCATTCCCAACAAAACAAAATTGGTAAAGCCATTGTGGTTTCCCACCAGAAGGACCAGACAGTTATCCTACTATTACCATTTTGTAGGTCATATTACTTACTGTCATAGCATTATGTATCTGCTTAGCATCATACATGCGAGGATGTTCAAACATAGCAACGCATATTTCTTCAAAATCGCCCTTTAATTCAGATTTAAGGTCTTCAATCAATTCCTGAAAATATGTCATTCTTTTATAAATAAAACAAGCAATAGTGTAATATATACATAATATATAAGGTGGTCGATTATTTTGGTCTACTGCATTTAAATAAAAATTGAAGGAAACTCGACGTCTGCCAGGAAAATATTGTTTAGCCTACTGTCCGAAATTTCTGACAATAAGAATTTTATGAATTTTTCCTGTCGGTGCTAGGGGGCGCAAACTTGAGGATTGTCGTGAGCGGCATGTAATTGATCAGTATCGTACACGAACAAATCTCAACACAGACAATTCAAAATGTTAACGCTCTCATTTTATAGAATGTCAAGAAGAATTACAGTGAAGATTTGTAGATGTGGCAAAAATCAGAGGCGGTTTTTGAAGGGAACAATGCCCTGTGGAAAGTGCACAAGTTAATTGATTGGAATAAAATGATGCTGGGAAATGAAATGAAATAGGGTTTAACGTCCTACAGTTATGAAGACGGAAAATGATGTTGGGGCTTAACGTACACTTGGTCCATTAGTTTTGATTATTAAGGACCTGGACGGCCTTTATTAGTCCGAGTCTACCCACACAACAACTTTTAGTACCTTCTGATAAATCTGGGCGACCAGAAGAGATACTGAAGAAATCTCACCTTTCCATAAGCCGCTTTAAACGATTGTGCTATTTCCAGTCGTTGTTCATTATTAAAACCAACAATGGTACTTATCAGTTGTTCTTCGTCTGTGCCTGAAATATACAAGATATAACATGGTATTTTGGTGAAAACTTCAACAGGCCTAGATTCTGGTCAATTATGGATGTTCGTTTAGACTTACTTTGGCTTATAACAACGGACACGCACTGCACCCTTTGAATGAGAGAGAGATAGAGAGATAGAGAGAGAGAGGGGTTTAACGCCCACTCGACACAAACTAGGTCATTTCGGGACTAACATATGATTTAATTTTATTTCAATAATTCGCTTGCGCGTATGGGTCTTTAGCAGTGGGAGGAAACCGGAGGACCCGGAGAAAACTCCACGAGGTTAGACCTTTGAATGGGTGTTTGATCTAGGACAGGCACTGCGCCAGGTAAATACGGAAAACTTGTAAAATAATTAAACACCATACCCCATCCAGCCATGGAGTCCCTAAGGGACTCTGTAATAGCAGCGACATCGAAGTCATAATTCTTTCTGATGGTACCCTGCAATATAGAATGAAAGTCAATTAGTGATAAAATATATAGTTTTGTGTGCAGTGTGCGTGCAGCCATTGTAAAATAATATATATATATTATACAGCTCCCAATAGTATTTTTTTCATCGAACTACAATTTCTTGTTGTCACGGTAGCCTAAGTTGAAAACTAATGGGATGCATGCTATTAATTCTCATTTTATTTAGATTTTGAATGAGCAGACATGTTCTGCTGACATTATACCAAAATGAAAATGATAGATACACAAATACATATTTCATAAGTTAAAAATAAGGGAAGTCTCCAATATATGCCCCGGGGTTTATATAATCACAAGACACATCATTCGTCACGGATCACTTATTTTTACTTTACTCTTCATTGACGTACACCAATACGTGTCGATATGATATATATAGGCTATAAATAAAACCTTAAGGGTTAGGTACAGTAACCTCAAAGAATCTAGATTAAAACTAAAAGCATCCCACCCAAAAGCCTCCACTCACCTGAATAGGGAAATAACTCCGCGAAAAACAGATGTGCGGCTCGATTCCGACAGCACCCCCCTCCCCCTACATGATTACATGAGGTTGTTGAAGTCTCGTAACGTATCTGGTATAACGAAATAAAAATACATATGGGGGCGGGGGTGGACGGTTACTAAGATCTGTTTATTACTGCGTGGGTTATAATGTCTACCAGTTAAAGGTTATTTAGTTTTACAATTAGTCTGTCATCCGATATTAGAAACTCTTATCATTATATGAGCCACACCCAGTTGATTCTTAATGAAAACAATTACTTTGTTATCATGTGTAGGATAATACTACAAAGATTCGGATGTTCTCTTTCTGAAGATAATAACATAGACATAGACGTCAATAGTTATAGCCGACATCAGAAAACTGAAATTGTGATTTTGTCAGGGAAAAGGCACTACTATACCCAAGCGCAACGTATTATATAGAGCACCTTCACCGTACGACTTATACGAGATTTAGGGTCCATTAACATTTGGTTTTATTCATTTCGGAACACAAAGATAACATTGTCAAATAGAAATTGTAGATAGACCCTCCCTCATATTTGGAGTAATCTTTGATAGTAATCTTCTTGATAATGAAGGCTCACACGCGTGAAGTTATGACATTAAAATGTTTTGTAAACCATATGTAGTTTAGACAATAAATGTGATACACCATTAACATACTTTTCTTGACCTTTGTGTCATTTTACTCAATGTCACTAATATGGAAGTCAACAAAACTGGGATTTAAATTAGAAATGTTTACCTAAGCACTACATGGTGGTGCTTCCTATGTTAGTTTTATGAAAGGACCCAACAATAAACTTCTATAAGACAGGTGTAAGTGAATTTAGTTAAGTCACAATATATAGGGCCTTTGATTTCGGTTTTATCCAACGCCAAATAAAGTTATGGCGGGAAGAGAGTGAGAGAAAGAGAAATGGGGTTTAACGTCCACTCGACACAAACTAGGTCATTTCGGGACTAACATATGGTTTAACCCGGAGAAAACCCACGAGGTTGGACAGGCGACCCTACTCCTTGTCACGTACAACCGGGGATTCGAAACCACGCCAGTTGACTCAATGACAGGCTTTATGATACAGCGCGCACGTGCTAACCATTCGCCCCCCACCCCCCCAATGGTGGGAAGGGTTATGGGTGTGTATTGAAATGGACACCGCTTCTTCCGTATATTTCAGAAGCATATAACATAAACCGTTAAAGATATTTTTATGAGATTTTGCACACACAAACATCAACCTAGTGCCTTTCGCTATTTAGACATTTCTAAGATTTAATCATTTCTTGTTTCCATGAATAAAAAAATTCCCCATCTTTTTTGCCCACGAGGGCACGGAACGTTGATGATTAAATATTCTTGTTCTGATTGATATCTGTTAATCAAAGTGGGTGCCTTTACTGACATGTGCCATGATATTGTATGACATATTACTAGTTACTTCTAAATAAGTAAACTGTCTGCGATATCAATATGAAAGTAGATACCAAACCCTATCATAATTACACCTCGGTTTTATACATTCACATTACTACACTTTATGGATTTAATATTCAACTCGTCGATTGAACATAAATTGTTTATGTCACTGATTACCTTGACAGCTGTGCTTTAATAGTAATTTAATTACCAAACAAGAAGTATGAACAAATCACAGTTTCAATGCACCACTTGCTAGAAATTAGAACACAATACCCAAAACTAAATGAACCATACATTTTATTGACTTAAGCAAGAATATGCATTTTATAAAATAATCTATTACTCGAGCTAGGTCAATTTTAGTTTTAACCAAATATTTTGGGGCACTATTATAAAACTTGAGCAATTATTGTTCTGTGAAAAATACACGCAAAGAGTTCATTTTAGTCTTTTCCTCTGAAATATTCCATTCCATATGAAAAGAGTAATGTCTGCTTATTATATATTTTCAAGGTTAAAGTCATTACTCCTATTTTAACAAACTTGAAGGCTAAATTTCTAAAAAAAACCCTCCTAGATTAATAATGGAAATGATATCATTTTCAGATAAGCCCTCCTTATTTAAATTCTTTCACACTCCCACCTATCATATTAACACAGCTAGCTACATTTACTATAATATGACCTAAAATATAAACTTGTTTTATATACATGTAGATATTTACATAGGCCTATTACCTACTATACTAGTATGTGATAAGTGGGCGTGGTGACTAAAAGCTTGTCGATGCGGTATTTACAATTAAATGTTGTCCTGCTTCAGGCTACGCAAACTTAACATGACCCTTATATATATATTAAGTCGAACTGCACCCATTTATAAGCAAATATCATTGTTCTTCTGGTTTTTTTTTTTTTTTTTTTTTAAAATCACATGCCCAAAGAACAAAAGTAAAAGTTAGCTAGATGTGTCCATCGGTCCATCTTTGTAAGTTATGCATGAATGCCCCATCACATCCTTTCACCTTCATTAACGGGCCACATTCTACAAATACTTTAATAGATATGTATTTACCTATATCTTCTAATATCCACGTATATAGCAAAAAATAACAGTATTTAATGGTTAAAATTACCACCATTTTAAAATTAAGTTCAAACTTTAAAGACAGAAAAAAATATTCGTTTACTTACCGGCATTTTGTTAGATATTATGTCAGAGAGACCTCTTTACTTGCGACTGGACCAGACGAACTAAGTCACGTGACACGTCTAACGAACGAAGGGAAATGTGGGCTGTCAACATAGGTGGGTGATCAAGCTTGAACGAATATGTATTACTCATAATAGAAAGAATGTACATGGGTCACTGAACCATTTTGATGAATTAACCCGACAGAGTGATGTCGTTGTTGACCACTATCAGTGGTCTTTCGCTCAATATTAGAAAGTGTTTGACAACTGTCGTAAATTTCTTTCATTTTGACAATAGTCCTAATGATAGTTACGTAAAGATGCATTCACGCAATGTTGTTTCATTACTCATTGTCACATGATAGCAATTATCTTTTCAGTTATCCTTAGAACAGTGATATATATATACCAAGAAAAATATTTTTAAAAGCAATGAATAACAGATATCATTCGGGGTTACCAGATTCTTTTAAAATGTTTTTATTTTAATTTTAACAATTGTATCATAGAAATAAACGAATAATTGATCATGATACATTAGAAATGCATCAGAAAACGAATCAGTTCTCCCTCATGGCAATGTCTGACTCTCGTTGTCATGGTTGCATGCCAGCTAGATGTTTCAGATATTTAAGGATATTTCAAGACTAACAAATTGTATATTTTTCATTATAAATCATTTGTGTACATGGAGCTTGCGAAGAGGGAGGAAACCCGAGAACCGGGAGAAATCCTTCAAAGTTCGGCAGACGACCCTAGTGCCTGTCGAGTGCTAAAACGTGAGCTCGAACTAACACGTTCTATTTCAAGCGTTAGAACCTGTCCACCAATTCCAAGAAAGGGCAGTAACACATGCTGGAATATTTCTTCAGGGTTTTGATATTCTTGTAACAGTAGGCTTACTTTATACCACCTTCGAATCTGGGTATCTTCAAAATGATATAAATGATAGTCTAGACTATCAAAATGATATAAAGAAAAATATGGATACCGTTACCCATATTTTAAACTGACGTGTTCTCTAAGGCGGATGTATTGTAATTACATGAACGACTAATTATTACATATCTGAACTCTGTTTTCAAGTACAACAATTCTGTTTTTTTAAAAATGATATAAATGATAGTCTAGACTATCAAAATGATATAAAGAAAAATATGGATACCGTTACCCATATTTTAAACTGACGTGTTCTCTAAGGCGGATGTATTGTAATTACATGAACGACTAATTATTACATATCTGAACTCTGTTTTCAAGTACAACAATTCTGTTTTTTTAAAAATTATTGTTATTATAAAAAAGCTGAAATTGAACTTAAGAGCTTTGTTTGTTCTGGTATCACTCCTTCTCTTCAATCCCGTTATTCATAACATTCAAGGGGATCACGGTGGCTAAGTGGGTAGGGCGCTGGCTCGCTAGCCTGGAGGTCGGGTGTTCGATCCCTGCATTGGCCGAGAAAGTTCATCCAGATTTTCCGGCGTGGTTCTCCCTTGTCAGTGATGCAGGACGGAGGGGCTGACAAGGACAGCTGTCTAGTCGTTCGGATGGGACGAAAAACCGAGGTCCCGTGTACTCATTGGCGTGCACGTAAAAGATCCCTTGACAGTTGGAATTCGATATAAGAGTAGGCCGTAGTGCCGCTGTCCGGGCAAAATTTCCCTCATAGCACACTGTATGGCGTATGCCCGTCTTCATTAGCCCAGTTCGGAGCAAAACAGTAGGACGTTAAACTCCATTTCATTTCATTTCATAACATTCAAGTGATCTGAAAATAAGACTTCTAAGGAGTATGAGAGACAACTCTTCCAGAGGTTGGAGTAAGACTACTATATTTGCCGGCATGGAAAATATGGAGAGTCCGGTTACCATAGCCAAGACGTGCGCAGAAGTTAATAAGGTCTGCCATGGATTTAAGTGCCGTTCCATCAGACAAGGAGTAAGATCGATGGCCTCAAATTGGTGTTTAGATTTCTCTCTATTACACAAGACCCACGCGCACATTTTAATTATTGAAGTAATAATAGACCATCTTACTCCCGGAAGCTTAAGTGAACGTACTGCGGTAATACTACACATCGGTTTCGTGATGGCAAAGTTACAACACTCATGTCTGTTCAGTAATAACTACTTATGCACATATTCATCAAGTTTGTTCATTCTGTTTTATTGGAGAAGCTTGTCGAAATGGGGTCCCGGCTACATTTCCCTGAAGTTATATGGAGCTTTTACACACTGATTCAGATTTATTATGAGTGTAGAAAAATCTTTCTGGGATTCATTGATTGGTAAAAAAGGAGAATTTTGATCCTTGAAGGCAAAAACTTGCATCCCATACAGTCCGAAGATGACGATATGTTTTTTTTAAACGTTGGAGCTATTGTTCGATTAGCTCCAAAGGTAGGATTCTCACGAAACTTTGGAAGTATAGGGAAATATCGCGCTGATAATGTGATATATATCCTTTTCTCAGGTATCGTGTCTTTTCAGTGGGCTTTTGGGGTTGACTGAAAACGTTTGTTTTTACTAACACTTGTTATCTCTGAGGTTATCTCTTCACTAGCCCAGTCGGCACAGAACAGTAGGCTGTTAAATACCATTTCATTTCATAAGGGCCCCACAATTTTAATTTCTTTAGATGCATATCAAATTATTCCCTGCATGATTTTCGAAACATTTAAAAGGACCTTCTCTGGCCTAACTCACACTGATAATATGCAAAGAAGCTTCTCGGATATATCATCGACATGGGATGGATTATTGAAAATGAAAACAAGCTTGTATAATAATAGTGTCGGAGAGAATTTATTGCTGCACATATCACAATTTCAATACTGTATGTATTATATATCTTATATAGATAATAACTTTATTTAACAATATGATGCAAATAATAACAATTCTCAGATATAAATAAACAAAAGTCTACATTATAAACAAATAAAGAATGTAAAGAATAATAGAGATCACTGAGGATTAACCACAGCTTGTAACATATTTTTATAATCCCCGCTACATTCATCAGCAATAGCATCTAATAGGGGTTTTTCATAAATACTTTCATACGAATCACGAATATCTGCTAAATCAATCTGAAACAAAAATCAAATATCTTGCATTTAACTTAAACCCATAGACTTAATTGAGTCTAACGTATTCAACGCTGCCTTATAGTCGAGCAATGACTAACAATTATGAAATATAGGAGTTGCCTTTTGGTTATTTTGGACCTCTTTGTAATTTCTGCGTTGTGCCAGACTGTTATTAGGATGGTCAGATAACTGTGTTCGCGACAATAAATAAGATTGACATGCGAATGTTTGGATAATTCGTCTGATTTAACAGTATTTCGTCTTAACGAGATTGCGAGATAATTCGTCACATGTTAGCCTTATCCATACGTTGTCATACATATAATCATTGAATTATATATTCTTTTCAGGTATATGACGATATCCTGCAAGTACCCATGGTCAAGCCAATCCGATTGGCGCGGCGTCAATACTAGCCTTGCCACGGTGGTCGTGATAAGTACCGTTTTATCATTGCGTATGCGACTTTACGTGCCAGTATGTGTCTTAACACTTCTCACAATCACTGTTTCTAGTTTCTCAAATTTTCACCACCAAGCATATCAGTACCCGGTGTTTCGACGCATTTTTTGTCGTCCATCAAATTATACCTACCTCACTACGAGAAACGATAATACGAATCAAATCATTGTCATTTGTTCCAAAACCAGCAAAACAGTCTTTTAATCTTCTAGCAAAGAAAGCCGGAGTATCTTTTGCACTTTGAACTAAATATGAAAGAAATAAAAAAGTAAAAATCAATATTGTGTCAACTATATCTGTATTTTATCACCTATGCAATAATGTATTGACAGTATTCTACGGATGATAATAAAGGGTATTTTCGAGAAATTATCATTTCGTAGAACACTATACAAATGTTTACTCGATTCCAAAATTTCCATTTTCCTCATTAGAAATTAACAATTAATATAATTCTTCGAATTTTGTGTCTTTAAACTTGATATAATAATGACTAGTATGATTGCGAAACGAAATTGTATGGGGTTTAACTCCCGCCATTCTGAGGTTAACTTTTATTTCTATTGTTAAATCCTTGCATTGGTCGAGAAAGTACATCCAGATTTTCCGACGTGGTTTCCCCTTGTCAGTGGTGCAGAACGGAAGGCCTGACAAGGGCAGCTGTCTAGTCCTTCGGATGAGACGAAAAACCGAGGTCCCGTGTATATATTTTAATGCACGTAAAAGATCCCCTGGCAGTTGGAATTCGCTATAAGAGTAGGCGATAGTGCCGCTGTCCGGGCAAATTTTCCCTCATAGCAACTGTATGGCGTATGCCTGTTTTTATTAGCCCAGTATAGGAGCAGAACAGTAGGACGTTATACCCCATTTCATTTCATTTCTTTTTCTATTGTTAAATGTGCAATGTGAGTGACGTTTCGGACTGTTCTTCATTCAGGTCCGGCCTAACACGTCTCCATTGAACGTGGTAGGCCTACGCTTTGCTACAGAAAGAAACCATGATAACTTTCTTTATGTGAAAGACAGTTTGCCTACTAATCTAAACAAGACGCCCTTGCAATGAAAAGAATTCAAATACTTGTAAGATCCGAAAAGCACAGCTTGAGCCATTGCCGTGTTTATAAGCGGTGATTTTAATGCTTTGAATCCATGGTAAGTAGGCTCACTTCAGAATTCAGAATAAAACATATTTAAATCAGCATTTAGGAAAACGAAGTCTCAAGAATATCGTTCTGATGATTTACAAATCTTACCAATAGCTAAGTAACCATTCTGTAATGTCCCACTGCATTCATTTTTAATTGATTCTTCTATTGTTGTCCCCGTAAACTCTTCATAATTCACTATGATTTGACGTAACTGCGGGAGACTTCTCAAACACAAAATGGCGTTCATTTCCGCTTCCTCCGTACCCCATGCACCGGCGCCAGCCTAAAGGAAATATATGGCGACTACATCTTAAAACAAAGTTTATTGTAGGGTAGCAGGTCATAAACTTTGTCTAATGCAATGAGTGGGAAGTGTATGTCCACCGGGTGGTACAGATAAAGCGACCGCGGACTTCACCTCATACAGTCGTCTGCTGTTGGCTAACATATTCTCATACTCCTCGCAGTGTTTCGTTTATTTAGACCTAATCCAACCTAACACTGCTGTAATGAAAGCAAATTTGTTTCAAATTATGACTGGTCAATAGTCCGATTAACAACCAATAGCTTAAAGCGTAACAGTATCATATTGGACCAAATGTTTACATAACGTTACGTCAAGATTCACGATTTTATTATGTCCAGTTAACCAGTGCATAGCAGAATATTGCAGAAAAACTAATTGCGTGACAAATGAGCCTATCAAAACGAATACAATGTAAACAATACTGTTTGGAGACGAACAATACTACCTTAAATCACTGTTCAAAGTTTTAGGGAAGACCCCAGATTAAACAAAGGGCTGTCATGTTGCTGTACTTGGGATAGATTTGATTGAACGGGAAGAATAGACAAATTCCCTCAAAAGCTTAAGTATTAGAAGCCAATCCAGCAATGGCCCGAGGCTTTGTACTGGACTACGGAGAAGGCCCAATACGATGCGAACTGGAGGACATCCCTTTCTAGGTCTTCATGATATAATTTTGGATTAGCCTGTAATATCTATATTATTTATAGAACCAATAATGGTACGTGCCTCGTGGAATGCGGTAGCGTCTGTTATTGCTCTATCGTAATCAACATCCGTATTTTCCTCTCGTCCTGCGGCACACAACGATACCATCAATCGTTCAAAATAACCAGACGTATCACTCTTTAGATCGTCTTCTAATTCATTCTCAAACTCTGGAAAGGAAACGGAAATATAAGAAGTAGCTCTATGTCGAAAACCTAAACTAAAAACCGAGAGGCGCTTCTCTATGAAAAGTCTCCAGAATGCCGAACGTTATTAATGAGGAAAGTAGCCTACACAATATAAAGTGACATAATAACCCAATCATACAATCACACAATAAGTAACTGAATGTTAGTAACCCACCTTCCTTATATTTTTCTTTGATTTCGTTTATCTCATCATTTGTGCGGGTGCACATGATCTCAATCAACGTAGACTCATTTGTTCCAGCACCCTGAAAATATCATTATGGAGCAGATAGAGGTGAGTGTTCCCAAGTCCACCCACCCACATTCTTAACGGACTGTTTTTTTTATTCAGAATATATTTACATCTATTTTATACAATATTGGGACAACATAATAGCTTTCTGGTGTTACAGGTAACATGTTGAACGACAATAACAGTTTGCCAGACAATTAACGTATGTCAACAGACAGCTTTTATTAAGATGACCTTCATGGATTTGCCCTCCGCCCCCCCCACTCCAGTTTTTAGGACAAACATTGGTTTGGGATTACGATTCTGTACCGCAAATAATAAGTTTTGTGAAAATTGGTCATTAAAAAGAGAATTCTACAGTAGAATGAGTAAAGCAGAGTAATTTCAACAGTCGGGGCCAATAAAACTGGGAATACTTTTGTGAAAATTTTCAATGCGGAACCATACAACAAATATTAACTATTCCTAAAACTTGAAGGCATATCACCAATCGCACGAGTCATGGGAAATAACTTTTGAACTAGGTTTGTCAGCAATAATTGAGCCCTATAGAGTACGAACGAGTACGGAACTGTACGTTTATGGGGATTCAATCAGTAACTCTGGAGGAACCCTCACTCTAGCACCCACTATTCTTGAAAACCTGGTAAGTAATTACCTCTGCAGAGTGGGTATGGGGGTCTGGGCATGTGGGCTTTCAAAACATTAATTAGACTATTATGCAACTCTAACCAACGCTGTAAGCATTAAATACATAGTTTACTTTTGACTTCAACCATAGAACGTCAATATCTATAACATTAAGCAAGAAAGCAGTGAAGAAAATATGCGACATTTCATTGACCCATTCCACCCTTTTAAATTGTAGGCCGGTTGAGGACGTTCGGGAATTTTCCCCGCAGTCCACAATCGCCGGTTTATATGAATGAGTATTTTGGGGAATACTAACCCTAACCCCAACTCTTTTAAGACGGGTAAAAGGTAAATTAGACCCAAGATCAGTCTTCTAAAAAGGGTTAGGGTTAGTATTCTCAAAGATGCTCATTTAAATAAAGCGGACTACAGAATCCCCCTTTTAGATGGTTGAGTAATTTGTCCGGAAGTAGACCCCATTACGCGAGGATTATCTAAGCCTAATCTATAATGGGAAATAACCCCCCCCCCCTACTTTAAGCGTTAACCCTTCTGCCCACACCAGTTCAAGGATAAGTTCAGATATGCAAAACAGTACCTGAATTTATCGAGGAATGTCGATTGTGCAACACGTTTCAATAACATTATAACTGAAATCCGGCGCCCCTGTGTTGCAGATTTTTGATAAAACGGCGTAATCATTATTATCAGAATTTGGAATTGAATCATCCTACCATTAGCAAGTCATTCCAGCCGATAACAGTTGATTGTTGAACATATTATGAGATAATGGGACATTACACATGTGTCAATGATATTTACATGTGATAATTTTGTTTCACACTTTTAATGTAAATTATTTAATTACTCACCGAAATAGCGTTGTGTAATTCACGAGCATCATAAACTCGGGGTGGGGTCATCAAGGCAATTGTCACATCTTCTAAATCACCTCTTAATTCAGATTTCAACTCATCTATTAAATCCTGGAAAATACAAAGACCTATCAAAAATTACCAGAAACATGCACAATTAATGTCAACACTATTAAATAAGAAATTTTATATTAAAGATCATACTGTATAACAGAGCTGTTTTAAGAAATCGCACAAACAGCTCTGATGCAAGTTCGCATTTTTGTCACTAAAACTTCATCCTTTCTTTTCAGTAGTATTACTATCAAGGATATAATATAGACAACAAACCTTTCCATAAGCAGCTTTAAAAGCTGTTGATATTTCTTGTCTTTGAGCATTATTATGATTAACTATAGTAGATATAATCTGGTCTTCATCAGTGCCTGAAATCCAAATAAAGAGTAACATAACAAACTATTCGTGAGAGAGAGGGTTTAACGTCCACTCGACACAAACTAGGTCATTTCGGGACTAATATATATGGTTTATTTTTTTTATTTCAATAATTCGCTTGCGCGTAGGGGTCTTTAGCAGTGGGAGGAAACCGGAGGACCCGGAGAAAACCCACGAGGTTGGACAGGCGACCCTACTCCTTGTCACGTACAACCGGGGTATCGAAACCCCGCCAGTTGACTCAATGAAAGACCGTATGATACAGCGCGCGCGTGCTAACCATTCGGCCATCCACCCCCCCCCCCCCCTCCCAAACTATTCGTACAACAATATCTATAATACTCTTACTGGTTTAGTTAAACTATTATTTTAGTTATTTTACATAGGCCTATTTGTATAGGCATCATGATGATCTTTTTTTTTATCGATTTATAAGGAATGTGTTTGGAGTCCGGTGTTTTGTTTCGCCTCTTACGAGAAAACCATGACTCACACCAGTATGATACGTTTGGGAAATATTCTCCCATTTTCTTTGGATTTCTTCCCTTATAATGTTAGTTTGTTTTCATTTCGACAGGGTGGGGACTGTACAACGCAGAAATCTGGCCCCCTCAAATCTGATCTGATTTAAAATATAAGGTTGATGTGTCTGTGTATATTGTGGTCTGTACGTAGATTTGTCTTGTGTAATGGTTTATATGCCCCCCCCCCCACACACACAATCTAAGAAACTTTCTAACATCATGATGTTTTGCTAGGACTGACAATTGTATTCCATATGGTTATAATCCCTAGATTATAATAATTCCCATATACGCTTTCCGGGATTCACCCCATTTACCAAAATGGATCCCTTGATTAGTCAAAACTTTCACATGATCTGAACGCCGATTTACAAAAATATATGCAGGATGCTAGTATATAACATGAAAATAAACGACATGGAATTAACATCTAGTCTAAATCAGATTACATCGAAATAAAAATTGCTGACTGACATTAACCATAATGTTATAATTCTTATTTACATATTATGTAAATGAAACAAATGTCAAGAATTCATACTTAAAAACACTTAATGTAAAAAATATATCTACCAAATCCTTTCATAGCCCCTCGAAGAGATTCTGTAACACCAACTGGGTCGAAGTCATCATTAGCAAAAATAGTTCCCTGCAATAATCAAATACAAAATATGCACAATTTGCCGATGAGAAACATATTTGTGAGTATAAATGAAAGCCCCAGAGGTGTATCAGGTTGACTCGATGACAGACTTTATGACCCAAAACACACGCATTAGACCCCACCCCACCCCAACGGCGATAATGGTAAGACAGACGTTCAAATAAGAAAAAAAGTCTGACTAATTGGTTTCTAACTAATAGGACTCGAGAGTTGGATTAATTTTTAGTTGCTAGAATTCAAAATAAAGAGTCATTATGGACGCCCTATTGCCAAGAGATTAACGAAAAGAGATTAGTATACGGGTTATTTCAAACCTGGATTATGGACACGTAAATAAATTGTTACGTAATTTCATAAAATGCTTTTTACCCTTACAAATTATGGCCATTGTAATTCCTTAGGAACAGCAGGTTGTATTTAAGCAAAATACCTTTGATATTAGTTTGTGTTTTTTTTCTATAGATAATGACACACCATCACAGTTAATGCGGCAATATTCCAATAAATATACCTAATAAGCATTTTAGGTATTTCTCTGACATAACAAATAAAAGCAATCAATACCATTTTATGAAAGTAAAATTTGTAGAATTCTTCCTTTTTTGAATTTAATTTCTCATCAACACAATACTTCACTAATTTTGAGATTAACAGGGCGTTTTGTTTCTACGTAAGTGATAGGGATTTCAACTTTCGCGGCTCTTTTAATCGCACCCCAACGTGTACACGATGCCTTTCGGTTTTTTTGTTCAGTCCGAACGACTATGCAACTCTTCTTGTCAGTGGCAACTTGGCTTCGAATGCGGGACATTCTAGTCCAGAGCCCAGTTCGCTCACAAGTCAACTGCTACGGCCCCTTTTAACAGAAACATTTACATGTAATGTGGGTATACCTTTTGTTTTGGTCGTTGCCCGACTATAGCGCAAACCAATTTAAAAATATAGGCCAATTCGTTTATCCATCTGTTTGTTTCCGCACCACAGATCGCTTTCTAAATTTCTGGAAATGTATGGGTATATTGTTCCATGGATTAGTTTAATTGATTTAGAAAGTATTAAATAATTCCAGCTACCATATAAGTCTACAAGTAAGGTCATGATGTTTATGTCTTATCAATAATGTACCATAAAACTGTGTTTGTTTGAAAATGAATGAATGAAATGGAGTTTATGGTACGTCAGCTCCAACCGAGTTATACGCAACAAAGTTTTGTTGGAGACAAGCAGGATATCGTACTTCGCCCGGGGTCCAAATTCGCCAGAGGCCCAATTCGTTCGGGCGCAAATTCTGTGGCCTAAAACACTAATTTTATACCACATATGTTGGGGTGGAGCACAGCACCGAAGCGTGATGGGCGAATATACACATATTGATTTTATTTATATAGAAGATTTTCATACCCGCCCGTATTATTTGGAACCACGATGTCGTGAAGTAATTACGCTATCTACTACTGCAGCAGGACAATGGTTTTAAATCATGCTTTGTCCTACCAAATTAACAAATTGTACTCTTAAAAGACTTTATAGTAAATGTTATCTGTATTTTATACAGCAAATCTTATACTTTATATAGTAAATATGAGTTGTACCATAAATAATAAATATCATTTGTACCTTACATAAGGTTTGATAAAGTTATATTTTCTAGATGTATTTAACAATTACAATGGGACTGTATACCAAGACTAGGCAAAAAATCTAACAATAATCAAGCTGGCGCTCTGCCAGGAGGGAACAGGTGCCATATGACTGTATAAAACCAGAAACTTAGTAAGGTCAATTTCAAATAGCTTTAACGTGGCCAGATACAGTTTAATAGTATACCTTTACTTATCTAATATTTTACGAAATTACTCCATGGTTCTGTTGGTGTGTGCTGTTGTTAAAGGAACCGAGGCAATAGAACCGCGGATTTTTTAAAAAAATGTCCCTACTTATTTAAATTTAAAACGAATCGAAATAATACCATTTACCTACCGTCGTCGCAAAATATCGAGAATCTGCGTCATATTTTTGTAGGCTAAAAAGACGTTTTACAATATGATCCAAGGCGAAACACTGTAAAATATAATTCCTTTAATTAAGAGCACACTATTCATGATTAATGGTAAACAGACCATACCCAATAAAGAAAAGAAATCTTTTTAAAACGCATAAATATTGCTTAATAAAATTATTGAAAAAAAAGTGTAGGTGCCGAAAACTGTAGGTGTGTTAAAAGTACTCCCTAAAATATAGGTTATATCCCTACACTTTTAGAACAAATAAACGCGGTAAAGTATGAGTATTATGAGTTTAAGGTTAAAGATGATGTTTTGTAGTTCATTTGTTTGTTGTTTGTTTTTTTTTTTTTTAAAGTATTGGGCCAAATTAGACACCGCATGAAACCGCGCCAACGAATTCGTTCCTAGCGCATACGAGAAATGAACATCAAGCAAGTTGGGTAAAATATATAACAAAAGTACAAAATCCTAAATGCAAAAATCATGTACAATTTATTTTTTATAGTGTATGTTTTGTTGAGACGGTGTTAAGCCAGAATTCGCATCAAATGGTGCATTCTTATAGCCCCACTTTGTTATTTTACTGTTTAATATGACTAAAATCGTGCATTTATAGAGAAGTAAGGGGTCAGAAAGGAATAAATATAAATAATTTGAAAACAAATAAAAAAAGGTAGGTTATGTAGCGGATGGAGACGGGTAAATCGGTGATAAGAAAACGTAAGATTGAAGTTATGGTTTACGGGTATCTGTGATGCACGCGCACCACCAAAAATCATACCCACCCTACACCAACAAACACAGAAGCATAAAGAGTTGTCTTACCGTTGTTGGCTGCACTATTGTTGAAAAATAAAACTATGTGTGAAATCGTTTTATTTAACGCCCGCTTCCACCGAGGTGATATCGTAGAAATAAAACTATGTTTCATGGTTAATTATAGACAGGCCAGCTTTCATCCTCATATTATTATTCCAACAATGAATGATATAAACATGCGTGTACGTACAGAAAAGTTTAAATCCCCACCCATTTCCTATTAAACGTTTCAACTGACCCCAAAGATAATAACTTATTTTTTAAAAAAATGATTTACTATGCTTCGGCTCAAAGGGTCCAACAATAAAACGAGATGTCTTAATTGTTAATAAACAACAAAACCGGAAAGGAAATAAGAAATGCATCCCCGGGGTTGTCGGGTTCGTTCCCGGTCTTGGCCGACGAATGGACTGTCGAGGAAAAGGTCGACCCATGTACTCTTTGGCGGGAACAGTGTTGACGGTGAAAATGTGTTTCCTAAATACACTGCATGGAATATACCCATCTTCATTTGCCCATGAGTTAAACTCCATTTCATGTCATTTCATTCCATTTCCATATCAAATTTGGATACCAAATAGCCAGATGTTTTTCATTCGAGCCCCATGTACAATGAACCACCCCAAACCGGGTACTCAATGACGTATCCATACCATTTCAGAGAACCGTTATAACTTGTCACTATACAGGTAATAGATTATAACAGAAACAAGATACACATTAAAGAAATCTCCTTCATTGCCAGGATATTCATAGTTAATCTCTGTCAAATCTATCTAATGAATGTTATTTATAGAAAAGATAACACAAACCAGACACATTTCCTGCTTTAGAATCTTTCTATACATTCCACTGAAAGTGAAACTAAGGACTGTCACGAGACGAAAGTGGTGATCACGAGTTGTATTTTCACATACTTGGCAGGAAACCGGCCATGAAGAACATCCTTGACTCAAGCTCTCACTAGATTTCCAGATATATCATGGTAATATTAGTCATCTGTGTCTTTATTCATAACTTACAGCCGTGATATTATAAACAAACTCCTGATAACTATCTACTTCTTTATTAAAGTTTACATCGATTTTAAAGATGCATTATGTAAGAGCTAAATCTACTTTTTGTTTTTTGGCTTCAGTTCTTATATAAATTATTATTTAGACATTTATTCATACGACAAGCCCATAATCAACCCTCTAGATCATCGGATGGTCAAGATTTAAATGGATTTTAACAACCGCGAGATTTAAAAACTTAACGATAAAATGGATAATCAAGACATAGTATCAGTTGTCAAGTACCGTTGCTACGATAATAAACGAACTACTCTACATCTTCAGACAGTCATAACTTCGCCTGGGGGATCACGTGGCTAAGTGGGTAAGACGCTGGCTCGCTAGCCTGGAGATCGGGTGTTCAATCCCTGCATTGGCCGAGAAAGTTCATCCAGATTTTCCGCGTGGTTCCCCCTTGTCAGTGATGCAGGACGGAGGGCCTGACAAGGACAGCTGTCTAGTCGTTCGGATGGGACGAAAAATCGAGGTCCCGTGTACACATTGGCGTGCACGTAAAAGATCCCTTGACAGTTGGAATTGGATATAAGGTAGGCCGTAGTGCCGCTGTCCGGGCAAAATTTCCTTCATAGCACACTGTATGGCGTCTTCTATTATAGCAAGAACGACCAGCTTTGTTTTATTTAAATCTAACATAATGCATCTTTAAGTTATATGTTTTTGTAAACAAGTCAACTGAAAGATAGATCTACCTAATTACACTAAACATGCTTACGTATACCCTCTTATATATGTTCTCTTCACAACAAAATCTGGGGTGAGGGTGTGGGGTGTGTAGAAAAAAGTGTTATCTTAACAGTTGTCTATACATATTAACTTATCACATCAACAAGTTCAAGACAAACTATAAACAGCTAGTGATATAACGTAATGAAAAAACACCAACAAAACCCAAACAACAAACTATTTTGACGACTTCACATCTAACAGTCAAGGACATGTTGAATCTTTTAAATATCCGGATGAGCATGAATCCTTTATTTGACAAGTTGGTATACGAGCGATATAATGTCACGACAGTGTCAAACAATGGCAGTGTGTATACAGTTTTGAATATAGAGCAAGTGCGAATAATCATGTTAGGCTTTATATTATCATTTCACATGTAAATTTCACAAAACGGCCGATGAATGTTTAGGTTTCATAACGCCATTGTCATTTGTGAATAATACACATCAATTTAATTTTGTAATTAAGCCAATTATAAACAAGCTTTTGATTTGATCGAATCAACACGTTTAGAAATATATATATATATAGGTACCAGATTACGTGTACTTACCGGCATTTTGTATTGGTTTATTTATAGACTATGGTGAAGTAAATATAGTATATATCCTGCCCAGTCCAACAGTAATGTAATACTGACACAAACTGGTTATAATGCACAGCATACTCCCATTACCAACAACCCCCACCACCAAGTCACATGACTTTTGTCATAATAGAATAGCCAATGATTGAATAGAAAAGGATAAGTTTAGACATGTAACCAATACTTGTGAGAAGCGTGCCAAGTTTTCTTATCAAAATATCACTCCTCCATTGATCGGGTTGTAGAGCGTAGAGAAATAATCATATATACCATCGACAGTGGCCCAATACCCCCTCCTCCCTTACACCCACTTCAGTTTGGGACATATTTTTTTTATACTTGACACTCCAATAACGGGTGTTTTCGGGTTATTTACATCAAAAATTCGCTTTAAAATGAATTCAAGTAATTAAAAATTGTGTGCCCCCCCCCCCCCCCCGGCCCGTTAATTTCTGGGATTATTGTATACGTCTATCAATTTGTAGAGGAATGATTTTAAGGCAGTTTGAAATCGATTGGCAACTGGAAGTCAATGCAATTATAATGATATTACGATTTTGTTATAGTTTCCCGGGAGTTTTCAGCGCAGTTTCCCCACGTCAGTGGTGGGGCAAGGACAGTGTATAGTCGTTCGGGGTCGACGAAAAACGCTGGTCCCGTGGACATATAGGCCTGACGTACAAGAACCGTTGACAGTTGGAATTCGATGAGTGGTATCACTGTCTGGACACTGTAGCACACTGTATGGCGTGGCTTTATGATTTTGTGCGATAAAATCGACAAGGCACATAGCTAAAGGGAGAGAAGTACAGCCTATTGTGGAGGCAGACCACCATTAATTTCCCCATCGACTTTCCCTTAAATTTTCGTTGGGCTGAACGTTTTCTACTACACAGAACAATCAATGGTCATGTTTTTGCTTCAGATTTTGTATGAAGCTGACCACGGAAATTTTGAGATACACAAACTTGAAATAGCATACTAAAAAACACGTAACTATCTGCGGTACATATCACCGTAACATGGCAGAAAATATTAACTCAAGCCCTCTTCTTGCATTCTAGACCAACATTGGAAAAAACAAAATCAACAGAAATGATCATTCAAAAGAAGGCGGGTAGGAGATTCCTATAAATAGACAAACTATAATTGTTTGTGAAATTTAATGGCTGTTCAATGAGCGTTACAAATGCCAGGTCATATTTGCTGTGATGTTTATATTGCATGGAGGGATATAGGGGACCCTATATTATGAAAACGGATAATTTTGCATTGAAAATACGATTTGAAAGAAATTTCACTATAGAGGATGGGAAATGACTTTAAATATATTTACTTATAAATTAACAAGCTAACAGTGAGGCTGATGTCCCCTGTCGCAATCCAAAATAAATAAATGACACATATTAATTAATTGCACGTTGATTGTTTTGAAAAGTATCGAGCAATCAAACCGATTATCAATACTTAGTCTAAGCAGAAAATGTTCACGATCTCCATCATTTCACCCCTCTCCATCAGTTATATTCAAAGCTGTCTTTTCCCAAAGCACCGAGCAATGAAACTGCCTAGCCCTGCTTAGCTTTAGCGGATAATATTAATCATTGAACTCATTCAAGATATTCATCTAATGAACATCTACACCAAGTTTAAACATTCTACCACAATTAAAAGCAGAGTTATGTTCCAAAGTCTTGACCAATCAAATCGCTTATCGCCACTTAGCCTAAGCAGAAAATGCTCACTATCGAACTTAGTCAAAGTGTTGGTATTACGAATCTATACTCTGCGTTTCATCACTCTCACCCAATTAGAACCAAAGGTATCATGTTCCAAAGTCTCGACCAATCAAATTGCTTATCTCTGCTTAGCCTTAGTGGAAAACGCGCATTCACCTAATAAACACCTACAACAAGTTTGAACATTCTACCTCAGTTAGAAGGAGAGTTATTGCGATCCAAAGTCTCGAACAGTCAGATTAAGCATCTACTTAGCCTGAGCAGAAAATGTTCATCAAACTTAATCAAAGTGTTGATGTAATGAAACTATACACGAAGTTCCACCACTCTCACTCAATTTGAATCAAAGTTATGGACCGCAAAAATCTCGACCAATCAAATTGTTTATCGCTCTGCTTTCCCTAAGAAGAAAATGCTCGTTATCGAAAGTAGTCAAGGTATTGATATAATGAAACTGTACACCAAGTTCGTTCGTTCGTTTCTGGGGTTTTACGTCCACTTCCACCTAAGGTGATATCGTAGACAAGGATGGTACACCAAGTTGCATCACTCGCACTTAAATAGAACCAAAGTTATCTTGTCCCAAATCATCAACCAATCAAATTGCCTGTCTCTGCTTAGCCTACGCATAAAATGCTCATCTTCGAACTCCATCAAGGCATTCACCTAATAAACACCTACACCAAGTTTAAATGGTGATATGAAATCAAACACAAAACCTGATTTTTATTATAATATTAAGAATTAAAATAATATAGAAACACATTTATGTCTACTGAAGGGCAATTAGGTTAGATTAGATAAAACACTGACAGTTCTCGCTAGAATAGTTAAAATAGATAATAGAAAATAGAATATGCTGAAAATTGCAGTCAAATTACTTCACTTTGAAACTAGATATTAGCGATTTAATTTTAGGCTAGCTTCAATCGTCATTACTACCGTTATTACGATAATAAACAATGTCTCGAATATCCATTTTTACGGTTATTTCATCCATTACAACAAGTGAGAGAGAGAGAGAGACAGAGAGAGAGAAAGAGAGAGAGAAAGAGAGAGAGAGGGATGGAGTTTAACGTCCACTCGACACAAACAAGGTCATTTCGGGACTAACATATGTTTTTTTTTTAAAATTTATTTCAATAATTCGCTTGCGCGTAGGGGTCTTTAGCAGTGAGAGGATGCCGGAGCCGGGATGTTGGACAGCCAACCCTACTCCTTGTCACGTACGCCAGTTAACTCAATGACAGGCCTTATGATACAGCACGCACGTGCTAACCATTCGACCATCCAACCCCCTCATCACAACAAGTATTCAAACCCACTAAATACCGCAGGTCTTGATACGTTAATTAGTGTCTTATTAATAATTTAGATAACATTTAAGGCCTAAAGAAAAACCCGCAATAGGCAGATTTAGCTCTTGAATGATGCATGTTTAATTCACTAGAAGATGAGAAATATTTATTATACCCTTTTTATGACAATTTTTGACAACAATATCTTCCTCCATTCAACATAATATATTAATGAATAATGAAGTGTGCAGATAAATGTTGGATGCTTTGTACTGAAAGCCTTCAATAAAATAGGAATACAATTAATTAAAACTTATTTATACAATTAAGTGACATGACATTTGGATTTTCTGTATTTCATGATAACAATATCTTAAAGGAGCTAAATCGTTAATATTTTGGACCTAGAAATTGACACAAATGGGTCGTAACGCATATAATAATGTAATAGGAATATATATAAACTGATTTACATTCAATCGTTTCCATTTTTACTCAAATTTCAAATCAGTTACGTTCGGCGAATTATGTCTGAAGTTTCAATACAATGAAAATTTCTAGCGTCTGGGTTATTCTAGTCTACATAGTATTTATTGCGCATACTCTCCCGATATGAATATGCCGTCACCGTTTGACATGACTTGTTGAATGTCTAGCCTCGTTCTTCGAGTCCCTTGTTAGAATGGGCCTGAAACGCATTATGGTACACGATTCGTGTACCAATGGTAAAATGTTTATTTTGTCTTAAATATTGAATATCAGAAGCCCATCTTTTCCCGGTAAGATCACAACATCAATGTTGATTTAAATTGACAAATAATTCGTGTTTTCAATGTCGAAGATTTTGGATGATATTGAGTTAGAGACTTAGCTACTTTAAGTGACTTACCACTCATATTATATACAAAATACAAAAGATAGTGTTATTTTATCAGATTCAAATTATAAATCATAATCTACAACAATGTGCAATGTCTTATATTTGTATTTGTATGTTGTAACGTCCATACTCATGTCTGATCATGTAGTTGCGAATAAACTATTATTTATGTGGGCACCCAAATCTTTTGTGTGCTTATGCCCTGTGATTACATACATATTAGACTGACTGAAAACCAGTCTACAGATTATAATGAACTTTGTAACTGTGCTGTTGGATCTAACTCTGCAACATGACTGTCGTGGGTGTTCTTCTGTTCTGCAGTTCCAATGCTAGTCTTTTCCATCATTTCCTCTAATGTGTGTAAGTACGCCGATACTCTGTCTTTGTCATTTTGATTCTGTAAACAGCATAAGATAAATATTGTCATTGATGTTTGCAGGAAAATGACAGACACCCAAACAAACGTAATCTGTTATTGAAATACAACGGCAGTGCGAGTGTCGTGCGTGGGCTGGGCATGCATATCTTTCATGAACACCTGTTATTACGTTCCGTTATGGGATTTTTGCCATGTGGGCCAGTTGTTACTCGATATTGCCGAATTTATCCGTTGGTGTTTGTATTTGGTCCACGGTTTAGGATAGACTGTGCTGGTTTAGTATACTGTAGTCAAGACACGGCTAAAATGTTATTGAGAGACAATGTGGTCAATATGGAAAGGGCGGGATAGGACAATAGAGACTTTAGGCAAGCTGAATTTTTCCCATCCGTATCACGTATCCGTATCGCATACGTGATACGTTGCGTCAATGTAGTTTTAGAGTTTTGGCAGATTTTCGCGTCGCGTGCGTATCACCATCAGCAATTTTTGGTTTCACTAATGTATCATTTCAGAAGATTATACCCCTTTAACATAGAATAAAATCATTTGCGGATTTGCCAGGTCCCACCTCCCTAAATTTAGCACGTAGATCAACCAGCATGCAGACAGACCGAACAGTATGAAAATTCCGAGAAAATCCATCAAATATAATGATTAAATTACGGTCTTTATCATGATTAAAATCACATTAAATATACACCTTCGTGTTCTAGGATACACATAGATTCATAAAAACGCAACGGCATAACATTTCATGAGCTAAAAGTAGCAAAAAAGACGGTAAAAAGACAACAATGTTATACGGACCTTTTCCGTATGAAAGCTGGTCGATACGTACTGCCGTATCCGCGTGTCGTATCACGTATGAGAAATACACAAACATTGATGACGTCACACGCAAAATCCATACGGATACGCGATACGGACCAGGAATTTACGCTTGCCAAAAGTCTCTAATGTCTTATTCCAGAACACTTATCATCTAGGCCAAACGGTTCATATGGATGGACACAGTTCCAAGCTAGCAAGGTGTACCCGTTTTGGCTAAGTTTGACAGAAAGTATATACACGTATTAAGATCTTACTTGAAAAGTCGCTATTGACAGTGTTGCTTTCTCGATAGCTTCATGATAACCGTGTTTCTCTTTGAGGGCCAGTGCTTCAAATTCAAGTCGTTTTGCTCTTTGGGCGCTGGTACAACATGGGAAAGATGATACTGTACAAAAAATATAAATAATTGTATGAAATTATAGGATTAAATATATACTGTTCTGGTACTGTTTCTGTACACATATACCAATATAAAATGTGGTTCAAACATATACCCATAAAACACGATTACTGACAACAAATAAACAGATTGATTAACAATTACATTTAAAGATGCCTCTCCGCGTACAAACTTGGTGATTTGATGATATATTTGGACTAAGAAAATATTCAAACTAATTAACTTCAAATCCGTCTCAATACATTGTATTCGCGAGGAAATACCCAAGATATAAAAATCCTATTTTTAGAAGTCATGTTTGTCATGTAACTTGATTCTTGGATTGTCTTCTGCAAACTTCTTTTTCCACCGTTTAATTGCAGAGTCTGCTGTACGTTTAAATCCCACAGTGTTCCCCTAACCGCCTATCCATTTGATCAAGAAATAACCAACGCTTCCTAAGTCAAGCTGGCAGTCAATAAGTCGTCGGGTTGCCAGTTAGTGATACCGTTACTTTTTTGCCCAGTGCTGGTCTCATGGGTGTTTTTCAGGGAATCCAGTATTTTTCTAGTAAGATTTGTCGTCTCTACTTTCCATTTATACCAGATTTGCCATACTTTTATTGGAGATAACTACCCTATAAATACTTTAGTGAGAATGTATCTTTAAAAGACAAAAACACGTGAAACACCCCAGAAACAAAGTATCACCCGCGAATCTAGAAAATGTTTCGTTTAATACGATCTGCTGTACTTGTCTGCGACATCACTCTGTGTGGAAGCGGACGTTCAGCCCCATTGATTAACACTAACTAACTAACTAACTAACTAACTAGTCTCTGTACTTACTTGTTTCACAGACACCAATAACATAATCAGGAAACATCTACAAAATTACCATAATAATTAGCCTATATCTTTCTGGATTTAGAAATAAAGCAATTAAAGTAAAACTTCGTTTTCGGAATACCGCGCATTAATGGATATATGGTTATTATAAGAGCCAAGTTTATAACTTTTATACATTAAGATTTAATTAAAATATCTGTTTAGTTTTTGATTGTTTAATTTTTGTTAATGAAGTTGATTCTTTTAAACTTCGTTTTTTATTTTTGAACTCTACTTGATGTAGGTGTTCATCAGGTAATACCTCGACTTAGTTCAATATAGAGATTAGCCGGTTGATTTGTTGGATATAAACCTTTGAATAATAGCGCCTGATTTTGATTGTTTCTGTGTGTTTGAAGTATATGTTTGTGATATGCGCTTAGAAACACTTCACGTGTAATGAAGCGCTATATAAATCGAACAATAATAATAATAATAATAATCTTTCATACCATAGCACATAATGCCTAATCTAACTGAAGAAATATTATGAATAAGTATACCTTGATGTCTACACCTTGAAGCTGTAATAAGAATAAATCTGGTAAAATGGCTACCCCTTCTTCTTCCTTCGTCATATATAACATATGTAATCTGATAGTTATATTTGTTATATAGAGACATGCATTCTTATTCCCATTTTTAACAGACAATTCAGCAATACCCATTAATTCTTCAAGCATGATGGGGGCATCCTACAAATATTAAAAACTATTAGCATAGTCTCTATGGCCAAGACAAAAATATTGTCGCGTTCGTTTGGTGTCGTGGGGGATCACGTGGCTAAGTGGGTAAGACGCTAGCTCGCTAGCCTGGAGGTCGGGTGTTCGATCCCTGCATTGGCCGAGAAAGTTCATCCAGATTTTCCGGCGTGGTTCTCCCTTGTCAGTGATGCAGGACGGAGGGGCTGACAAGGAAAGCTGTCTAGTCGTTCGGATGGGACGAAAAACCGAGGTCCCGTGTACACATTGGCGTGCACGTAAAAGATCTCTTGGCAGTTGGAATTCGATATAAGAGTAGGCCGTAGTGCCGCTGTCCGGGCAAAATTTCCCTCATAGCACACTGTATGGCGTATATGCCCGTCTTCATTAGCCCAGGTTAGGAGCAGAACAGTAGGACGTTAAACTCCATTTCATTTCATTTCATTTCGTTTGGTGTCGTATTTTCAGAAATATCGGGTTTCCATCTTAAAAATGGTGTTTAATTACGTCGAATTATCTCGGCGTTGGTCAGCGTCACTTATTTCACAAAACAGGTGCATTCGGAATATATCATTTTATGGCTCGCAATTAACCCGTATTATCTACCGTATGTAAAAGGAAAAAGACCGAAATCAAATTCTCGAAAGTTGATGCTAGGAAATTCATGCGGATACTCTCGGTTTTCTGCATTTGAAAAATAACCTGGTAATCTCATTGATTTCGAAATACATGAATCCGAAGGCAGGATATAACAACATTTCCTGAAGACTACATGTTTTCCAACAATTTTGAACAATTCAAGAAAACCAAAGTGATTACAATAGGGTTGAACAATAAAATACTTAACCTATACCTTTTTTGATAATTTGTCCTCTAATGTTTTAGGAAAGAACTCAATGAATATTTTATCTAATACAGGTTCGAGCGTTATCTTCGGTTTGTCAGTTACTGATTCGTCTCTTATACAGCTGGTACCAATCACAGAAATAGCTGAAAATATAACTTATAGATAGAACGCCATTGGAATCATCAAGGACATCTGTATGTTTTCTTCTAACTGAATGACAAGTATAGAAATGTCGCGCATTTATACAAAATACAATACAAAATTGTGTTTTTCCAGGTCAAGGTATGTATAATATCGAAAATGAAACTTTATCACATCAAACATAACGCTTGATAATAAAGATGTATAATGTTTAGAGGTGTATATGAAAATATTGTACCCCTGATCCTGAAGGTCAATACAAATTCATAATTCTGTCATACATGATAGCAAAAGCAAAACATTCTCGTTGTGCCGATGCTCACACCAAAAATTCTTCAAAAACTCCGGCCTTTTAATGGCGTTAATAAGAAATTGCGATATCAGAATGGTAAGGGCACTAACTCCAAAACGGAATATCGGAGAAAGCTAAAACAAAAAAACAAAAAAAAAATCGATAGTGCTTTTCCGGGTCTGAAATTATCACGCCAAATTTTAAAAATATCCGTCAAAAAGTCTAGCCTCTATCGCGTAAACAAGCATTTTTTGAAGTCGGACCAACGGACATGGACGACGATTATAAACGCCCAGAAATACTTGTGGGCGTGTCCCAAACTACTTGTGGGCGTGTAAAAATGTCATATCTGTGTAATAGTACGTGGAGATTACTAAAATGTGTAAAGTTGACGGAACTTCCATCCAATAGCAATGTAGTATCATGTGTTTAGAAAGAGGACGCATATTCTGGAATGACATGTCTTAACTTTATCCCAGCTAAACTATTTGTCATTAAAAATACACATCGACATACCGTGAAAGAGATATCTCCAAATTCCAAACCAAACATCAGACGATTCAGATAAATTCTAATAAAGAAAAGAATTATTCTATAGTGTTGAAAGTTTTAACAGCTGTAGTTATACCATTTCTATTTGTAACTACAGAATAAAACTGCCTACGGTTGATCAACTCTATGAGTTGTCAAGTGGACATGGGTAATTTTAAAATCAGTTATAGCGACGTCGGGTTCTCCATGGTCTCAAGTGCCATATGCAATGGGAATGCGTTATGAACAAATGTCTGATCTACAAATGAGTAAACGATGGGTTGTAGAATGGAGTAACCAGGCGCAATGAACCGTCATTCAATTTGGACTGCTCACTTATTTCACCGAACATAACTGATTAGAAATTAAAATGCAAAATAAATAAATAAATGAAGTGAATGTTAATCAGTTTATATAAATCTGTATTACATCAATATATGCTTTTCGACCTTTTTGTTCATTTCAAGTTTCCAAAGAGCTTTAGCTCCTCTAACGCACTACTATAAAACTCGGACTTGTATTTGGAAGTTGTCCTTAAGCACATGGTTTAAATCAATCTGTTTCACAGAGATCTTTTAATATCTCTGTTACAGATGACTGTTTCGACACGTGACGTCACATCGCGCGGCGTCAATCATTGGCTCAATAGCGCGTGCATTGTTTACATAAGATGTTACTGATTCGGGCTAAATGGTGAATTTTACTTATTTTAATACCCATTTACACTAAATAGGAAATAAATTTTACCTACAAATAATTCAAACGTCTTTATTCATTTTTCTAATAAATGAAAAAAATGTTTTAGAATTTAATTTGACGGAAGAAAAAAATTAATATTTGGGACTCATTAAGTCGCATCGATGTCATCCTTATCAGTGATTGTAGCGGCCTAGCGAAAATTCACTGCTGATCAGTGTGGGTTTAGATAACTGGTAATAGCAAAGAGAGAATGACCGACAATACCTGTTTTATTATGATTAATCCAAATAAAATACGAGCCAAAAGGGGATTATCGTGGTCTTTAGTATCCCTTGTCCGTAGATAACTCAGTATGTTATCATGAAATTGTTTTGCTGTAGTACTGTTAAACTGCCCACTAGCAATCTCAGACTCTGCTGTTTTAATAACGGGCTCAATATCAGCATCAAGGACAACTTTACCCTAGAAGGAAATGCAATATGTTAATGAGACAAAATCCACTGGACAAAATTGAAAAGTAGTAAGTGGATTACCCCAAATAAAAACAGACTTATACATGCGCATTATCTTCTATCCTAGTACCAATTTAAACTTCATGGATGGATGTTCCTTGTTTACACTGTCGATGTTCACCGCGTAGTCCTCTCTCGCAACAGGCATGGTTTAAGACTTGGTAGCATTATTGATCAACATTCAAATAAAATATATATTAATATCAGACTGCTACGCATTTCTTATGCTGCAGGTACCCCTTTAAACGTTTATCGGAAGCAAAAAGTCGCCCTCATGGTAAGTATTGACACATTATTCACCTGGGGTCGGTTGTTCAAAGCTCTGTTAACTTTTAACGACTCGTTAACATGGAGTTAATGAATCGTTATCTTTAACGGAGAGAAGGTCTGTTGCTGGAAGCCCTGTTAACATTAACATGTCGTTAACTTGCCTTATATTTAACGGGGGTGTTGGGCTCCGTTATCTGTTTTTAACGATGTAATTAGTCGGCTGTCTGTCGAAGTATACCCTTAGCAAAACGTCATAGATTACCAATGTAATTTTCTATAGAACATTCTAAAGGGTTGAGCGATGGGGGGGGGGGGGCGGGGTATTCCATGTTCTATAGGATGAAATTCTATAGTATTCTACAGAACTTTGGGGGTCTGTAGAAAATAATTGCCACAAATATTCTATAGTGCAAAGTTTTCCTACAGATTTATGCTAAAATTTCTAAAGGAAAAAATAAAGTATTCTATAGTTTTTTTTATAGTATTTTCTGTAGTAAATTCTACAGTTATCTTTTTGTCTTTAATCAAGTTTTGTGAACAGACTGCACAGTTGTCCCACTGTCTTCAGTTTCTTGTTAATGCTAACTTTTATGAAGTACATTGAACTTAAAAATTTAAAATAACTAACGGATAAGGAAATTGACTTTCTAGCAACAGAAATTTAAAGGACCTTTAACAAACGACACGTTAGCAAGATAACGATCCGTTAGAGTTTAACGAATCGTTAAAATAACTTAGTTTTGAGCAACCGGCCCCAGTACATATTGTAGAAAATAATTAATGCTTACGTCATCACCATCAGCTGATTCCGTAAGCTCCTTTAATGTGATTCTTGGTTTGGGATTTTTTTTAGCCGGGTGTCGATTCTTTCTTTTACGTCTTTCTTTTTCTTCCATTCTTTTAATTAATATTGTCATTTCTTCTTTATCTTCATCAGTCTAAAAATTCAATAAATTGTTTACTTCGTTAAAAATTGTATTCCAATTTGTGACGGAAGAAATGTTTTAAAAGAATAAACACGATCACGATACAAATACATATGATACGGTATATTTTACGATTATAGATGGGATATTACCATTTGAATATTACCTATAAAATAATGCAACAAATATGTAATCGTTGTGTTTGCTAAGATTCTTTAAAAATTAAATTCTTCCTTATTCATTTTAACAGAGGATTTGAATTAATGAATATATTAATAACGACAAGTATAGCGCTTCAAGGAAACAACACCCACACACCAGTATGTTAATGTGTAATTCAAAAGAGCAATAACCCTTTTTATTAAAATTATTAAATTAAAAACACGAATTAAACATCAATATTGGCCCATTTCCATCAATATTGATGTCGTTATCTTGCCGTGAAAATATGTGATCCTATTATCTAATATTTATTAAGACAAAACAAAGATTTTAAAATCAGTACACGATTCATGTATTTTTTCATGGTTTCGCGTGCCATTTGTAATGACCAAAGCAAAACATATCCTACAAGATTTTAGTAATGACTCATTCATAAACGACAAAATAATAATTAAAAAAAGGTGTAGAATGACCTAAGCAGGCATAAACGCCTGACATTCAATTGGAACTGTTCACGTATTTCACCGAACATAATTTATTAGAAATTACGATAAAAATTAAAAAAAAATAATATAAATCACTTTATATATGTTAGGCGCATTCTTCACCCCTCGGCCAGATTGCAATCTGCGCTGCCGAGTTGCGCAGATTGGACCACTGATAGATGCGCGTAACAAACTGACGCACATATTGTCAACTTTGCGCTGATTACTGCTCGATGTTATTAAAGATGAAAGTAGTGTGCTAGACGTCCCATGTAAGATCTGTCCTCTATCGACTTTGTACTGTAAAGATTTTTCAAATAATTTTCAAAATCACTGCATAATTATCGTGCGTGCTAATGTTTCGTATATTAGTTAATTTTTTGTTTATTTAGGGTTCCAAATAATAGAGCCATACGCACTTTAAAAGCTTTGGTGATGGGGATAATCAAACCAATTCAAAACGCCTTACTTCCATTAATTCTCTGGCTTCTTTTCCACGTTGAATAGCAAGACTGTAAATATCCTTGAATTCATATGCCTGGGCCAGTAGTTTCAGTCTTTCAGCTTGTTGATTTTGGCCTGATAATAAAGCTGGGACTTTTATAAAAAAAACAACAAGATTAAAAATGTGTCACATTGTTCGTAATTGAAATACATGTTAAGTAAAATTGAGTCTGACAGAATATGAAGTGTAGAATATAAAATGAAATAAAACAAAAAAACAAACCGAAAATAATCTGATTATTACTGCTTTATTTTTCTAAGTGATGATATAAAGATGCGATTTGAAATCAGCAGATTTGAATATGACCATAACATAATTCTAATTGAACGATCTGAATATTTTTTGACCAAGTACTTCTGATTGTGTATGGCTTTAACTCTATGTATATTTAAGTTTATCCTGGCTTGTTGGGGCTTTAATGTTCGTTATAATGAATGCATTTACTTACCGTTCTTCATTCTTATTAGAACAAAATCTGGGTATTTCTGAAGCAAAGATGTTTATTGCTATATATTTTACTGTTCATTATTACTTCTATTTAGATCTATTGTTTAGGCTAAGGTTGTCATTTTGTTACTGAAAAAATAACATACCGAGACAATCCGGGTAGCGTGTCAAACCCGGGACATAGTAATTATTGCTTGCAGAATGCCGCAATGCTCATCCGAAAATGCATAGATTTTCAAAATCTTTGGCCAGGGAATTGCATATATGTTTGTTTATTAGATAACAACTGATTTGTTCAGACAGCAGCGACATGTGAGGTATATAGGTCTCAGACTAGTGCGAGTTATAAATAGACAATTTTTCCCTTAATTTTTTTTCTCCCCTCTTCCTGCATTTTATGGTTGACTTTTTGGTCTAGAATTGGAGAAAAGGGATCAAATTTGCAATTTCATAGCAGTTTTGGGTAATACTGATGATATTACAGCGGAGGGATAGGGATGTAAAGTGTCGTTCAGCAGAGCAATCATTGTGTCGGAAGTGAGATTTTCACTCCAGTCAACTTCAAATCCCCGTAGCAAAGATTGTCTATAAAGATTGGAACCAACGGAATGTTGAGCAAAGAGCTACAGCCTGTGATGTTACAGCCATTTAACATTGAAGTCAATGGGCAAATAATTACTAATCTGAAACCATAGAGTCCATGACCTTGACTGTTCGACTACAAGTAACTCCGTGTGAACTGTGGAAACCACTACATCAAGTTAGTGTATGAATGACCTGTACACCCAATTATCGTCTAAGAACATCAGAGGGTGTAAGCTGGGGATGTACACAAGTTTTGTAAAGAGCTAAACAATTCACAACTATAGCTTACCATTATGGGAATTGACTGACAGTTTAGTATCAGGATATCCATAGCAACGGGATGACATAAAACAAACATAGAATTATCTTTACATATGTGATCCATTAGGTTTAAAGTTCTTGTAGTAATAAAATATGAAGCCGTGTTATTGCCTTCTATGTAGGCTTTTTTGGCCATATCGTAAAACTCTTTCAAGATGAACATCTGAAATATCAAGTATATTCAAAATAAGACTGGTAAAATATAAAATGATTTAAAATAAGCTTGTATTCTTGACGATCTTGATTAATATACATGCGGAATTGGAAGAAAGAAGTTAAATCGCCTATAAAAGCGCCACGTATAATATAAGTACACAGATGAGATGAGATATACTTATTAAGATCACAAATGAAATGAAATAGGGTTTAACGTCCTACTGTTATGTACCGACTGGGCTAGAAGACAGGCATACGCCATATACAGTGTGCTATGAGGGAAATTTTGCCCGGACAGCAGCACAGCGACCTAATGTTATTTCGAACTGTTGAGGGTTATTTTAAGTACACGCTAATGTTTACAAGGGACGCTGTCCCTTGTGAACCCCCATGTCTTGCACCACTGACAAGGGGGAACCAGGCTGGAAAATCCCTATGAACTTTCTCGGCCAACACTGTGATCAAACACGGAGTATCTCAGTTACCGAGCAAGCGTCCTACTCCCTGAGTCACAGGGTTCGAGTTAAAGTCACAACAGCACCCAGATTGTTCATTGCTCACATGATATCTAAATAGACCAGAGGCTGAGTACGGGGTGGGGGTGGGTGGTGTCCATCAAATGGGCACAAAACCAGATCCAACTTTTCTGTAGTAAAATGTTGTGTAGAATACGATGCCGAGTGGTAATCAGTCCGCCGTTGGGGCGACTGTGAGATATTCGGCAGTCAAGCACTGAAAGTAGATGCGCAGCCATTCTTGTATCATGAAAACATGCTGAAAATGATCGAAAATAATTACTTTTTCAATAAAAATGTAAACTTGCTAAATTAACCTTTGTTCTTTGTGGCCCCGGAGGTCAAAAAGGTCAAATTTTCCGTATTTGTATTAGGAAGATTTAAAGCAATAAAATGTCAGCGTAAAATATAAAAACTAAAGCGCAACCTATTCTAATTAATAATAGGAACATTGAAAACTTATCTTTAGGTGGTCTTAGCACCGTACATTTACTTTTGAACGTCGAAAAAGATCTTGCATAACAGAACCAAAACACTTCGAAACCCGTTTCAAAAATACATAAAAACTGCCAAACCAAATTTCCCCGAAGTGAATTTAGCAAGTTTACATTTTTATTGAAAGTGTGATCACTTTCGATCATTTTCAGCATATTTTCATGATACAAGAATGGGATGGGTGCGCATCCACTTTCAGTGCAAATGACCTCATTTGACCTTTGACCCGAATATCTCAAAAACGCCCCAACGGCGGACTGATTACCACTCGGCATCGTATTCTACGCAACATTTTACTACAGAAAAGTTGGGGTTGGTTTTGTGCCCATTTGATGGTAAAAATATTGTTTAATTAAAGTTTTTGTTTCGATATTCTAAAATTTTGAGTAAATAACATATTAAACCTTTATTAGTGAAAATAAAATGTATCTTACACAAATGTGTAATTTTTTAACGGTTAGTTTCTCTTTCAACCTATTAGTTGTTTTATCGAACTCAGCCAGGTAAATAGCATTAATTCCTATATCTGGTTCATGATCAACTAAGTCAAAAAACGTAATCATTGTATCAACCACACTGACAGCTGCAAAAGATACAATATTTTATCATTGTTTTAATAAAAGAAATGATGTATTTAATAATAATAAGGTTAACCAAATTTAACAATCCATTAAACGTAAAGTTGTGAGAATCGTCTATGGCAATACTTCACTAAAAATAAATTAAAAAAAGACTTTTAAACACAATTTCTCATAATGCATTTTCTTTTTCTTTAAAACATACCTATAAAAACATAGCGCATAACAGCAAATAATGAAACGATGTTATCTGGTGGACTCTGAAAATGAAAATGTTTAGTAGTTACTAGCAATAGTGTTATAAGTATGTCATGCTTACTTTTGGCAGAACACCATATTTATGTCCACGTTGGGTTAGGCCTGGATATATTTTTGTATTTGGCGCGGGAACCATGTCGACTAGGTATGTACTCATCTTATTAATCACTGGCCATTTAGTGGGGTAGATTAAGACAATATTCAATAAGAATCTTTCACTTGGTGATACAAGAACCAAATTTAGCAAAAATGATGTTCAGCGTGGACTTTTAAAGAAAATTACGTTATCCAGCTGAAAATCCAACATGGACGCCAGTTTTCAAGATGGCCGCCTCGTCAAATACAAGAAAAATTGTTTTCGAAGTGGAACTTGAATGAACAGAAATGTGTTAATGATCCAAACATCAAAATGCATAAGTTCTGACTGGAAAACCAAATGGTGTCAATTGAATTTAAATATGACCGCCCGTTTGACACTTCTGAATTTACCACCTCACAATTGAGAGTTGGCGTAAACTTTTTGGCATTCTTCAAAGTAGAGCTATCTGATCAGTCTCCAGCAATGATGTCATATAGCAAGTGCATACATATATATGTTTCAGTCGTCATGATTAGGTATTTAATATAGTTCAGGCACCACATCGACGGACAGATTAAAGATTGGCTTTGATTCTAGGATAAACATTTCGCGAGAGAAAAACACAAACGAATGATATGGTTTATCATTGCCATTTAATTAAAAATAGTTTATATGTATTTTTCTTGTTATATGATTGTTCGATTTGGAGCTAACCGATGAATAAACAGTAGATCATTAAAAGTCACCAGCAGAATTGGCTGCTGCTTGAGACCATCGACATGAACATAAAGTATTCTAAAATAACAGTAGTCCAGTTTAAGTTTCTAACAGGATTTATCATTTGACCCCTGGATAGGGTGGGACCTGCACATAACCAGTTACTATAGATATTTATGCAACGGATTGTTTAAGGCAGATATCCCTTGGGACAGTACTCTTTGTTTTGTGTCTTTTTCTTATGGCTTATGTTATAAAATAACTATTTGTTCGTCGATGTCGAATTACCTGAGAGGTGAAGCGCATCATCTCAATGATCATGAATATTTTCCCCGTTTCTGGCTCTAATACCAACACCTCGTTCAAACTTGAAGTTAACCGTTCTTGAAATAACTCCCCACTTTCACGATCAAAACGCCCAAGACTTAGTTTCCTAACGGCGTCATCTATTTCTTTATCCACAGATTTCTTGGCTCTCTGAACAATCATCATTTGGCCATAATTAAGGAAAGGATTATCCATTTTTGCTTTATCTGGTAACACTTAGGTTTCTATTAGAATAAAATAAAATAATATGTTTATCATCGCTTAAAATAATCTTACGTCAGTAATGCAAACTTGAGTAGATTAACTGACAGAAGAATGTAAGTAAAATCAAGCTACAAATCAAAACCGAAACGAAACGAAACCATTACGAAACAAAACAAAAAGAAATGTAACGAAACGTATCAAAATCAAAATGATACACTAAAAATAGAGACCAAACCTTTCTACAAATGTAAATTAATAACAAAAATATCGAGGATTTCTTTTCGTAATGCTCAATAGGAATTATAGAATACAAATAAAGCAAAATTTCCTGTGCATTGCCCATTGTTTAAATATTTCTACATAGTAATCGTACTTACGTGTATATAGTACACACACGGTACCAGTATCAGACAAACACGGTAGATGATATTTTTAGGGGTTTACAAGTTTGCCTTCCCTGTAGGACACAGTTCAATTAAAGTACTGAATTAGTGAACCATAATCTAAATATAAATTTCTCGGAAATCATTACCAGTGCATTATAGTCAACAAATAATAATCAATCGGCTTATGTGTGGCAGAAACCATCTTGAATATTTAACTATTTCATGGAAATTGTAACATAAAATGAACTTGTATATCTCACCCCATGGTTGTTATAAATATTTACATACCTGTTGTACAGGGTGAAACAACTAGGTGTCTGTTAACGAGCTGGGAAGTTAACCTTCCTTGTAAGACACAAAGCAATAACGTATTAATACTATTAATAAGAATAGTATTACTACTATTATTTTCCAAGAAAAGCGGGTCATCTTGACTTATGGGGGGGTTGGATGGCTGAATGGTTAGCGTGCGCGCGCTGTATCATAAAGTCTGTCATTGAGTCGACTGGCGTGGTTTCGAATCCCCGGTTGTACGTGACAAGGAGTAGGGTCGCCTGTCCAACCTCGTGGGTTTTCTCCGCGTCCTCCGGTTTCCTCCCACTGCTAAAGACCCCTACGCGCAAGCGAATTATTGAAATAAAATTAAACCATATGTTAGTCCCGAAATGATCAGTTTGTGTCGAGTGGACGTTAAACCCCATTTCTCTCTCTCTCTCATCTTGACTTATGGGTATATAGTGCTTGTGAATTAGTTATGCATTTTGCTGAAAGATATTTTGTTTAAATAGAATTATGAACAGCAAAAGAAAAGAAATTGAAACAACCCCTTAAAAAATTGAAGTTTATTACATTCGAGAACTGGATAGAAAGGGAGAATCAAGTGACCGTGTTATAGATATTACTGTATAAGCTTTATTGTTCGTGATTAGTCGTACCTTGATACATATCGAGACAAATGCTATCTATTAACAAGTACGATTAGGCTATGGACCAGGAACTGACCATGTTGTTGGATAAAATTCGACAATCGATTTCAGCAAATCGTTGCAGAATTGTTCAAAGAAGAAGCATGCCCATTTTCAGGTCAATCGGATTTGAATTGACGGAGCCTTAAGCTTTTTCAAAGAGCATTACCCCAAGAACAAGAAGAAAAAAGAAGAGCTAGAAAAGATGAGTAGCGATTAGCGACTAGTTTCTGGTCCAAAAATAAGTTTCATTTATTAAATTTGTTCACTTCTTGTTCGGAAATGGTAGGCCAAAGACATGCGAAGGAAGCCTAAACCAAGTTTAAAAACGACAGTGGCAGTACATTATAGCAAATAAACCCCGAAACAAATAAAAGGACTACTGATGTCACAATAAGCAGTCGGCATCAATAACTGACTGCGCTAAACCCCTTTGATTAAGACCAAATAAATTAATGAATGGGTTGATCTGGTATGTTATTTCGATCAGTCATTGTATACGATTAAATTTTTGTTCCTTAATGCTTGGTTCACACTATCACGATTGGTGTTGCGATTGAAATCGTGGTTTTAATAATGGAGTAATCGTGGTGATCCTATTAGGTCTTATCATATATTGAGGTCATTCATAGCAAGAATTGAACGTTGAGGCGGATAACTCGGTCTTGTCCAACAAATACACTGAGTGTTATACATTTTATTTCAGATTTTGAATGATTTATTACATTTTATAATTTGAAACACACAAATTTAAAAGAAATTTAAAAAACCCAACATCAATAAAAGAAAGAGAACAAAACAGCATTGTTCACTCACTAGAATATACAATAGCAAAAGCAAAACATAATCTATACTAATATTTGTGAAGTTTGTCTGTCTGTTTGTCTGTCTGTTCGGGGTTGGCGGCTACACTAGGTCTGCCCCGAGTCTGAAATTTGGGGTATAGGGGTAGCTCGGACCGGGGAGTAACATAGGCCAGGTGGCGCTAGTCTACCACTTCCGGCTTCAGGGTTAAGACCCCCGAGCGAAACCGGGCATTCTTCTAGTTAATTCATATTGGAATTTGAATAAAACCAGTTAAGGGGTGAGGCTACCCCAAAAATGCTTTCTCAAATTCTAAAGGTAGTGAATTGAAGATGGCACAAGTAGTTAGGAAATGTAATAAACAAGGGAAAACTAACATTGAAACTAAAGAAAAAAAAGTTGTTACCAAGGTAACACATTTTTGTGTGAAAAAGTATGAAAAACGTAGGTACACCATATCTCTGGCACTAATACAGATAAATGTCCCATTTTAGGACTGCATATTCTTTTATGATAACCCCAAAACCAGACAGAGTTTTGCTCTAAATTTTTATAGTTTCTTGGAAAATGGTGTTTAAAACATTTGCCTCACTACAATATTTTGTCTTTGGAGAAATATTTTGATAACATTTGAAATATTAATGATAGATTCTGTGGTAAGATATTAGTTTATATATCCTGCAAATTTGGCGGTACACCATACAGAGATATAGTGTACCTACATTTTTCATAATTTTTGCCAAAAAATGTGTTACCCTGGCAACATTTTTTTAAATGCTAGTTTTCCCTTGTTTATTAAATTTTCTAACTACTTGTATTATTTTCAATTCAATAGCTTTAACATTTCAGAATAAAAATTTTCAGATAGCCTCCCGCCTTAATAGAAACACCAGGGTCGTTTCACTCACTAGCACAATAACAAAAGCAAAATATAATTATTATTAATAATTCTATATATTGTGTCAGTCTAAGTATTCACTGTGTTGAATATATAAATAATAACTAAACATATAGACACAAATTTACTGTGTTTAATATATAAATAATAACTAAACATATAGACACAATTATATAAATAATACCTAGACATATAGACACAAATGGTATCCCCAAAGTTCTCTATATTGCATTCATCTATCGTTAAATATTCATAATCATTTATTCATAATATCAATTTCTATATTAAGCCATTTATTATAACCAATTCCGAATGTTCATTGATGCTTTTATGAGAACCTAGAGCTCTGGACGTTATAATTCAATAAAAGTTGAAATTTAATAGAATAGGGCTGTACCTTTCGATAGTATATTCCAGTTAATCATTGAAGCCTATAATGATCTGAGATCATTATTGAAAAATGTTACAGACAACGATACAGACAACCCATACCAATTTTAACAAGATATATGAATTATTGTAGTTTTTCTGCTACGTGGCACACACAACCTTTGATGTCTAATTGGTTATTATCTGATGCAGTATCGTCTAGCCATCCAGTAGCATTTGTTTGGTTTCTTCATTAGATTTTGTCGATGTTTTCAATGAACATCGACATTCTTTCTTTGTCCGTTGTATTCTGTATAAAAAGAAACAGATAGTTAGGTAATATACAAGGTCACCAGCAGTATCGTCGCAGACCCTGAAATACAATAGCCCCTAAATCACATAAGACTCTATGATCCTAAAATATTATGTTATGTTGTATTTTGGTCAATGCCTAAAACCAAAACCTCTTTACTGAAAAAATAACTTGGTTTCAAGTTTTAGAAATTTCTATAGAATTTCAATTAATTGCGATTCGGTTTCTTAGTAATCTATTGTATTCCAAACATATTTTCGGAAAATTGGTTAGTGTGGCTGTGACTGATCTTATATGAGAGGAATTTTACAAACAAAAATGAAATCCTCTATAGAATATTCTAGGTCCAGTATTAAACTTGACCAAGAATACCTTACCTCAAATGTAGCCTGTGCTAGTTTAGCCTTTTCTAAGGCCTCTTGACATCTACGTTTCTCTTTTAGAGCCATGGCTTCAAGTTCAAGTGCTTTTCCACGCTGTTTTCTGGTACAACTGGACAATGCCAACGCTAAAAGCATAATATAATGCTTATAGTTTATTTTATTTTCAAACTACAAAAACAAATGGAATGGGGTTTAACGTCCTACTGTTATGCACTGACTGGGCTAAAGAAGACAGGCATCCGCCATGCTGTTTGCTATAAAGGAAATTTTGCCCGGTCACCGGAAGAACGACCTAATCCATACCCCTATTCCAACTGTTAAGTTTTCTTTTACCTGAAGCCAATGTGTACACGGGGCCTGGGTGTTTTGCCCCATCCGAAAGACTATACGTTGTCTCTTGCCAGGCCCTCTGTCCTGCACCACTATCAAGGAGAACCACGCCGAAAATTAATGATAGACCTTTTGGCCAACACCGAGACTTCCAGGTTAGCGGGCTGAGCCGCCGCGGCTCCCACCTCAAAGACAATGATAATGCATATCTACATATTCTTCAATAAATTATTTGAAGTGGTAACGAAAATGGTTATTATATGTAGTATTGTAAAATTATCCTACAACGAGATGAAGGAAATGGTTGAAGTGGTAACGAAAATGGTTATTATATGTAGTATTGTAAAATTATCCTACAACGAGATGAAGGAAATGGTGGAAATAAACATGGACTTACTTGATTGACTGGCACCTATGACGTAGTCCGGAAATACCTAAGACAAGGAATATTTTTTTTTTTTTATCAAATAATGTCTACATTACATATTTCTTTTTGCTCTTTTAAATTGTATATCTTTGGGGCTGTGTACCGAATTGTGTTGTTTACATCCTGTTTCTGGAATGTGTATTTTATCTCGAATGGGGTGATTAGTTTTCTTGCATTGTATGTTATTATATTGGCGAATAAATGTTATACACCAACGATATCGTAAAGATACATCAATTGACTTAAACTGCCCATAAGTTTTGATCTTGGTTTTTTTATGAAGCAGGAACACAGATAGTATGACGGTGATTGGACGGACACCCGGAACTAATTGTACCGGGATGTAAGATGCTAATCGGATTTACAGAAAACTAATTAGATCACTTATAAAAATATGATCTTCCGGGTGACCTGAGAATATAGATTATAGCATTAAAGTTAAACTTCAGAATAATCCAACGATAAATTAACCGATCATCAATCAGTGTGCTAATATTAATAATCATCCATTTTGAGTCTAACATTATCTTACAGAATGACTATAAATTACCAAAATGAGCCTCGCTCGATGTATCTCATAACTGGCAACACAGTTGGAATTAATTTTTAGATACGTGACTATAAATTTAGAATCTCAGAAATCAAAGAAAAATATCATTATTAATTTTTGATTCTACCGAGTACCTCTATCCGACACTCTTCTAGTGACTTGTAAGGATTAGACCATATAGATAAAAAAATACAGAAAAATATATTCACCTTAACATCTACACTGCTAATGTGTAGAATAAATAAATCTGGTAATAGAGCCATTGCTTCCTCTTCTCCCGACAATAAATGTATATGTATTTTAACCATGATATCTGTTATATATATACACGCATCATTCTTTCCATTCTTTAAAGCCATTTCCGCAATCGTCATTGTTTCCTCTAGAAATTGTATTATTTCCTGCAAATAATAATAATATTACCAAACTCCCACAAAAAACATCAGAAAAAGACAACGCGTAGTCTTTATAAATTCCAGCAGCAAGATAAAAAGTAATAAAGATTCGGTATGAGCTTTGCGAGGAAAAAATAATTGCTAGTCTGAGGCCAAATAAAGTCACCAAAAATAAAAACTGATCTTAGTAAATCAAAACTTTGCTAATGTATTATGTAAAGACAGATTTTTTTGAGTTGTTTTACATGTATAATGTATTGTATTGTATACATCGGTAAATGTTTTATAATAGGCCTACCTAAGACATAAAATTGTTACATTTTGTCTTTTCTTTTATCACACTGGCAGATAAAAATATTCCAGTTGGCGGACAAAAATGTGAACATTTTTTTATATAAAGATTATCATCCATTTTGGCGGAAAAAAATTGAAAGCCAGTGTGAGCCCTGATCGATGGAGTTATGGTCCGATACATGCCAATTTCGAAAGGGATCGAGATCGTTGGGATATAAACTTACATATCAAGTTTCGTCAAAATCGAATAAAATTGTGTCCATAAACAAATTGGAAACGGACGTGCGACCCCACGGACCCGCGACTCACGGGTGGACAGGGGCGAAGACAATATACGTATAAAAACTATCAGATCTTAGATTTTCACAATTGTATATCTACGGAAATGGTGTCATATTCGGCGCAGATTCCGGCAATTGCGATTCTTTAGAGGTGTCAATACTTTCAGGTACCAATTCAATTTATCCAATTGAAATAGGCAAGGAACTAATATCTGGGATCAAATTATACCTTTACTTGTTCCACCATTTCGTTAAGAACGTGGTATTATGTTATCTAGGAATCGAAATGAAATAAAATGGGGTTTAAATACTTTCTTTTCTGTACCGACTGGGCTAATGAAGACGGGCCTGCCATACAGTGTGCTAACTGAGCAATTTTGTATATTAATGTACTTTTTACATCTAATAAGTATTATTTATTGTTTCCACTAGTAGAATAAAATATGTCTTACCTTGCTTGACATTTTTTCTGAGGCAATTGTCTTTTGGTAACATTTAAGGAATAAAATATCCAATTCAGCTTGCAGCAGAATAGAAGGCCTCTCCGAAACAGATTGATCTCTTTTACAACAGGACTCAAATAAAGCCATGACTGAAACGTGATATTTTGACAATATTAACAGCCAATTTGTAACTGTTATGTATCCCTTTGATTCCGATTTCTCAATTGAACATGTCAGACAACGAAACAAACACCTACCAGTAGTTTAATTGTCCGTGCTATTTATAGATCTTGTCACTAAATTAGTGTCTTGTTCTTCTGCCTTTTCCACCCGGAATCGCCAGAAAGTTTTGGGGAATAACTTCCAAAACCCCGGAATTGCCAGAAAAATTTGGGGAATAACTTTCAAAATCCCTGACATTGAGAATTTGATAACAAGGACAATAGCTCAAAAACTAATTGATGGGAAACTATATAATTACTCGGTTTCGATGACAAGGGTAACTAATCTCCCGTTTGGATTTCGAAAGGATTAATCCTTACAACTATTCAAACATTAGCAGCAAGCTTGAATTAATAATCCTAAAAAGAGATCATAAGAACAAAAAAGTTGACTTTCATGGATAGGTATCTAATTCTATTTTTCATTTGTCAAATTGAAGTAACGGCAAATATAAAAAATCAAGCTTAACATGAAATTTTAAGAGGGCACTGACTGTGATTGCTGAGGTAAAATACGAAAACAAAATGTTAACATTTCCAACCTACCATGACAAAGGTATTTGATGAGTCCAAACCAAATGTGACCGGATTCAGACAGTTTCTACAAAAAAAGAAAATTAATTATCAAAATTGCATTATTGATACAAACGGTAATCGAAAGACATACATAATCCCCAATAATCTAATCACATAAAACCTCTCTAGTGATCCTGTATTTGTTTTTTTACCTTCATGATAACAGTTAATCCACATAATATTCGAACCAAAACCTGTACGTCAGTAGAGAAGGGGAGACTATTTTGGTATTCTGATGATGCTCTGGAAGCTAGATATTTGAGCATATTATCATGGAACTGTTTTCCTGCAGAACGATTAAATTGTCCGTTGATAAGTTGTAATTCGACGGCTTGTATAAGAGGCTCAAGGTGATCATCAAGTACCGCATCTGTCTAAAAAAATATAGAAACAGTACAGAAATGGAAACCATTTAACTAAATCTGAGAAAATTGTGAATAGCGTCGAGAAGATTTTGAAAAAATGCAGTGTCATATGGCGCATATGTGGACCTGAATATAACAATCAGTTTTATCAGCTACTAACTCACTGATAACAATAATAATGGCACAACTTTATGCGTAAAACAGTTTGTTCTTTAAGGGGCACACTGCTACTGGAATATGGGGCCATTTTGTCTATTTCGATACGGCATTTAACGATTTTTCGTCATAAAATCCCCAATATCGATCAATGTGGTAATAATGCTATAAAACCTCTAATTGCATACACGAAGAGACCCAGAAAATTATAATTTTAGATAATTAAAACTATAGAACAATTTAAAGTAATACAAAAGAGATCCAATAATAAATTGATTTGTATTGGGCCAATAAACAACCACATTCAAATGTTAAGGGCATAATAAAAGCATTGTGACTACATCATGAGCTATGTCTTCATTTTCCTTTTCTGTCGTAATTGTTTCTGGTTGTTGTTTAACTGACGGTCTATTCTTCTCTGTTATCCTTCGTTTCTCTTCCATTCTTATTACAAATTTTGTCATGTCTTCTTTATCTTCATCAGTCTATAATTAGAAATCGACAGAAATGCAAAAGCCCACCGGCAGACAAACTTCTGTAACCGTGTATATTGTGCACAACAAATTCCTTTAATATTTTAAGGTAGATCGTGCACAAATGGGTCAATGGAAAGTTTTAAGGATACAAAAACAATCGACAAGTAGGACCGGATTAAGCTTGCATCGGGCTACTGGCTGTAAATGTCACTGGGGCCCTTGCATCAACACGAAAATGGGGCATATTCCGATGCATTCTTCCTGGTTGCCGGCGAAATTTATATGCCCACCTTTGTTAGACTCCTTCAATATTGGGGCTCCTGTCTACAGCCAAATCAGTCTCTACCCCCGTACTCCGGCCCTGTCGACAAGTGGGGCAACATATCTCTTATTTATAAAAACTATCATCAGATATTGCAAAAACTGCTAAGGGGATAGGGTCAAACATACCTTATTGATTAGTTCCATGGGATGATTGATCATAATAAGTAATATGTGTCTATTTTATCCGGCAATATCATAAATTGTCTTACCACCATTAAATCTCGAGCTTCTTTCCCTCTCTGGATAGCCAGACTATAAATATTTTTCATTTCATAAGCCTCGGCTTGTAGTTTCAATTTTTGAGCATTTTGAGATTGGTCCAGGGTAATTAATGGTGGAACTATTTGAAAATAATAACAATATCATAACATTTTAAAAAGAAAGGAGCTGTCATAATATTTTCATTTAGATAGACACCAAAATTTTGCGAGAAATAAAGAAACTAAATCAGCGGATGTTATACAAATTATCATAATTATATAATACTGAACGTATTTAGAACTGAAAAACAAAGTGGTATAAAACAGGGATTTATTAATATCCATATTTACCACGGCCATTTTCAAGTCACCATATAATATATATTTCTGATAGATAACTAATATTATGATTTACTGTTTGAATGGCGTTTAGTAATTGAACACATTAAAATAAACACAACAGTTCTATGGATGCCATTTACTGTATTTTATTAAAGCTACGTTTCAACAATGATTCATTTTTTTTATCTTTTTTTTTAAATTTGTTTTTATTGTTATAATAGATATATACAATTTATATATAAAATATATACAAAACAACATACAACAGTTTCAGAACGAAGGATTGATTTATTCATTTTACACTAACTAATGTTTATTTGGGAGAAAGGAAGGTCTATGGTATTAGAGTGGGGCAAAGCGGACAGAATCCTAAAGTGAAAAGTGTGCCAGCAAAATTAGGGAGATGAGAGGATAAGGAGTGGGGGGGGGTCTGAAAGGAAATATCCAATTTTCGAAACAATGTGGGCACGGGACAGGAGTGGTGGAAGAGAGACTACATTTATTTGCTGACGGGGAAGTGTAGAGATGGAAGTTTAAAGGAGCTAAGTCTCTAACTCAATATCATCCAAAATCTTCAACATTTAAAACACGAATTATTTGTCAATTTAAAACAACATTGATGCTGTGATCTTACCGGAAAAGGGTGGGCTTCTGATATCCAATATTTAAGACAAAATAAATATTTTACCATTGGTACACGAATCGTGTACCATAATGCGTTTCAGCCCCAGTTCTAGCAAGAGACTAGAGGAACGAGGCTAGACATATTGCACCAAACCAAACGGCTTGTGTAGACTGGAATAACCAGACGCTAGGAATTTGCACTCGATTGAGACTGCTGGCTTATTTCACGGAACATAACTGATTTGAAATTAGAGTAAAAACGGAAACGATTGAATGTAAATCAGTTTATATACATTCATATTACGGTATTATATGAGTTGCGACCCACTTGTGTCAATTTCTAGGTCCCAAATATTAGCGATTTAGCTCCTTTAAAGGATTTACCTTTCGTGATCAATTGAATGTGTGCTTTTACAAAGTCTCTAATGCCGCTTAAGTGCGTACACATATCAAATAAGTGTGTTTGTGTTTCTGTTTGTCTTTGACAATGGTTATATTTGGTGTTTTGTATATTGAAATTCTGAAATCTTTTTCTCTGTTTTTGAGGTGTAGGTTGAAGTGAAAGGAAAAAATAGGCTTCTTCATCTCACCAAAGCAAACAACATATATCAATTTCAAAACAATCAGATGATAAATGTAGTCTGTAGAGTGTTCACAAGAAATTGTGGACGATGGACGGACGGACGGACGGACGGACGGGGACGACGGCAATATATGACCACATTTCCATGTGGGCGTATAAAAATATTATCTAAATTTAAGGTTTTATTTTCAATGTATATTTTAGGGGTATGTGTTATGTTATTTAGCAATTGAGAATATATTGATTTTGCTGTATTTTAATATGATAGTATGGCAAAGGTAGATATTCATAATATATTCAAGCTGTTCTGGAATTGAAAAGGTACTAATTCCACACCAGTAGTGGAAAAGCCCAGCCCATGCATGGTCAGGATTGTTATGAGTGAGAATGCGTTAAGTTGTTGTAACGTCAATGTATTTAGTTTAAGGGTTATAACTGGTATCTTGAGACCCCCCCCCCCCCCTTTTCTAAGGGTAATTGTAGTGTTTTCCTGCTTATGGATTCTACAGAGTTGGGCCAGCGTACGGAGTAGATTATTTTATTGATGATTTTCAGATGGATGTTGTCTATCTATATATATATTTGTGACTGTCGTTTGTCTGTCTGTCTGTCTGTCTGTTCGGGGTTGGCGGCTACACTAGGTCTGCCCCGAGTCTGAAATTTGGGGTATAGGGGTAGCTCGGACCGGGGAGTAACATAGGCCAGGTGTCGTTAGTCTACCACTTCCGGTTTCGGAGTTATGACCCCCGAGCGAAGCCGGTCTGTTCGGGGTTGGCGGCTACACTAGGTCTGCCCCGAGTCTGAAATTTGGGGTATAGGGGTAGCTCGAACCGGGGAGTAACATAGGCCAGGTGGCGTTAGTCTACCACTTCCGGTTTCGGAGTTATGACCCCCGAGCGAAGCCGGTCTGTTCGGGGTTGGCGGCTACACTAGGTCTGCCCCGAGTCTGAAATTTGGGGTATAGGGGTAGCTCGGACCGGGGAGTAACATAGGCCAGGTGGCATTAGTCTACCACTTCCGGTTTCGGAGTTATGACCCCCGAGCGAAGCCGGTTTGTTCGGGGTTGGCGGCTACACTAGGTCTGCCCCGAGTCTGAAATTTGGGGTATAGGGGTAGCTCGGACCGGGGAGTACCATAGGCCAGGTGGCGTTAGTCTACCACTTCAGGTTTCGGAGCGAAGCCGGGTATCCTGCTAGTAGGAATTATTTTGAGGACATTGGCTCAATGGCGCGTGCATTGTTTACACAAGACGTTACTGATTCGAGCAGAATGGCGCCTTTTACTTATTTTTATAAACATTTACACTAAAATAGGAAATAATTTTTATCTACAAATACATCAAACGTCTTTATTTATTTTTCTAGTACATAAAAAAATATGTTTTAGAATTTAATTTGTCGGAGAAAAAAGTTAATATTTGTGGCTCATTAAGTCGCATCGATGTCATCCTTATCAGTGATTGTCGCGGCCTAGCGAATATTCACTTCTGATCAGTGTGGTATGGGGGATGTCTAATTTTTGAGTCAAAAATTTATACGTTAAATAAACTAGATTTTTGTTATCAAAATCTGGCTTTTCTTTCCTTAATACTCGAGCATATATATCAATCCCGTGGTAGTCAGAATTTTCTAAGAATAATTTAACATGTAAAAAACGACCTTTAAGAAAGTTCGGAGGTGTAACATTTTCACATTTGATATCAGACTTTATCAGAGTCGTCACCCCTTGCTGGACTTTTGTTCTATTATTAACATATAATATCTTATAATTGTACATTATGTTCTAAGTTAGTAATCTCACCATCTGTGAGTAAACCTGTTTCTTGCAAATTTATAATATGACAATTATTGTAAGCTGATACTAAATCAGATAGGTTTTTTTTCGGGTATCGGTGAATATTCAAAGAAAAAATTGATATAGCCATGATTGAAGCGTAGGAGGGGGGTGGGTGTAAGTGGATTTGACGAGTGGGATTAACAATACCTTATAGTTAGATTTCAGGATCACTAATATAAGAATATTCAGTAATTCGACTGTATTTTCTTCAACACTTATATCAATACACAAATAGCTCAAACATAACTTTTCACACTAATGTGCATGTATGAGATATTTGTATACTGTTGTACGGCTTAGGTATTATAATCATACAAGAGTCAATTAAGTGGTCTCTATATGTTGTTTGATTGTTAAGGTAATTTATATATACATCCAGGGTTAACACGCCCTATTAATTAAGTGGTTTTCATCTCTGTATACATTACGATTAGACGTTTATATTATTGCATATGGTTTCATTATTATAATCAAAGGGTCACCGTCTTAATAAAAGATATTTTGAAGTGATCACGGGCCATAACTCTGGCAGTAATTATCGGAAATCGCCAAAAATCAATAGGATTTTTCGTCTCATGACCTTAAACACTGTGTATAAATTTAAAGTCAATCGGATATTAACCTTTGCCTCTAGAGCGCCCACAAAATTTTTTGAAGTGATCAAGGGCCATAACTCTGGCAGTAATTATCGGAAATCGCTGAAAATCAACAGGGTTCTTCGTCTCATGGCCTTAAACACTGTATATAAATTTAAAGTCAATCGGATATTAACCTTAGCCTCTAGAGCGGACCGACGGACGGACGGGAGCGACGACAATATACGACCACATTTCAATGTAGGCGTATAAAAACAAAAATAACACTAAGTCGAAAGTCGACAAGACGGTACACAAGCCAAAATCCAAGTCGAAAATAAGAAATTAGGAAAAAACGAGGGGCGCTATTATCGCATTTTGGCTTGTATGGCGTGCTGTTGCCTCACATTTTGTCGTTACTTCTACTTTTCCTCTTTTCGACTTTCGTGTTTTGAAGGGGCGAAAAGTAGAAATTATGAATGGTAGTTATAGGCTTCCATAGTATTGTGCTTGGTAACGACAAGAGAACCATTGTTGAAACGTGGCTTTAATAGAAGTAATTGTTATCCATAAAACTGTTGTGTTTATTTTAATATTATGATTGTGTATTAAAGTGCGAGTATGACCAGGAAAGTCTAGCTTAGTTATATTCTAGATAAATTACTGAACTCGAGACACATGGATTCATTGATTAACTTTCAAACATTTCCGATTATGTTTGTTGAAATCTTTAATCTTAGAGTGCCATATCATAATATCACAGCCAAAATTCACACCAAAACATTGTTAATTATCATGGACATTATTTCGTTAGTTAGAATTCTGATTTTTTTTTTGTGGAGATCGTAGATAACTAGAGGTTTCTAGTCCACTCGCTCTTTTTATATGAAATAATTTAATGTTACTAACTATCTTTAAATCTTAAGAGTACAAAATCTGGATATTTCTGAAAAAAGATAGAACAGGTAAAAGAACATATCTATTAAAACTCTTTACATGTAAAACATTGGACTGTTACTTTCACATAATAGACAGGGCATTTTTTAGTACAGTTACGTAGTGAAATGCCCCACTGCTGAAAACAATTGTCCCCCAGCTTTGTACAAATAATCTAGAAGCCTTGTGGCAATATTGATGATGTGAAAATTGTACGCTTTTACGACTTGACAGATGAAAAGTAGCATGTTTAGCTAAACCTCACAACAGTAACAAAATTCTCAAGGGTTCACATCTCAAAATTCTTTCAGGTATGCCGAATTCAATAATTCACCCCCACCCCGCTCCCCAACAAGCTTTGGGTAAATCTTTTGACCACAGAGGGGGGGGGGGGGTAGTTATATTAGCATATTTGTGATTTCGCCGAGCTGTTCCACTTTTAATTTTCCATAAAACCAGACACTGTTTGGAATAAATTAATTGCATATTTGATCTTACCATGATAGGAACTGTTTGACAATCTAGGATAATCATATTTATAGCAACTGGTGGAAACTCAATATATATCACTGAATTCTTGCACACACGATACATCAAATGTAAAATTCTCATGGTAATAAAGTGCGATGAAGCTGGGTTGCAATCTATATATGCCGATTTAGCTATATCATAAAACTCTTGCAAAATGTCCATCTGAAACATAACAATATAGGTTGCCATGAGATGAAACATACGTTCACACCACCGACGTTTGTGACATTCTGTAGGTTAATACACAGTAAAAGTGTTATACAGTAAAATATCATTGGTGTATTGACAACAGTTTACAATATAATCAAGGACAGTAATCCTCGACGTAATCATATGTCCTGATACGTGTTGTTCACGTATACATTCCTATCTTTTAAAATAAAGATAAGAACCAAAGCTATGATTTTTGCAAATTATTGAAAGCTGTATCACCCAAGATCATACAGACTTGTATCGCTGGGAACAATGAGCGAAATTTTATTTGTACACAGACGGTGAAACATATACATGTATATGGTTTGGATAATCAACGCCGATCTTTGGTCTTCGAAACCTTTTATAACTTGACCCATTCACATGCCCGCGAATAGTGCAAATTCTGACCGGTCCATTGAAATAAAAATGGAATGGGATATGTAGTCTGGAAATCGGACTTTTTTTGTCAGAAAATACTTACACGTTTCTTTAGTTTCTTAACAGTTAGTTTCTCCACCAATTTATCAATTGTTTTGTCGAACTCAATCAAGTAACCAGCGTTTATACTTATATCTGGTTCTCCATCCTTTACATCAGCATATTCACAAATGGTATCAACCACGCTGATAGCTATAAAGCAAAAGTATTACCTATAATTGGTGGTTGTACGTCAATGGTGTTTAAGCAGCGACGTGTATAGTTGTCTGATTCCGTGTACATGTACACGATGGGTTTCCTTAGATGGGTATCGACTTAAAAATTAATAGTGACCGAGATATTTGTCTAGTGATCCCTTTACCTTTATAGTAAAATGACTAAAATCAATCATTCGCAATAAAAAACTGATTAATCGATAAACAAACCGACGTACGGACGGGATTGACAACAACATACAAGATGACAGTGTTTCGGCAGGATATCCACCCCACCCCTTTAAAAAAAAAATAAAAAAAAAATACGTAGGCTTGCATGACAATTTCTGTTTATTAGCATTTATTTTTATTACAAAACTTGCGTTTTAAATTCAATCTCCTTAAATATTTTGTGTCAGTAATTAAACTATTATGCGTATAGAGTTACCTCGGAATATATAACGTATGACACCAAATAATGATGATATATTGTCTGGATGGTTCTGAAAAACACAAATGTCATGTATTGTTGATTGAAGCGTGCCCTAATAACCCAGTTTCATTTATAATTTATTAAATAGAAACAATTTAAAATGCAGGTATAAAGCTTAAAATTAATTTTATAAAAAGCTCAGACTATTTTCGCCGATTTACTTCCCGAAATGACCTAGTTTCTCTATCTCTCTATCCTTTATAGGCTGTCCAAATAGCAAAACACCAAAATTATAATATATAACATTTGCATCCACCAATAATCCCATGGTCAATACGTATAAGAAATCATCAATAAGCTTAGTGTATGGTGGCTGAAAGCGTCCTTTTAGATCGGCGTGTTTCTAGATACAACGCGAGAGTGGCTAGCTTAACGGCGACCCGCGACTTTCATAACACAAGATGTTGCTCCATCTGTGGCAGAAAGCGTTCTACCCAACGAAAATTTGGGAAAAAGTTAGAGCTGGTCTAAGATATGAGAATTAACATTAAATCAATGGGGAAATATTTAATGATATAAAGGCGTGTACATTTTAAATCTAATTCCAGTATAACTAAACAGGTTTTGAAAGTACACGTGTCTGTAACACTCATAAATTTTAATTTGCCCTAGTGTCACTGAAAATGTTGATATAGCTCGACAGCCCAAACCCATCCAAAATCTCCTCCATTCTGATTTTATATACAAGAAGTAAAATGTAGCTATTGCGCATGTAACTAACTATAAACTTCCGAGGCGAGAGTCGCCGTTAAGCCAGAGCGATGAAAAAGTCGCCGATTTTTTCGGCGACTCTCGTGCTGTGAAAGTCGCGGGTCGCTGTTATGCTAGTACGACGAAAAAGTCGCCGATCGGCGCCTTTTTCGTCGTGCTGGCTTAACGGCGACTCTCGCGTTGTATCTAGAAACACGCCGATCTAAATGGACGCTTTCAGCCACCATATTGGTGTAAACAATAAAAACGGTTTCATTTTCTTTATTGACCAAGAAAGCTGTCCGCGCAAAATTCAATTTATGTAAGCGCATCACCTGGAAGGCGAAAAAAGCCATTCGTTGAATTAGGAATGTCTTTCCCATTCCAGAATCTATAACGTTCACTTCATCCAAATTAGCAGTTAATCTTTCCTGGAACATCTTCCCACTTTCACGATCAAAACAACCAAGACTGAGTTTTCTAACAGCATCACATATTTCTACATCCATGGATTCCTTAGCTCTCTGAACAATAAGCATTCGTCCATAATGAAGAAACGGGTTATCCATTTTCTATTGGAACAAAATAAACAAAACACATAGATATAATTTCTACCATTTAAAGAAATATTTTATTAAATTACGGTACGCTGTGATATTGACAATGATTTAATCGTTGTGTTGTGGAGTATGGATCTGTCTGAAATTAGGTTCAAAGGCAGAGCTTACGTTGAGATATAACTGAAACCAGCGGCTGCCAGGCAGGATACGCCCACATTTTCGAGAGATGGATAGGGAACAAGCAAACAAGAAAGTGATTTTTCCTACAATCAAGGGGATCACGTGGCTAAGTGGGTAAAACGCTAGCTCGCTAGCCTAGAGGTCGGGTGTTCGATCCCTGCATTGGCCGAGAAAGTTCATCCGGTTTTTCCGGCGTGGTTCTCCCTTGTCAGTGATGCAGGACGGAGGGGCTGACAAGGAAAGCTGTATAGTCGTTCGGATGGGACGAACAACCGAGGTTCCGTGTACACATTGGCGTGCACGTAAAAGATCCCTTGACAGTTGTCCTTAGGGTGTAACGGTGATATAATAATACGTTTTTTTAAATTGGATAAAAATTATGACCTCTATAGGGTCCACAAGCTAAAAACGCTATTTTTCGTACAATCAGGGGCCATAATTCAGGACGTTACGGTCCGATATGCGCGAATATCGAAAGGAACCGAAATCTTTGGGTTATAAACTTACATTTCAAGTTTCAACAAAATCGGATAAAAATTGTGACCTCAATAGGGTCCACAACCTTGATATATAGCATATTTTTACGCTATTTGAGAACGAACGGCAGCCATTTTGTCTGTCAATTTTGGGCTGATTTTCACGAATTTCGAACTCAGCCGTCCTTAGGATGTACCGGTGATATAATAATACGTTTTTTTAATCGGATAAAAATTATGACCTCTATAGGGTCCACAAGCTAAAAACGCGATTTTTGGTACAATCAGGGGCCATAAGTCAGGAAGTTACGGTCCGATATGCGCGAATATCGAAAGGAACCGAGATCTTTGGGTTATCAACTTAGATTTCAGGTTTCAACAAAATCGGACAAAAATTGTGACCTCTAAAGTGTCCACAAGCTAAAAATGTGATTTTTCGTACAAACAGGGGCCATAATCCATGAAGTTTCGATCCAATACATACCAATATCGAAAGGAACCGAGATCTTTTGGAGATAAACCTATATTTCAAGTTTCGTCAAAATCGGATAAGAATTGTGACCTGTAGTGTGTCCACAAACAAATTGTGGACGGACGGACAGGGGCGACGACAATATACGTCCACATGAAAATGTGGGCGTATAAAAATAGATCAGATCAATAGAAGTCAACACACCACCTTGACTTAAATCAAAAAGGTTTTGCTCCCTTAACCTTAGTCCAACAGTAACTAGCGTTGGATGCACGCAATGTGACCCACAAATGTTAGTCTGGAAACGATTATACGTGGTACTGGATAATATTTTTAAATACAATCTATTGTAAAATATTAATGCAATCATTAGAATGTTGTACCACGCAGTGATAATGGCTCTGAGAAGAAATGTTTGATTTATTTAGTCTAACTTCTGTAATTTATTGAGGTGAAAAATACCACACAAAGTACATTAGAGAATTCCATAATGGAAAAAAATGGTTAAATGGTTCCAGCTTGTTATGAAAGGGAGCCATACCCAGTTTCGCGCTCGCAATATCCACCACTGCCTTGGAAGTAACTGCAATTTGGCCCACAAGATCACGATTACGGAGTTTAAGCATTTTAACATGAAAAAGGTCGTTTGGCTACTGATCGAGAATTCTAATTGTACTGTGATTATGCAATGGGACACCGAGTCGGCGTGCTGTATGTGCTTCCAATATGGTCCTTTATTCAATTAAGAGAAGTAAACAAATTAGAGCTCAAAGGGGTCCATTTTCACATTTAATTTTTCAAGGATTGCCTTTACTGTCACTGTCTATGCAAAATTAAAAGTTGAATTTGCTCATACTAAACCTAGACTGTTTGTCTACAGTTAGCTCCGCTTCAGAACAAACACTAAGCTCGTTGACCGACATTTTAAGTCCTAAGTCCTAATTATACTTCGAGAATATTGTTGAGTATTTCTTCTGCTCTCCATTTAAAGCGGAAATTTCAAATTTTTAAGTTATATTTTTAAAATTTATTAAAATAAAGCCTTAAAATAGATGGTATCCATAAACAGTCCTACCTTATTAAGGATTATCATATTAATCCTATAATTCACTATTGCCAGCTGAGAAATTTTTAAGTTATATTTTTAAAATTTATTAAAATAAAGCCTTAAAATAGATGGTATCCACAAACAGTCCTACCTTATTAAGGATCATCATATTAATCCTATAATTCACTATTGCCAGCTGAGAAATTGGCAAAAATATCATTTTTAACTTCAAATTCAAACGTTGAGGAAATGGCTGACCATTGTTTTCAATAGGAAAACAAGGGAGGTAATTGTGTTGTCATTTCCTGTGTAAATGAGTTATAGGTGTGAGAATGACACCTATGATCGTAAAATAGTGAGTTGATAACTTATTGAGCAAAAGACATAGAAATAATTATGTTTTGACTTTCTTAGAAAATATGAAATTCTCGCTTTAAGTATTATGGATCTCTGTGTGCCGAATGGAATTAGCTGTCTGTAAAATATCAGAAGTAGATCAACCCATCATAGGGAAACCTTGATATTGTTTGATATATGATCGTGTCACGCACACACACATATTTATGTAAATGATGTTTAAATAAAACACCCCCAAAACATACCAAATTTGACCCTTGTCATGCTCTACAATATTGCACTCTAAATTCTTCGTTATTTATGTCTCACTCTGTATTACCGTTGTAAGTTGAATTTACAAATCAAAAATATTTTATATATGTCAATTTAATGTTTAGATATTCCTGTGTACTTTTTGATTTAGGCATTGTAACATGAATCCCTATAGTTTAAAGTTAGTAATTCCTGTGACCATTATCAAATCTTTCTAACGTTTGGCAGCCATATTTGATATCTAATCACTTTATGCCATAGGCTTATGACAAAATTAAACAAACGTTTGAAATTTAAAAATCAAGAATGACACGTAGGCTAACTGATATTATAAAATTATGTTTGACACCTAAAGTAATAATAATTTGAGCTCTTTAAATAGAATCGCCTTGAAAAGGACTGGTCATATACCGAACTAGGAAAAGGGTGAAATGGTAACGTTACATGCAGTTGTTCACTATCATATTTACAATTACGTACCTTATTATACTTTGGAAAATATGCCCAACAGCCGTCTAAACAGTAATGTAAAACGTAAAGACACACGGGCTATCAGTGTACCTAATTCCAAGATTGAAAGCCTTTCCAAGAAAGCGTACACATCCATGTCATTTTAACCGAGGACATAATATACAGAAAACCTTCTCAGGGTCAAACATTAACTATTAACTATATCGTAAATCATTAATATTTACCTCTCCCCCACCCCCAAACACCCCCGCCCCCACACACAGCTCCGACATAAACACATTCTTTCGTTATCGTTACATACCATATGAATTTTACTGGATAACGAAAGTAAAAGAAATAGGCGACACAGCTTATCAATCGGCACTGCTCGATAAATGTACACAGTACACGGAGTACACCGTTAATTTCCGCATTGACTCCAATACTAATTCTTGTCTCATTGACCAACTCCTAAATTTTTCCAAAATTTTCGCAGGGTTTAGCACTTTCTACCACCGATGAAGCCACATGTGGTAAACTTTTGCTCAAACGCATGTATGAGGTTTTCCATGGAAATCTTGAGATACACAAACTGGGGCATACTGGTAAACATGCAACTGTCCACGCTGGCACTTTTTTTTTAACGTAACTACCTTTTAACTCTCTTATTCATACGCCTGAAGATTCACACAAAATTCAGGGGAACTTTCAAGAAACAAAATCAACTTAGTTTTCAAGATTTCGTAGTAGTCTTTTTATACACTAAACCTTGGTTAGCATGGGCGCAGATTGTCGTCTATTGGATAACTTCCGCATACCAGCTACATAGTTGATTTTGCGTCTAACATACAAAGGGTGATCACGTGGCTAAGTGGGTAACACGCTGGCTCGCTACCCTGGGGTGAATTCGGGCGGTCCAACTCGAGGCACTTGAGTCGACTCGATTTCGTTCGCGCGTCCCGAGTTTCGGTGATGTCGGGTCATGTGACCAACTCGAGTGACCTACACGAATACTCCCCATTCCACGAGGAGCATGTCGAATCGAGTCGAATCGGAACACGTGATCTTCTGAATGAAATGGCGGCGAACGAAATTTGTTTTAAATGTGAAGCCCGTGAGCTTATCACAGACACGCTAGATGAAATCCAGAACCACAGCTGTAAAGCTCCAATAAATGGTAATGAGAAAGCGAGTAAGGCACCAGTGCAGAGTCCAAGTGGGATAGAACAGCATTTTTGGAGCGAGTCGGCAACTAAAGCCATGCTTAACATGCGTTTATCGATGAATAAAGAGTTTCTGAAAGCCCGCGCCCATTCAGTGCTTTGGAAAAAAGTTGTTCAGGCAGTGAAAAAACAAGACTCGGATTTTGAAGCTACCGAAACGCAATGTGTTAACAAGTTCAAGGCAATAAAAAAGCAGTATGTCCAATGTGTTGATCATAACAGCAAAACCGGTAATGATCCAATAACCTGTAAATTTTACGATGAGTTTGATGAAGTGTTCGGTACCTCTGACAGTGCAAAACCCCTGTTTACTTCGGCGAATGAAAAGCGAGAACCCCCAGCCCCCAAAAAGTTCAAGTGTATGGCTAAGAATCAGGGTAAAAATAATGCAGATACAGAGGACGCCGATACCAGTATTGAACTAGAGAAGGATGATGAGGGTGAAGATGTTCCAGGGCGAAAAAAGCGGATTAGAGGCCAACCCACTGCTGTTCTGAAATGGCTTTCCAATTACCAAGAAGATCAAAAAGAGCAATTCAAACAACGGAAAGGCCGAGCTGAAAAACAACATCAGGATAAGTTGGAGCGATTTGATAAGCTCCTCTCACTTTTTGGCAATAAGGATAAGGAATGAACACAATTTGTTGCGATATTCGTCGTACACGTAAAACGATACATAACAAAAACTATAACTGTTTTATTCATATTTTATTTAATGGTCATATGTTCAAAGATTCGTTGAAAAACACTGTATAATTATTTTATCCATATTTTAATGTACATAATTGTCATGTTCAAAGATACGTTGAGAACATTGTATAATTGTTTTATTCATATTTTAATTTTCATAATTATCATGTTCAAAGATTTGTTGAAAAACATTTTTCATGTCAGTTGAACAGTGAGTCGTTGACGGTGTTTCTGAATTAGTTGATGTTCCAGTTAGGCCACATAATTGTATTTCGTATCTTAGTGCGTGGATGAAAAATTCACATTTTTGCTAGTTTAGCTTTTTTATTCAATGTATATTTTATTGTAATATCGGATTTATTACAAAAGTTAAAAATAAATGTTTTAAATAAATTCCAAACAAGTTTATTGTGAAGCTCTTTATAAGGCCTGTATTTTCGGAGCAAATTTCAATACAGGATCAACGATTTACGATGGCGACTAAACGGTTTCTCTTCTGATATCCAGCAGCCGCATTGATGAGGACGTTTGGTTGGTGTCCTGGTTCATCACCCAGTACTTCTAAATCGATGTATTGATCTAGGTCATCATGAGCCAACACACACATATTGTGGAGAACACAAGCCGAAATGATGAATTCACAGATATGTTGCATCAGCCTGCTCCTATCTCCACACTGATCTGTGAATGGAATGTCTCGGAGTTTTCTAAATCGCCCTTTAAGGTGGCCGATTGCCCTTTCAACCACTTGCCGATCACTAGAGAGATTGTAGTTGAAATTTCTCTGATGGGGTGTCAACTGTCCATTGTCCTTGAATGGGGGTATTAGCCAGTTTTTCACAGGGTAAGCGGAGTCACCGAGCAAGTGGTCATCATCTTCGAAGATGCGATGGTCCTCCGCCTTTTCATAAATGGGACTATTCCGAAGAACACGGGCATCATGTGCTGACCCTGGATAACCGACAAAAACATCATTAATCATTAACATATCATCAACCACAACTTGTAACACTACTAAGCAGAATTTTTTTCGGTTCAAGTAAGACCGGTCATTGCCAACTGGGTTCGTTATTCTTATATGTGTTCCATCGATAACACCAATGACGCCAGGTATTTTCGTAAATTTTCCTTTTATCTCTCTTCTCCTTTGATTATTCGGCCATTGAATAAACTTATATGATAAAGCTGATATAACTCCTGCTACGTGATGAACAATACTATGCACAGTAGATTTTGACAACTTAAAGTTGAAGGCTATATTTCTCATGCTGCATTGGTTGCTCAAATACCACACAAACACGAGTAGTTGCTTCTTAGGCGGAACTGAATCATAACCTCCACCAACGTAATTAACATCTGGTACCAGATATGCTTCTACTTCTCCCAAAAGTAGCATGAATGTTTCTTTATTTAGTCGGCAATGATACCTAAAATCTCCTTCATTCAAATTAATCACAAGCTCAGTGAAACCCTCCACTTTTGGCACACTTGGTCTTTTGGAAATTAATGCAGGAATAATTGGAGCTATGTCACTGTCTTCATAGTCATCATTTTCATTCAATATTTCTTCCAGAAAAGCATAAATTGCAAATCTGTCTATTGGCGCTGTCATTTTGGAATTGGAAATTTACTCGAGAACGTTCGTACGATCAACTCTAGTCCCGAGTGACTCGAGAGCGTTCGGGTAATCAACTCTCGTAACTCGCGAGTTGGAAAACCCGAGAGTCAATCGCGTAGAACGCCCGAATTCGAACCTGGAGGTCGGATGTTTGATCCCTGCATTGGCCGAGAAAGTTCATTCAGATTTTCCGGCGTGGTTTCCCCTTGTCAGTGATGGAGGATGTAGGGCCTGACAAGGACAGCTCGGAGGGCCTGACAAGTCGTTCGGATGGGACGAAAAACCGAGGTCCCGTGTACACATTGGTGGGCACGTAAAAGATCCCTTGGCAGTTGGAATTCGAAGAGTAGGCCGTAGCCCCGCTGCCCGGGCAAAATTTCCCTTATAGCACACTGTGTGGCGCTTGTCCGTCTTCATTAGCCCATGTTAGGACGTTAAACACCATTTCATTTCATTTCTGAAATACAAAACCTCTAAAATTTAGCTAATTAGTACCAGTACCATGCAAAACGCACTGAATGTTAGATAATAGCATTTCAAATGTGAATAGATTATTTTTTTATGAAATCAACTTTCACTACTGTTTTGTATTTAAACATGTATATACATGTATGTAGGAAAGCTTTCTTTATATAACTATTGAAATAGGCAATAATAGCTTAAATAATAAAGTCAAATCAATTATTAAAGAGCTTATAATGACTCTTTTCTTTGGAAACTTAAAATAGGCGAAACTATGTTTTAAAAGACTTAATAAAGAGGCATTACCTATGATTAGATAAAGAGCTGACAGTTTGCGCAATAATAGTTAAAAAAATAGATAATGGAAAACGAATATGTTGAAAATTTCAGTCAAATTAATTCACTCTGAGCTCGACTGTCAATGCTACCGTTGTTACGGTAATAAACAAAGTCTCGATTATCCATTTTTCTTTAAATCATAAATCACAAATCTGATTTAAATCTGTTGAAAATCTTGAGTATCCGATAGCATCGAGAGTTGATTATGGTCATAGTAAGTTAATTAATGTTTAAGGTATAAAGAAAGACCTGCAAAAGGCAGATTTAGCTCTTGTATAATGCCCGTTTAATATAAAATGAATGTATATAAAATGATTTATATTCAATGTTTTTTTTTTTTTTTTTAAAAAAGTATTTTAATTTCTAATCAATAATGTTCTGTGAAATACGTGAACAGTCCAAATTGAACACGGTCGTTTACGCCTGTCTAGTCCATTTTTTGTTATTATTGTGTCGTTTGTGAATCTTGAAGGATATGTTTTTCCTTGTCAATTGCAAATGGCGCCTGAAACCATAGAGTACACGGCTCGTGTACTGATAAATGTTCATTGCGTTTTTAAAATTGGATATTAGTATCCAAAATTCTCACGGCAAGATAACAACATCAATATTGATTAAAATGGACCAATAATTCTAATTATGGAAAAGATTGAGTTAGAGGTTTAGATCCTTTAAAATACTTATATTTATTTATAGACATTAGTCACATATAAGATGATAATATCTGGGCCTAATTCAGCTACAATATCCAGGCAGTTTTTAATCTGTTTTAATCCAAAGCGTCACGGATCAAATTGCTCGTTAAAGATGTATTACGCAAGAGCTAAAGCTGATTACTGCAGATCTTCGTTGGCTTTAAATGTTATATAAATTATTATTAGGCATTTATTAACATAATCAACTGTCAAGACATGAAATGGGGTTTAACGTCCTACTCCGAACTGGGCTAATGAAGACGGACATACACCATACCGTGTGCTATGAGGGAACTTTTGTCCGGACAGCGGCACTACGGCCTACTCTTATATAGAATTCTAACTGTCAAGGGGTCTTTTACGTGCACGCCAATGTGTAGACGGGACCTCGGTTTTTAACGGTCGGATGGCCATGATATTGAATTGATAACATCGAACCTATATAGAATTTAACTTAAAAATGGACCAACAAAACTTTGTTTATTATCATAGTAATAGAAGTGGACGACCGAGAATATCGTGTCAAAACTTCAAGCACTCATAACTTCACTAAAAAACCCCAGTGATTTTAGTAAAATGTTCA